TCAGGCTGAATTTGACCAAGAAGTCTCACTTTGGAGATGCCTTTCTCACCCCAACATCCTGCCATTGATTGCAGTTTATGATACCCCATTCGCAACCTTCGCATTCATGCGATTGAACGAAGGCGGAACCCTACACGATCTCATTAAATTGAACCGTAACGGGCTCTCGGCCAAGCTGGCACAGAAATACGCTTTCCAGCTCGCCCTCGCATTGAGGTACCTTCACGAAGACATGCGCGTGATTCACCGAGATGTCAAACTTGAGAATTGCCTCATTGATATGACGGTAGATCCAGATGAGGGTGGAAATCTTCAACTTTGTGACTTTGGAATGGCTGAATTCATGAAATCAAACCATGATGAAGAGGATGATGACAGTGATAGCAGTGGGAATGCATTCACACTCGACCCGCGCCCTGGACGCCGTTCCAGGCGGAAGTCTTCATCTGCATCAATGGCTCCAGTCATCTCATCTACCCTGGTTGGGTCACTCGAATATGCAGCACCAGAGATCTTATCTAACAAGAACTCCATGACGCACTACACTACAGCAGTGGACATGTGGGCATTTGGCGTGGTGGTGTATGCACTTTTTGTTGGAAGTTTGCCGTTCAGTCATTCCTTCCAGCCGAAAGTGCAAAGCATGATCTTGTCTGGAGAATGGGATGTTGATGCATTGAAGGGATGCAGAGGGTTGATCGGCCTTGACAAACAACAGAGGAAGAACGTGTTGGAGGTCGTGAAGGGTTGCTTGACCATGAATGTGGAGGACAGATGGGACATCCGGGCGGTGTTGGAGAGTCAATGGTTTGAGGAGTTTGGGGTTGAGAGTCCCTAATTGCTCTAATTGCTACAAGCACTGGGAAACTTCGCTCTTCATGACGGTGCGACCTAACAAAAAACCAGCCCCCTCCCCACTCCACCCAGGAATCGGTTTTATTTTTTATTTTATCTTCACAAAATTTTGTAGCGACTTGCCTTGGTGTTTTTATTCTTTTTTTTTTTTACTATGGGACAGGATCGGATTGGAATGGGCCGGATTAACAAAAATACTCAAAATGGACTGGAATGGAACGGTTGTGGGTTGTTGGTGCGGATTGATTTTTTTGCTCTGCTTTTTTTCTCTTTTTTTTTGGCGTCTGATTCTTTCTTTTGGTCATTTTCCGGGGTGCAGCGGGCGGTATCTAAAATTTGTTCGGTTTGTTTTTTGGGGTGCTTCATAGCGGATGGTTCTAGGGATATCTTCTTTTGTTTACATTTGATCTTTTTGATCTATTTGGCCATAAAAGGCTCCCCCCCCCCCTCTTTTTTTTTCTTCTCTTGGTCCTCTTCCCTATTCTTCTATTCTATCTTCTATTTACTCCATGCCTTTTGGCCTTCTACTTACATACTTTCATACATCACCCTCACTCGTTTATTCATTATTGTTTTATATGTCTCCTATATTCTTTCAAAGTGGGTGGTGGGGCGGAGTTCTTTTTTATGCTCGTCAAATTCATCTGCATGTAGGCGCGTTTCTGTTGGTTCACTTCACTTCCCTACTTTGAATCCTACGCTGGGCTGGCTAGCAAGCTATGTAGCTTTTGCTGTTCTTGGAATCAAAATAGCGGGGCTCGTGCTCTGTAGACTCGACGTCTCTTTTTTTGGAGTTTTAATTTTTTACTACATCCAAAAAATATAAATATAGCCATTTTGAGATTACGTCCGTTCTTTGCTTTTTTGTCTCACCGGATGTGGTCTCATATCTGATCTGTCCAGAAATAGCTGTAGAAGATGGTAGAGTATGTGTGTGTAACTACTCCCTGGGGTGGAATGGTAAGATTCTGCACTTGCACTTTTATGCCTTTTCCCGCGGGTTCACGGAGCACAGAATATTACGCCCCCCAGATCCCCCCTCCCTCCCCTCCCTCTCCACCACGGTAATACTGCATAGTCCCGAACAAACAGGGAGGCAGAGAAGTAGGCAGGCATTACGAGCGTCGTACTGCATGTAGGTACATGTAGGTATTCTCCAAAGGCGAGTATGTACCTTCGGATTCCGACAACTTAGTTTATCAGGTGACCCCATATACATGTTGGAGAACGTGTCGTGGGTACATATGCCTCGATAATTAAACATTGACGTCCATTAAGTCATGTGCTTCATATGCTATCACTCGACTCTGGTTGCTTGCATGCTGCACCCACGGGCTGATATTGATAATCTGCACCCACGGGCGACGCTGCTGAATGTAGTACAAAAAAGAATTAACTATTATTATTATTGCAGTACGTACATATATACGTACATGTTAGTAAGACCATTGGTGCAGATATATACACTTTGAGAGGGTGCATGGCGTGGGGTGTTGAGTAATAATTTGTGCTGTTTAAATTTGCGCCACAGTAATGAGGGCGAAGGTTACTGGCTCGTTGGCTAACTGGCTATCTAAGACATCGATGCCTGTAGCTTCAGGCCAAGGCCATCAATGTTAGAGTTCATTTGATCTCGATGGTTGATCAATTTAGGAGCTGGGGTTAATTAAAAGCCGCATTGTGTGGGGGCGCTCATGGCATATATATGTCTGGTGAGAGAACTGGATATGTACGCATTGCGAAACAAACGGTTTTACTGGCGCTAGAGCTTTGTGATCTCAGGGGGCACAGAACATTAATTACTATCATAGATATAATACAGAATCTCGTCCAGCTCGCGGCTCTCTTTTGAATCCCGCATGGCCACAAATAAAAACAGTATTCTTTTGAATGTTTAATTAGTAGGATTCCAGTTAATACTAGAATAGTGTATGATGCTCGCGGAGGACAGTTTTTTTTTAACGTGGGCTTTATAAGTACGCACCGCACCATCCGCGTTTCATGATTGCATTTCGTAGTCCTGAGATTTTAAAGTATCGATAAATCGACGATCACTTGCGTCGGGAATACATGTAGTAAATGGTAGTTATTAGCTAGCCACATCTGGTCAATATATTTACTTACACGGTGGCCAAAGGTGAGACACGATAAAGTTTGCCTAGAGGTTACCCCTGCTACGCTGGTGGGGTGCGAATCAATACAACGTTAATTAACGTCTCGTATTCCTAGGATATTTGATGCGCAAATCCTCTAATTCCACATTACAGCAATGTATTTCGGTTTGAAAGGCTAAAAACTATACTTTTTGCTGCTATTGGGATACTGACTTGGTTATTAAACGTACAGGTGCGCTCCCAGCCTTATAATTGCCTTGCTAGTATATTCTCCTCTGCTGACCTCACTCGTGTAGCCAGATTAGTCAGATCATACAAATACGAGAGAACTCTACAGATTTGCCCACCCGCAAGAAAAGAGCACAAAGGACGAACCGCGGGGGGGGGGGGGGGGAGATCTCACTCAATTCCTCGGACTGAGCATGAGTCCAGAAACTAAGTATTACGAGTTATCAAAATCATTTGGGCACTTGTTGCTACCGAATCTTGTACGCATATATATGGTAAAGCAACTTCAACGTCGCCTTTCTCGGCCACGACCACAAGACAAGAAGACAAGAGATTTGATTTCTGTCAATCCTCATGCCTCTATTATCTCAGGCTTAAATATAAGCTCAATTGAAGTGGTTTGAAAATTTGGCCATTCTAGCTAATTTGTGTAGTCGCGATGCGAGTGTCTGGATAATTTTGATAACCCACAATAAAACCTGTACTCCCATCATGAGGAAAGAGTGCAGGAGGTGGGGGAGGTGGTGGGGAGACCTAATGCAACTCAGGCCTCTCCTGGTCCCTGGGATATACCCAAAGATCAAGAGAGACGAAGAGGAGAGCCAGCGTGACTTAAGCTACTCGCTCTGCTCTCTTTCAGAAGCAGAGACAGGTGGTTTAGCCCCACTTAGTGGGAAAGCTGGGAGGGGATTGGGAGCATATAGATACATGTACCCACCTCTGTACAAAATATAGAATTCTGCTGCCTTGACTTTCTTGATTTCGTCAATTGCCTCTCGCAGTCCAGAATTCAGGAATGTACCATACCTCAGTGCGTCCCATACCCTTATGGAGGTGTCTACAATCTCCCTGTAAGGATATAGACATTTGACATAGCGAAATCGAGATATCCTCATACGAAATGTGAGTGATAGTTCATGATCTTTCGTAACCTGCAGATGAGTGAAATTATGTAGTCGGGTGGTCAGATCAGGTTCAAAAAGTATAAAAGTTATAAAAATCTAGTATTCAATGAGAATATGGGGTCTGAGAAGGTATGTGGAAAAAATAAAGACGAAGTAGGTCGAATAATATCGAGTGATAATCCATGAATAAATATAATCTAGCATTCATTGTCACATTTTCCACAATGGCCCGATATCTCCCTTAGCTGTAGAGATAATTGCGAATAATCACTCGGAGCTAGAGCTTCCCGACTTATCACTCATATTATGCTATTTCGTCAAATCAGGTAAGACCTCTCATAAGCTGATTGGTAAAAGACCGCGGCCGGACTCGGTGAGAGGGCGAATTAGTGGAGGTCATTTGATAAGTAACTTCAAGGGGAAGGCTAATTCGAGAACTCTTGGTATCAACATGAGTAATTGACTTTGGCGGATCGCTGATTATCCGTATTAATATTCCCTATTCGATCGTTAATGACGTATCGAGACAGGGAAAAATGACTGTTAATCCGAGTGATCTTCTGTGAGCCACACACTACATCGGCCCCTCACCCTTGAGATCGAGAGTGCTTAACAACCCGACACGTACACACTCACAATATCATCGCCACTAATCACTCCCGAGCACATCAACACTGCAGAGTATGTACAGAAGACGACCGGAGAAAACTTAGCGCCACACCCGGCTGGTTAGACTGGCGATCGAGAATTAGATCCATCGTTCACCATCACAAGGACAGACCCTTTATCGCATTAACAGCTAGTCACTACGCTCTGGCTGATCTGAGATATCTGCTTTCGTGGGTAAATGAAGCTTGGCAGCTCCCCACTCCCTCCCTCAACTCAGGGCATCGGTCTATCACGGGCACAGAAGAGTCTTCCATAGCACGGGGTATGTGATCCGCTTGGTTACCACACGCTTTGGGGGCAGCAAGAAACCTGAGGCAATGGCTCCATTCGGCGTCCCTTGCTGTGCTGCCTGTACACCACGCTCGTTCAATGAGCGGGGAGGGCTTTGTTTCCCGCACAATGAGAGATCCGTGAGTCTCAGTTCTCCAAACCCATGGGCTTTTCACAGTACAAACAGCTGCAAGGCCGAAAATCAATTCTTACTGAAGAGAGAAAGAAGAAAGTGAAAGAGAGTTTTTTTCCCCATACCGAAACGAACGCCTACCAACGCCGTTACCCATACCAGAGCAGCATCCCACACTCTCTACCCCACCACATTCACCGCCGCACCCTTAACAACCTCCACCTCACCCTCAATCTTCTCATTCAGCACACCCCAATCATCCTACCACCACCACACACATACACATTAGCACCCCTTCCCCAAATCCCGCACACCCCACACCCGTAAACAAGCAATTGGAAAGTAAACTCACCCTCCTCTCCTTCACCACCTTCCCCCTCTTCATACTATCCCCCCGCTTCTTATCCAGCCTCTCCATCACCGCCTCCGCCTTTTCCACCGCCTTCCCCATGCGCTCCTTCTGGCGCCGACTCGCCTCCTTCCCCCCGCGCTTCCGCTTCTTGACCCCGCTGTCACCCAGCGTCGCACGCAGCATGGCATCGCCAACCTTCTTGGCGGTCGCCTCTTTGTTGCTCAGCGCCGGGTCGTCGGAGGCGCGGGGGAGCGTCGCGAGAGACTTGTCGAGCCCGAGGGAGGGCGAGGCTTGACGGCGGGCGGCGCGGGTGCGGCCGGATGGCGCTGTTGGTGGGTGCGTGGGTGGGTTAGTGGTGCTGAGCTGGGGAGTGTGAAAAGGGCAAAGTGGAGAAGTGGGGTACCTTTTTGTTTGGGTTTGTTAATCTTGCCCATTTTGAATTCTGTGGTTGTGGTTGTGGTTGTGGTGGTTGTGAGGATTCTGGGGTGGAAATGGATGGTCGAGAAAAATATTTAAAATTCTGATAGTGATATCAGAATGCAGTTAACTACAGGCCGGGTAACTAGGTGCTTGTGGGAGAGCTAGCCTGGTAACTAAAAGGCACACAGGCAGGCGGTGTCATGGATCATCAACTGTCATTCGGTGTACACCCACCAAGTACGTATACAACCTGCTCGTAATATTTAACATTGGACGGGACCCGTCGAGATATAAAGAAAAAAAACGTATGTACTTATGAGTAACACCTTCCATTTCGTCCATATCGCTTGAAAAAAACACTACATAATATGAGTGAATACATAATAAATAAAAAAAAAGAGTAGTACAATAGTCATGAATGATGCTCCCCGCGCTCCGGATCTCCCCAACTCCACTACAAACTGCTCACCGATCCCCCATTTTGCGACCCTAGCACTGCACAAATACACACCCAACCAATCCCTTTCCACCCCCTTCCTTCCGGCCCAGAAAAACCCACAACAAAAGAAAAGAAGAAAAAACAAGGAAAAGAAACTCAAGAAAAAGGTCCACAAGATAAGCAAGTAGATCCTCTCCTCCCCCTGTGACTGTAGAAGCTGTAGTTTCAAAGAGCGAGTGAAGTTCTAACGTCCATTTATAGGCAAAGAAGCGCTAAGGATTCGCAATGAAAGGATTGGTTGGTTTTGTGTGTGTGACTGATTAAGGGTGAGTTTGAGATGCTGGGAATTTCCCTGTAATCACATCCCATCCCGCCCGTGTGTTGGTTATTGTTGATACGTGTTGTGCTGAAGTCCCAAAGAGAGAGAAAGAAGCGAGCAAGGGTATAAAGACAGAAGAAAAGAGAGGATAGGAAGTAGTTTATTTCCTACATTCCCCGCGCTCTTCCTAGTCCCGTCGGAGGAAGTATTCGTTGGTGGTGGTAGTGACGTGTTCCTCCGACAGGGCCTTCTTCTCCTGGTACAACTTCGGGGGTGTTAGCCAACCACCTTGTCTTCACGCTCCAGGGTCCAGGGTCTTGGGACGAACCTTTCTCTTCCTGAGCGCCGCGATTCTCTTCTTCTTAGTCATCGAGTTGATGTATGTCCCAATCACGAACGCGACTAGGTTGAAGAACGGCACCCAGGCGTGGGGCGGCAAGAATTTCTGCGCAAACAATAGCGCGAGCGGGCTAGTGCACCACGACACCTTCATGACGGGCATGAACCCTGCCTTGACCGTCGCGCGGATCTGGTGGGATGTGCGCGCGCCGGCGATAATCGCCATACACGCCAGGTACACGGAGTTCTGAATCGGCGAGACCAAAAGATTGCTTACCACGATCTGGGCGATCTTGGATTTGGTAGACGTGCGGCCGGCAAAGACCTTCTGGAGAAGAGTTACAAGGATATGGCCGAGAGGCGCGGAGATAAGCGCGCCGTAGAAGGCCATTTTGGGGACACGGGGGGTCAGGTAGGAGCCATTCTTACTGCGGTCGCGGGCGATCACAGAGGCCAGAACTTCCTGCAGGGCAGAGAGAGTTCCGGAGGTCAACATCTTGGTCCGCCTAGCATGTTTTGTCAGTACTCTGTTCCATCGTGAAGCGCGCGACTCGACCCAGGCGACAAAGTGGGCAGAAATAGCAAAAGATGGGGCAAGCTACATTGGATTGTCTTGGAGCTGCCTGAGATAGATCTAGAGGTGCATTAGTATCCGAGTAATCACGCAAAAAAAGAGGTCATCGCGCTCAAAAGTCAAAGCACACACGTACCTGCATATATCCAGTGCCAGCTCCCCCAAAGCCACCAGTCTTGTGCTTAGTGGAGGAGGTCATGGAGGAGATCTCCTTTCGGATGACTTCTTTAGTGATGTCTGCCATTGCTACGATATGCTAGCTGTTTATTTGAAAATTAGATAAAATTAGTTAGTGATGCGACTTTTGTTTATTACTTTTTGATACGAGGAGGAGAAGAAGGAGAAGGAGGGATGAGCGGCGACGACGGAGGATGGGGTTGGGTTGGGTTGTTGTCGTGTTCCCCCTGGTTGGGCTGGGTTTGAGGTACAGGCCATACAGGAAAGAGGTGCAACGCGTGTTTATGGATGATGCTGGGCGCGAAAAAGGGACGAGTGGGAAAAGAGAATACGACAAACCTTGTTTGGGGAAAAACAACAACGATAAACGAAGAATTGAGATGCAACAATTAAATGTTGGCCTGTAGCTCTGTAGGGCTGCTTAGGGAAATATGGAGAGAGAGATGAGGAGCGCTAGGGAAGAAAAGTAAAAGGGAAGAAGGAGAGAGGAGGTGAGAGGGCAAGCAAGTAAGAGAGGAGGAGGGAGGCCCGCAGATGGAGAGAATAGAGCGCGCGATTGAGTGTGGGGTCGTGCAGCAATAAACACTGACTGCGGTGGGTGTGGGTGGTGGTGGGTAGTAAGTGGAAAAGGTGGTTGGGTGAAGAGGAAGGGGGAGGGGGGGGAGAGGGGCTGAACTACTATTATCTCAGGGCCAATTCTCTCTCGCGCTCCTCTCACACTGTCTCTTTCTCTTTCTCGATCTTGTCCTGTTGTTGCTGAGCTCTCAATTGAACCGAGGCTGTGCGATTGAGCAGCAACCGAGTCAAATCGGATATTCAGCTGCTCGGATATCGGGGTTGTCCGCTCGTGAGAATTGAGAATTGAGTCTATTTACCACTTCCACCCCACCGCCGCGCCGCCCATACCCGCTGCCTGCCTTACTCAACACCTGTGATCCTGCAATATGACCTCCTTGAGCCTGAACTTGCTGCGAGTTGCGAGCTGCGAGACTACATGTAGTTACTCTTTTGAGGTCAGACTAGTGTCCCAATTTCCCCTCTGCATATGTGTTTTCAGCTTGCCGCCTTTGAAGTGGGTAAAGCCTGTAATCAAGTTTAAAATTAGACGCCCTTCCCTTCTTCCCTTCTTCCCTTAATCCATCTCAACGTCGGTATTTTGACCCTAGAGTTGCACTATCAAAGTGCACCACCACATAGAGTACTGAACAAGGCAGGACCTGGTGTGCGTGAAAAGGGAACCGAATCTAGGTATCCTAATGATCCTCGCCGATTCCCGTCCCGGCTTGCGCCTGGTTCCCCAATCTATCTGTTGTAGTTATCCGCGTCTTGCAAGATCTACGAATTCCCCGATCTTCATTCGAGTGTTCAGTGGTTGAATAGTTTTTTTCTAGACTCGCTTCATGCTCGATCACTACTCTAATAAGTAGGGTATGTGCTCTACAGGAACTACCCTACATGATAGAGTAGGGTACATATGTGCATCTCAAGTGTACCTACACTCCAGACCGCAGTATCTACTCTAGGCCCTCCAGAGTACAAAGATCCCACCTATTACAGAACCCATACTCCATTCGACACCTACCCACCCCATGGCGCATTTAACTACGACAGTGCGTGCGCGCAATGTCTCGTTTCATCTCCATCCCTCACCCCAGATCAGGGTGCGGCGGAGTTGTTTAGATCCGAAGACGACTTAAGCTGGCACCTCTTAGCATCTTATCTTATCTTGATTCACACTTTGGTTGGCTACTAAAAGCCCTAACCCTTGCTCGTATTCGCTGTTCCTGCACCTTAATAATGATAACTGCCCTACAACTAGCTAGCTGTCAGCTACTTACATTCCCATCCCCCCACCAACACGTTGGTGTTTTTTTTTCTTTTCTTTCCTTCCTTTCTCGTCTCCTTTCTTTTCCCGGCTCCGTGGTTTGGTGCTCTGGTATTAATACGACGGAATTATAACTTCCGCCTACTTTCCTACCAGACACTACTACTACTAGTACTACTAGCTAGTACCGTCAGATACTATTGCTACGAACACTGCTACCACCGCGGGCTCAGTGGTTTGATTGGACCTCCGTAGTAACCCACTTACATCCTCACACGACCAACTCATCATTCCTTCCTTTCAACCCCACCGGCCACAATAATGCTCTTCTTTGCATCCTTCCCCACGCCCAAGCCTCTCCAAGCCGAAATCCACCAGCTCCCCGCCCCACCGCTCTCAAAGCTCTTCACAACCACAAACAACACCCCCTCAAAACGTCTCTCCACCTCATCCTCCATCTTCTCCTCCCTCGGCTTCCAGAAGTCGCCGCCCATCTCGCAGCAGCCCCAGTACGTGCCCAGAGCGATACCAAGGCTCTCGAAATGCACGCATCAGAGCGTGACGAGATACTATACTGCAGCCAGCACAAGTACGCCTGAGGAGCTCAAGATGCAGGGTAAGGAGGAGGCGCATGAGTATTGCCAGAGATGCAGGAAGCAGCACTGGTTCCGCTGGGTCTATGTCTGCGATATGTGTTCGGCGAGGGCCTGCCATAACTGCAGGCCGAAATGGGCAGAGAGGGCATGGGGGAGCTTTGGGAGTCTGGGCACTATGATGGAGGGTGTGGAGGAGCCAAGGGTTGAGGTGAAGAGAGATGAGAGGATGGAGAGGAGTATGAGTGTGGGAGAGGAGAAGAAGTTGAAGAGGAGGTCGAAGAGGTGGAGTGGGAGTGCGTGGTTGAGGGAGTTGAAAGAGGGCACTTAGGACGACAGCGATTTACGAAACGATACAACGGGGACATGGATCGAACGAACAAGCGGATGAATGGGACACATGGGATACTACTTTTGAAATAGAGGATATGGCGTTACACTGGAAAGGGGGACTGCTGGGATTTTATTTATTTTCCTATTTTCCTTTTTTTCTTTCATGGGTGGTTTTTTTATATTTTCCATATTCTTATTCACATCGATCCTCTATTCTCCCTATATCCTATTATTCCATAGAAAGAGAAAAAAAAATATCTAGATTGTTTCCCTCAAGGTTCCTTATCATCCAAGTAATTCTGCTATTGTCCCAATCCGGCCAGGTGGTACCAAGTAGCTGCGCCAAAAAGAAAGTCGAGTGACTGTTGGTGCACGTGTGATTTTCTTATCGCACCCTTTATCCCCCGCTATCTCGACTCGGCTCGCATCCGCTCAACCTTATGTTTGGTTCCGCCAGGCGACGTTTTTCGTGTGTCAAATCCAGCGGGATTGGAAGGGGGCATGTCGTGTGAAAAACCTTGTTTGAACCTGGTTATTGATTTATTTATTGGTTGATTCATCGGGCGTTTGAGCTAGGAAGACTGTGCGTGGTCAAGATAGCTGATTCTTCTCCCTGGGCGATAAAAAGCCGTCAAGAGCCGTTTTGATGGTGGTAGTGCTTGCCATCTGAAATGCCGAGTGATGATCTGTGATTATAATCTTCCCAGTGTTATTACACATAACTCTCACTGCTACTACTGTAGTAATAATTGCTGAAGGAGATTATTGATGTATTTATTGTATATAATAGTTAGCTACAGCTTGAGTTCTACTTAAATAGGAAATCCTTGAGCAGGATTGCCCTAATCAATGGGGGATCAGAATCCGCTTAACTCCTGAGTTAATTTGTCGAGACTACATTTATCAGACGTTGATGATTACAAATGGTAGACAGTTTGAAGAGCGCTTATCTGACTAGATGTGTGGGCTATAATTGTGCTGTGCTGATATCTGTATGAAAGCTGCTACAAACTCCTGAACCAGAAGCGTTGTTGGTGCCCCGAAGCGCTAGCGCACCTGGATCGGTTAGGCACCTCCGACCTGCCTTGGCGGCTAAGTATCATTTCCAGCTAAGAACACCTATGGGCGAGTGGCCTAGCGGTTCTCCGCATGACTCGCCTGCTGGACACCGAGAGGTTGTGCCTGGTCTTCGACTGCAGAAGGTCCATGGTTCAATCCAGAGGTGGGAGTAGTAGATTTCGGTCCGACGAAATCTGCAGTACTTTTGTTCTTTTTCTTTTATGAAAGAAAAAAGAAAGAGTGAGAGCTGCACAGATCGAGTGGAATCGATAATAATAGTAATTTAGTGCGGTTTACGAGGTATTGTTATGTTTGCCTCAAGCTGCTCCAGGTTTAGATATCCATAGACCTAGCTATGTCTTTTACCAACTTTCCCCACCTGCACCACAACCAACCAATGCTATCACGGGCTTTTGTTCTTCCATTGTTCCAAGGGGGCCCTTAAACGTACCCACACCTACTTACACCCCGCCAAGTGCCCAAACACAAAACACCACAGTCAATACTTAATACATAATCTCGATCTCGGCGCTATCTAGTGCGCCAGGCAAATGAGCTCCTACGCGCCTATTACGCGCGGTTACTCCTCCGACACTGTTTGTTTCTGGGGAGTATTGGTAGGTTTATAGTGAATCTGGGAACTGACTATGGCCAAGAAAGTAAGCATATCACTTGTATTCTATGCAGAGTGAAGACTCTTCCATATTTTTGAGGCACTGTATGTAACATGTTGGCTTTTGTTTTGAGTTACTTCGAGGACGTCATTCTACTCTATTGGGAGCGAGATACCCTGATCATAGTATATCCTACTACTTCCAGCCGTCGTAGGTTTATATAAGGAGCCTATAGAGATGGATCAGCTAGAGTAGCTAGAGCTGTATATATAAATACCTGCAATCATATAGCATACCGTTATTACTATAACATCCAGCGTCGATCCGCTCGCCAAAGCCAAAACCGCTCTTAATAATACTAGTCAACACATACCTCTCTGTGGGGTTACTTCAATCCAAGGTTGGAGTATTTGCTGAGCTCCTAGACGCTGGTGGTAGTTATAGTAGAGAGATGTAGGTATTTACTTATGTACTTACCTGGCCCTTTATTCTCTCTGCTTCCTGATTGGGATTTGGGAAAAAGCCTCTTTTCGACGGACTTAACTTTGAGCTCTTGCCTGCATGTTCTTCCTCAGGATTAGGGTTGGAAAAAATATGAAATCCGGTAAGTATATTGAGCTTTTTATTTTTTTTTTTTTTTGGGGGGGGGGAAGCGGATAAAGCCTATGAATGCGTTCGCAGATATTTTTGCTCCTGATGTCATTGTTGGTGGTTTGGCGGGCCTAGCAGCCCATGTGGAGATACGGTTCTTCCCAGTGGCCTGGTCATTTCTTTTGTTTGCTCAACAGTTCTATACTGGCCGTGTCTAGTTGTCATGATACCTAGCAATAACTATTGAAGACAAAATTGTTTAGCAGTTGCACAGAGGCTTTGAGAAGTCAGTTATGCATGCTATATATAGAAGCATCTCTGGTAAGTACGAAGTTTGACTAGTTTCAAATACTGGATCATAGAGTATCGTATAAAAAATTGGCCTTCAACACACCGAGTGATAATCTATGATTATGAAACAGTATCCGGATAGAAAAAGTGTTTCGTTCTGTACCATTAGGTACAAAAGCATAATTTAAAAATAATTGAACTACTCTAATCATTTTATTGGTGGAATAGGGAGTGATAACTATGCGAGTGATATCCAATGATCTAAGAGGCCGCAGGCAATCAGTCTACGGGGCGTACCATCTAGGGGATCTAGGTAATAACGGTGCGATGCGATTAAAAAACTTCGACTAGAATCGATATAAATACGTTGTAAATATATATACGGGTTGATTGCTGTGTACATAATCGACTAAGCATCATGGGAGTGAGGCGTCTCTCTATGACAATAAGCTGAACACACCGGGTAGAACAAGGTTAGGCTAGCTTATACATATCAGTGAATGCTGCCATGTAATTTATAAGATGAATTTATCGATTAAGTTATCTGTTCTTTTCTATCTCTCCATGTAGTGAAATCACTACATGCCTCAAAAAAAGATCAGAAACATGCACCAATCCGAAGCAAATCTCTCGAGACACGTTCTCTAACGAGTTATGGAGTAAATATATTCACGTGCAACAACCACTTCCCAACCACGACTTATAGATTGGTCATTTTCATCTGTTGACAAAATGGAATAGCACCACCTATTGATGGACCTGTAAACCTCCTGTTCTCATTTCCCTCATTCTCTTCTTGTGATTCCCCTTTGGGTAAGGGAGTAGACATATATCGCCGACCCCTATAGTTTTGACGTTTTGACTGCAAAATAGTCATTTCAGCAAGGGGCCCAGATGCAGGGCGAGGTAAATGTCCCCCCAATTCGGATATTACAGAGTTCTGATCACCAACACTTGGCTCATCCTGTGATGCATTATTACCGTGGGGGTAGGGGATCTCGGGACAAATGAGTTCCTTTGGAACGTCTTCCTGGTTTCCCAAAAGCCCGGGAATTCCACGGGGAAAAAACGGTGAAGCAGAGGCCTTTAGGCGACTTTCAACCTTTGTCACGCTCTTTTCCAAACCCCCATTCTCTTTATCTTTCTCTGGATTCAACTCACTCTGGGAATCCAGTTTCTCCTCAAGGGGTGGTTCCTTACGAGGCGCCTCCTTCTTCTTGATGAGTTCCTTTAATACCTCAATATTAGACCAATAGTGTCCTTCAATCTCCATCGAAGATGCTTTGTCGAGAATCTTCCGTACCAAATCCTCACTAGCGAGTTTCGAGAAGCCTTTACTCATTCGTAGGTCCTTTAATCTGTTGATGGTGAAGGCTATAGAGTTGCTAAGGTCCTCTAAAATAACCTCGATTGCATGCTCCATGAGCGGATTTATTAGACCATTGTCCCACTTATCCGCAATTTTTGTTAGTGAGGTGTATTGCCTTAACTTCCAAAGCCTTATGAACAGTTCAAGAGCTTCCTCCCCTCTTATAAACCTGTTTTCTTCTTCTCTATCCTCGTCTTCATCCTCGTCTCTAACAGTATAACTCTTTATTCTTTCAATCAAAGGAGGAAGCACACTCGATTTGGAAATTAACGACTTTTTCCATAGGCTCGGGATATTTCGTAACAGAGAAAACCAAGACATCCCTTTATTGAACATCCATTCATCCGTCACATCGCTATCATAAACTGCCTGGAGAATGTATGGAATTACTTCAGCACATCCGTTTCCGGTACACCGAAATTGATGTGCCAGTCTATAAGTTTGAAAGTGAGCCCAATCCTCCAATTGAGTGACAAGAAAAAAGTTTGCAGCCATAGAAATCTGTAGGAATAAATCCTCAATGCCCTCAGCTGGGAGTAGTCCTTTTTTGTACAACTCGCTGCAGCGGGGTTCTTTGTCCACTTCAGGTTCTGTGATATAATCCTGGAGGTTTGCATCAATCCCAAAAATAGCTGAAGGTATCCCGCAATACACATGCATCGCTATGGACCAAAGGGAGAAATCTGTAAAGATAGCCCTTGATAATTTTGAACAGTGTGGCGTTGGATCCTTGAATCTTAAACCAGCACGAGTTTTGATTTGATAGTACTCGACTCTGATATCCAGCAAAAACCGGTGAACCTTTATTGAAAACCTCGGCCATCCATTGGTTTCCTCGCCGTCAAGATCCCCTAAACTGATTTCAAAGTCTGGTAACATCGACTCAGGTAGTGTTGATTTCATGTTTCTGGTGCTGGCTTCCATACGCTCGTCCTTATTTTTCAAACGCACATCATCACTGCCCATTGCTTTCCAAAGTAATTCCAGGGACTCTATAGTATAGCTTCTTTGTAGAAACCTTTCGACAAAAGGTCGATTTTCCTCAGGCACAGATATTATCGTCACTTCTTTGCCTCGGTCGTTTATTGCTTTGCCAATAACGTTCCCGAATTCAGTCGGCAGCTTGTTCCCAGATGCGACGTAGAAGAGTGGAGAGTGGACCCAGACACTGTCGTGGCCGTGCAGGACGAAAACCACATCACCGTCATCACAGGCCGCTTTTCGAAGCTTGACCAGGTCATTGAGAAGGTCATCTTGAAGATCATAGCGAAAAACAGATTGTGCAGGGAGGGATAGTGGGGAGACTCGCATGACGACGTTCTTTGTGTTGGTTGAACGATTCTAGTTTTGGGGAGCTGGTTTTGATGGCGACGGTCATGAGTGGGGAGCTTAGAGTTTCTATGTTCGATTGATGTTAAGCTTTATCCAAATACCGACCAACTCTCCCTCCAGCGTTTAAAGCCACGAAACATGCGAGTTGAGGAGTCATCGCCCAGGCAACCACTATCCCCAGCACCAAAATACTGGAAATAATGGGTTTATAAAGCTCTATGGTGCATATGCATACGTAAGCACACAGCTATATTCGCCATCTATTGTACCAATATGTACGTGTAATTTACATTTGATTTACATGAGAAGAAGAAGAGATGAATGCAGGTATAAGAGTCTCAATATCTAAAAGTAAAATCGATCATGCGCAGTACCAAACCCTCGGAAGCAAGACATAAAACCCAACCAGACCCCCCAATCCCAGACCCAGATTAAAAAATATACTAAAAAAGCGGTTTCTACAGCGGCGGTAACGGGTTTCTAAAGAGGAAAAATCAGTTCAACGAGCCCAAAAACTTCGAGACTCAGAGCTACATACCTGCAAATCGGACATTGCAGCCGGAACCTCATCCATCCCTCCAAACAATTCGAATGGAATACGTGTTTGCAAGGCGTGACCATGTATCCTCTCCTCCCAAGTAACCCAACACCACCGCTTCTACCTGCCTCGTTTTCACTGGAAATTGTGGGCACTTCAACTGATTGCATGCAAATAGCACAATCGAAGATTCTTGCCCCAGGTACAGTGGATGGCGATGTAGGGATCTGGGGATCTGCAGCTTCTAGGTCGTCAAGGGGGAGGATCGGGTGGTAATCGTAGGCCGGTGGGAGAAGCTAAGATTATTGTTAGTAGCGAAGATTTGGAGAGACCGATGAATTACTTACGTTTGTTGGTATCAGAAATCTAGGCCCAAACACCTCCTGGCTCACTAAAGCACAGACTTGGAACCAGACCCAACCTATGATCAGAGCTGCCGTCTTCAAATTTGGCTCTATATAAAAGATATTGTCTTTCCAGCAATAAATATATAACACTGGCAAGATCCTACAAAAGCTCATCCCAGCCACAAACTCCCAGGTGAAGGCTTTTCGACATCCGCGCATGACATTTCGGTAGACTTGTGGTAACCAGAAGCTGTTTGCCAAGATTACAGCGCTATTCATAAAGATATTTCTGAAGAAAGGCGGCCAAGATGTTGCGTGAAGGGATAGAAATATGGATCCCAAGAGAATGAAGTAGAAGCGAGAGTACAGCATCCCGAGGTCTTGTCTTCCGTCATCATCGGAATCATTGGTATCTTGGTTTGGGGGAAGAACAACAGGGGTTTGTGGTGCAGCAGTTACAGGGGCTGGAAGCCCACTAGCAGAGAGATTTATTGGGACAGGGGCTGGCGTTGTATTTGTCGCTGGAGCAGCTGGTGGGTTTGCGCGCCGTTCGGGCCGTTGGACGCGGTATATTGTCATTAGAAAGCGCATACCAAAGAGAGAAACCAGCAAAAAAGAGAAGAATGCCGCTGAAACCAACGGCAAAAAACATGAATCTGGAATAATTTATTAATCCTGCTTCGACACTTGTGTCGCCAGATTGGAAACGACCTAACATACCCACAAAGATAGAAACTGCTAAAAATGCTATAGTCAAGTAGCCATCTACCACACTCATCATAGCCATAGTCCAAAAGCTAACTCTGCTAACCGTACTTGGCGTATTACTCTCGTTCATTTGTCTGATCAATAACCAGATCTGCACAATCATTACAGACGCAGCACACAATGCGAAATTGGATGCCTTATCATAGTATTTCTCAACCTTCAATCCCTCTGATCCCTTTGTGCTAAGAACGAACCCACATGTAGGGGAATAGATGATAGAGGAAAGGATTATTGGGGGTGCAGGTGGAACAGGTGCACCAGTAGGACGACGTAGTTCCTGCTCAATCTCGTGGATGGTTTCTAGCGTCATGGGTTGTTGCGATTGCAACGGATTTGGCCCAAATGGAAAGAATGACATGAGAGGAGTTGAAAATTCTGGGGTATCTATTGGATGAAATTGAATATACACAATATATTCGCAGCGTGGATCAGAGACCTGGTCGGAGCCTGATTGCCAGGGAGAGTTGGAGTGCGATGAATCCTCTTGCTTTTGTATTGCTGTTGAGATTGACGAGAGCAGAAGAGTTTTGGAAAGATTATATGATTCGTCTGTAAGAGTAAAGTGGGGAAGCGCGAATATTCCTGAAAATCTGCTCAGTAGAATAGTTAACAAAGTGCCCCCCAATAAGAGCGAAGAAAGCCGCAAGTTTGACCAGTGTAACTAACCTCTCGGAAGAAGTTGTCAGAACCATCTCTCCAGAGTCCGTAAAATGCACGCCATATAAGGTAATTTCTTTCGAATCGCCACCCTCTTCGTTCTTAATCATCATAGTCATTCCAACTTCCTGAACTTTCCCAGGCTCCTTTTCCTCGATATTAAAAGTAATCTTCCCACTATCGGCAGTGACATTCTTTTGATACGTTATGTTCGACTGTGGTATTAGGAGTCCCGGAAGCTTCACGCGGCTCCATTCTCCGTGTAAGGTTCCTGACACGTTCCGATACAGTGGTAATGGCCCATTCAATATAGGAGCACGTTTGTTGTTTTTATTTTCCTGAGCATTATTATCCGATTTCTGTACTTCGGCTAACAGTTCCTTCTCTATTCCATTATTTGTCCCTTGGCTCCCAACATTTCTGACCGGGACCTCTGAACTGTGATCACCCCTGAAGTAATCCGCCATCACATCTTCCCTCATCTTCCGCACCTGCCCTCTGACTAGATCTGACGGGAACACCGACTCATTCTCAGTATTGATACCAGTTAAGTTTCCCGGCTTCCCAAACGTCGAGTTTCGTAGTGTTTCGAGCTCTAGTTTCTCCCTCTCGATAATGTGGTCGATCTCATGTCGCTGTGTGGGTGAGTTGCCATCGGGGGCGAGTAGGATGATGATTATGAGTATCAAGAAGACTCCAAGGCGAGATTGCTCCATAAAGTTGTAGGAGCCCAGGGGGTTTGACTGTTCGTAGATCTTAATTAAGGTCCTGGTTAGCTGTCAGGACTTCTGTAGTCTGGAATTACTTTATGGAGTTAGACAGCCGACGTCGCACAAGGCTTATTCAGCCTCAAAGCTCTACTAGTAGGTACAGCTAGGTACATGTACATGTAGGTACGAGATCGTCAATAACATTATCAACTCGCCATTACCACAATGGTTACATGTGTTTGTTACGTAGGAGTTAAAGTATGTCAGATTGATTATGAATAAACCGCTAGGCTTGTAACTTTGAAGCGAGGAACTGGTTAGAATCAGGGTCAGGTGATTTAATTCACCAAGAACTATAGAGCTCGATACCCGGCCGAGCTTTGTATTAGTTTCAATCCAATATTGTGCCTATGTCCCTCTGCCACTCTGGGTTCTATTGACTGAATTCGGGAGTTCTCAAACTGTACGCCGAGGTGTTTCTCGCTCATATTCAGCCCCAGAAAGCTCAATTTGGTTGCCTACAATTATTACGTCTAAATTTAGATTGGTACTCCACGCCGCTTAAAGCATTATCTGCTAGTCTCTACGATTCAAGATCTAATAAGAAGCCTATAGAGGATACATGTAGTTTCATCTAATGTTTGGCACTAAATTCCTTCGGGAACGCAAAAATCCAGATCCTCGAGAAAATCGTATCAGGCAATTAGGTCACCGATTACTCATGTCCAATCCTTTTTGGAGGGGGGAATTTCCACCACTAGGGTTGCAGTTTCGCAGGGTCCTCTGTCCCTCTCCTCCTCCTCATTTTTCTCCTCTTGATCCAAGCCCCACCACCACTTCTTAATTTCCTCAATCACACGATACTGGCGTGTGACGCGGTGCATCCTCTCCAAGCGTCAAAACGATAGAATGGGAATGCAGATCTACCTTCTGAAGATTGCATTGATAACTGAGGATCGCAGCCTCAAACGCCCTCCGATTAACCTGAGTTATATGTAGAACCTTTCTACCATCTGCACCTCAAAATTTCTTGTAGAAACAATAACACTATTACAATGCTCTCCCGGCTGGGGGAAGGAGCTCTAGAAAAGCTACAGACAACAAAGAACATCGCAAAGGAGTGTCTAAACCGAGCCCTAGGCTACGCAGACAAAGATACAGAAGGTAAAAAAAAGCAAATAACTATCCGAGTATATGTAGGAACCCTTCCTAACTGACGGCTGGCAGAGAAAGACATAAAGAAAGCTCCCGACAAGGCTCCGAAGGGGGAGGTGGAACAGTCGATGATTTTCAAGCGCGACGCTGCCTACGAAGAAGAGCTCGAAACAGTTGAGGACGAAGATGACGAGGACTTGGTCCTCATAACGCATCAGCCATGCAGGGTCGGAATCGAGAGGAAGAAGCCAACATCACAGCCAAATGGGAAGCAGGAGAAGTTCCAGAACTTGGAACTTGGAGAGGAGAGATTTGACGAGGTTTCGTTAGAGTAAATTGTGTTGCCCAGAAAATGCTCCACAACTTACCTCACTCCCTTGGTGGTGGGGGCTGATTAACTAACTTTGCAGTAAATACTCTCTTTCGGCTCTGGTATGCTGATATCACCAAACCTCTTGAGAGATTCAGTATAGCTCATAGACTCTCGTTCTGAACAGGCATCCTCCACACAACTAGCCGGGATGTTTGGACGCTCGAACCTATTGCATGGCATGGTGCATGGCGATGGTGGACAGTATCTTTATTGCCTAGGAATTGTGGGAGAGATTGTCGAAATTTCATTCTCTGTCTAGCACTCTTTACTCCCCATTTATTTCCATTTCCTTTCACTCTTTCAAGTCTCCCTTCCTCTCTCTTCTTTATTTCTACTTCAGGCTTGAGCCTGCAGATAATTTCAATTTTTAATACTAATTTCAATTCAGCTTTGAATACTATTATCTTCGTTGATTTTTCGTCTTATATAGCTCCTGGCGATTTCCCTAGCTCCAACTCCCTGCATTTTGCTCAAGGTGTTTAATCCATGTTCTTCCAGGCGCATTAATTTCTATATTAGAGATAGGCGGAGAGATGTGGGCGGCGCAGTCACGAGATTCAAGTCATTACATATTTTCTCTTGCATCCTGTTGTTACACTATTAACCCATCTTACAAGGGCCGAGGAGAGGGCACTGTGTGCTCTTCCCTCTCCTGATCAATTCTATAGATGATAAAACACGAGTCACTGTTCAAAAGCGTTAGTGATATGGCAACGACTCACCCCGCCCCCGATAGAGAAGAGCATTGCAAAATTATAATGAATTCTGGGAAGATAAGTTGTCTAGGAAACACTTTTAAAAATAAATATTCATCTTCTTTTTCCACCGTATCTGTGACAAGCCCAACCCAAGTTTTCATCCCAGACGCTGGCCATACATATATTGCCTTCCTTTCACTATAACTAACCACAATCCGTGTTTTGTTAATGGGCTGCTATGAGGAACGATGGGTGATACCGAAGAATACGATGACTATATTATCACTGTGGCTTTGCTTTACCTCTCTTCTTTGCGTAGCAGTTACGTTTCCTGTTCTCCTAGCTCACTACGTAATCCATTTCACAAAAGCACAGGACCGGGTAATCATGTACTATCACTCGTTCACTACAAAACACACTCCACCACGATCATTGACTCTCCTCTTATCTTTATCAATCCGTTAATTCATCACTTTGAGTGTTATTATTCAAAGTAAACTAATAATAAAATACGTGGGCAGCTTTAGAGGTAAGCAAACAGCTATTAGGCCCCCCTCCATTTACATTCTTTCTACTCTACACCCCACCCCACCAGATCCTCGAAAGAAAGAAAGAAAGAAATATTGATGAAAAACAAAGAAAGTCCTAAGTAGGAAAACTTTTTTAAAAAAATCCCGTTGATAAGAGCAATGCTAATAGAAAAAGTTCGAGCAAGAAAAAAACGGAAAACAAACATGTGCATACCCAGCAAGCACCATTACCTACGCCGCCGACCCTGCAGCAGCAGCCGCCATACTGCTCCTGAGCACGCTCGCCACGCTCTTCGGTGCCACGCATCCATGCTCGCAGACGACCGCCTTGATGCAGTCGCTCGGCGTGACATCGTACCTGAAGCTTTCAATCCTCATATTGTTGATCTCTTTCCAGCCCTGCAGGGGGCCCATCTCACGGGCCTTTGTGTCACTCATGTTAACGAGCAGCTCGGGGTCGCCTTTGTAAGTTAGCCATCAGTACCCATCAGATACTTTTCAGAGGGGGAAATACCAAGCTCGTTGGACACGATCCCGTCGAGATTGATCTTATCACTAAACTTTATGCTTTCACAGCAGACAACGACAGGGATGCCAAATTCCCGCGCGGTAGTAGCGACAATGGCGGTACCGCTACGAGAATAGAGAGCTCCATCAGCCATGATGGCGTGGGCACCGAGGAGCACGCGTGTGGCGGATGGGATGCTGTGTTCGAGACCGTAGAGATGGACGTATTCACAGCGGATTCCAGCCTCGGCGATACCTTGGAGGAGGTTCTTGCCTTCGAGGAGCGGCCGGTTGTCAACAACGATGACGCTGAAGATCCTGCCCTGGCGATGGGCCTCGAGGAGAGCCCGCTCAACAACTTGGGACTTTCCGTAGGTGAGGATGGTGTCACCGGTGCGGATGTACTTATCGACGGTAGTCTTAACGATCATGTCATCGGCGACTGTCAGTTTCTCGCGGATGAAATTTTCAATACGTTCTACCAGATGCTTCTTGGAAGCCTCCTGAGTCTGATCAGGAGGGAGAGTAGAGATTTCCTGCTTCAGCCAGCGGATGGTGTTACCCATTGCCGTGGACATGGGGCGTGCCGACAGAAGGTAAGCAATCTGATGTGAGAGATAGTGTCCTGGGAGGTGACGTGAGAGTGAAGATGCGGGGGGCGTCTCGTAGTCTTGGATTACCTGCGGGGGGTGGTTAGTACGTTGATTAGTGGGGCGAGTGATTTGTTATGATTCTGGCTAGAGTTAAAGACCGAGGGGATTCATACACGTTTCATAGCTAACAGAAACCCAATACATCTCGCAGTACTCCCCGAAAGAACATATTGGTTGATCTGCATGCCTAGTGTCAGGATTGCAGGGTGCACATCCACATGGGCATGCCCCAACCCGAACACTGGCCCCTTCTTCTTCTCATTCTGCTCCACTGACAGGTCCTTGAGCAACCCGACGAGCCCTCGGTCCTTTGCCGGTTCGACAATAACCTCTACCTCCTTCGCTACCGTCTTGACCGGTTGGTTTCCACTGCCACCGCTTGTGACATAGATTGTCTTTACGATGCCACCGCTGCTGGTTGCTGGCTGCTGCACTGTGACTTTGGCACCACCTTTATTGCCTGCTGAGGCTTCTTTGGGTTTATGACCGGCCTGGGCGGAGGGTGGTGCACCACTGGTGCCTTTAGTTTCCGCACGGCGGGCGGCCTTTTCGGCTTTCTTCTTTTCTTTGAGTTCCTTAGGGTCAGCTCCCTTTTACCATCTCCTGCCGCTGCTGCTGCTGTCGGAGCAGCAGTTTTCTGGTCTTTGACAGGCTTAGGGGCCTTAGGTTCCTTAGCTAATTTAAGAGCAGCCTTTGGGGTGGCCTTGGGAGCTGGTGGGGCCGGCGGGGGTGTCGCTGCGGATCCTGAGGGGGGTGTCGGGTCTACCATCTGGACGGAAGGTTAAGGGTGTTAAGTTTAAAGGCGAGGTTATATTATAGGCGTGTTTGTAGTAGGTGTGGGTGGTGTAGTGGATGCACTGGTACTGCTACTACCAAGATCTATGTATTAGGTGAGCGTTGAAGTTGTTTTTTTGAAGGTCAGTTCTTTAGTGGTGGTAATGGTGGTGGGGTATTTCCTTCCTTGGTGGGGTGAGTAAGACTAAGACCGCAGCAAGTGCCATTCTATGGAGTCACTTGTTCCAGACAGGTCTAGCCCAGGAACCCTTGTGTGGCCGGGTAACTGCCTGTATGTGTGTGATAACCCTAACCTTGTCTGACGACGACAAAAAAAAGCGCTGACTGGGATCTAGGACCTGACCGAGGCTAGCAGGGGAGAGCAGGGTAAACAATTCCTCCATTCTGTCGCCGGTGCAATTGATTGAAATCTTGAAATCGTGTGTAAGATGTGCACTGGACTTCAGTGAATTCTATGAAATTGGGCATTCCCGTTTTTCTTCACGCACAGCTTTCCTTATTTGGTACATGTATTTATTCATTGTCTACTGCGATTTATCCTGCATGGCATGGCTTATATTGTATTTCCTATTTTATTATGAGTATAGGGGTACGGTGGATCGTAGAGACACATTCATTGTGTATAATCTCACCATTGAAACAGACTCGTTTTGACACTTTTACTTATGCTTGTGTGAGGGTCCTTTTGCAGATCTAGTTTTGATTGACCAATAAATGCGCACTCCATTGAGTTCAGCGGGTTCGCCGTTGACCTGGAAAGTAGTACTGAAGGTTGCGAAGACGCTAGAACATGCCGCGATAGCCCAACATCGTCTAAATCACAACCCAGGTTTGCAGAGCATGCCATACAGTACTCTATTTTCTTGTCTCTTATCTAAAGTTTTTATGAACATACCCGGACACCTCATAATCTGAAACATACATAATAACCAGCACTTACATACAGGCTACAGCACGCACTCTAGGCAGGTTTAGAGTACAGACAGACAAGCTAGCTAGACAGACAGGCCGGCCGGTCACGACCGATCCCTTGGTGACGGCTTGATACTCAAAGGAGCCACCGAGACACTGTAACGATCCCCGCTGATTGGCTGCACGTTTTCTTCTTCCAATCCAACCAAATGGCCCCAACCAGCCCACAGGTCCGAGCTCAGCAGCGAAATCCCCTTTTCTCAAATCCCATCCTTACCTACTTTACCTCACCTTTCCCCTGAACCTGTCCTCTTCCTGCTACCTCTCCACCCATGCCTTGACAGAAGAAGGACGCTGGCAGGTATCGTCGCTTCGCTGTGCGGTTTTTCTCCTTCGTTTCTCTTACAGAAACCTACCCTCGCTTTCTTACTTGATTATTATTTATTTTACTGCTGTTATTTTTTTTTTCTTCCTCTTAGCACTTTTTTTGGGAGGCTCCCTACCAGTACACCCACCTACCTATCTCGGCCTCTCTCACCGAAGAGTAAATACACACAGGCAGAATTGCCCCCCCCCCCCCCCCCAAACTCGTGTAACCACAAGGGAGAAATGATGATGATGGAGCAACAACGCGAGGGCTCGCGACAACGCGCATTCATAGTGCTAGGGGTGTTTGGCGCAATAATCCTCCTGACGAACCTGGCGCTCATTACCGGAACCGACTTTGGCATAAGGATTGAGAAGCTACATGTCCCCGAGGTACTGGGCGGACAGCCTAGCTATGAGAATGAGAATGTGCAGAGTGACGTATGTAGCCCGGAAGAGCCTGATTGTGAGAAAAACGGCGGTAGCTGATGGTGGTGCTCAATGATTGATAGCTCTTCAAGATTACGCCGTTGGATGACTTGGACTTTGATCACTCCTCCGAGACGGTCGATAAACACCCGATTGTAGGCCTCATGCGTGAGGCCGCGGAGAGGTTCCGCGCGTACGAGTCGTCACGGTCAACGAACTTTGCGGAGGCTGTAAAGACGTACAGAGAAAGATACGGGCGACATCCACCCCCGGGATTCGATAAAGTATTATTTACTCTAAGCTTTCTCTCCCGGAAACCTAAAAGCTGACACCAGAGCAGTGGTACAAGTTTGCGCGCGACCGCGGAATATACCACCTCGATGACTTCGACCAGATCAACGACGACCTGCGTCCCTTCTGGTCTATCCCCCCCGCCGAACTCCGCCTCCTCGTCCACGGTATGCTCGCCGAAGAGTCGGGCCCCAGCGGCATTGCCGGCCTCGCAATTAAGGAAGGGAAGACGAGGATTCTCACCAGCAAGGACAACTGGCGCGCTGAGACAATGAAGGATATGCTCGACGTCTTTGCCCATGAGCTGCCCGACATGGAGATCGCGATGAACCGACTAGATCAGCCGCGAGTCATTGTGGAGTGGGAGAAGCTCCAAGAGCATCTTAAGAAAGAGGAGGAGACCCGAAGCATGCCCGAGAACCCGAAGAATGAGTTTACGCCCAGGAATTTGGTGTTCAAGGAGACGCTGCCGATCGCAGACTGGTTCAAGGCCCCCGGGAAGCCGTACATGGACCTAGTGAAACCGGCTTGCCCGCCAGACTCATATGCCCGCTCGGAGACTATGTCCCCCGAGGAAGCAGAGGCAAAGTACAAGCTCCCACACACCGGCGGGATTGTGTCGAACTTCAACACGTCGAGCGATCTGTGCACTGTCGGACCGTCAATCAGCCAGCTCCACGGCTTCATGTTCTCGGCGTCGTCCGTCATTGCCACAAAGAAGCTCGTCCCCATCTTTGGCGAGTGCAAGGTCAATGTCAACAACGACATCCTCTTCCCCGCAAACATGTACTACCGCAAAGACGAGCGCTACCAGTACTCGGACAAGAAGGACGTCGCCTGGGAGGACAAGGCCACAATGATGTTTTGGCGCGGCATCACCTCCGGCGGTGTCCAGGTCAAAGACTCCTGGCGCCGCCTCCACCGCCATCGTCTCGTCCTTATGACAAATGCCACGGAGCTCGAGGAAACCCAGGACACGTACGATATCTTGCGCTGGGCGTCGGACACGGGGAAGAACTATACGGAGGTCCGCGGCGCTTTCCATCCCAGTGAGTTTGCGGAGAAACACACGGACGTGGGGTTCCCGGATATGAAGTGGTGCGTGCCGGACGATAACTGCGGATGGCTGAAGCAGTACTTGTCGCCCGTCAGCCAGACGACGATGACGGACCAGTTTACGTATAAGTATCTGGTGGACGTGGACGGACACTCGTTCTCGGGGAGGTGGCACGCGTTCTTGAAGAGTAGGAGTATGGGCATTAAGTCTACCATCTTCAGGGAGTGGCATGATAGCCGCCTCTTTGCGTGGTTGCATTTCGCGCCGATGGATAACCGCTTTGATGGTATGCCCCCTACCTAACCTTCCCCCATTGGTGAATCATGGCTAATCACTCGCACAGACCTCTACACCCTGTTGACATACTTCATCGGCCTCGGCACACCCGGAGACCGCAACTCCACCAGCGCACTATACGTCCCTGGCCACGATATTGAGGGCAAGAAGCTGGCGAACCAGGCTCGCGACTGGGCTGCCACGGTCCTCCGGAAGCAGGACATTGAAATATACATGTACCGCCTCATGCTGGAGTACGGCCGGCTGCTGGACGACGACAGAGACGTGATTGGGTACGGCGGTGATGGCAGCGAGATTGATGAGGGCCGGTGGACGGTGTAGGGTTTGCATGGCGTGGGGTGGGGTGGGATGGGAGGTGGATGTGGAGGGTGGGATTAATGGCGTTGGGTGTCCTTTTTGTGTTTTTGGGTGCGAGTGGGGGCGGAGGGGATGAGGAAGGTGGGGGTGGGTAGGGGTAGGCGAGCTTAATGGGTTATTTGTGGTGGTGAGGGCGCACTATTGTGTGTATGGGTGTGTATGTGTGGGTGTTTTGAGACGAAGGGAAGATAGTGGCCCGGGGAACGGGTGTAATATGGATGGTGAAAATGACTGTATTAGTATAATCCAAATGTTCTGATGGTTATGAAATATATGAGTTTGATCTTGATGGTGATTTGGTGGTATTTTTCTGGTGGTGTAGTAATGTTGTTTAGTGGTTTTTTTTACAGTTGTTTCGTGATCTGGTAGATAGCTGAAGGGGAGCTTAAGCTTAAGCTTGAGTTAGCAGCAGTGGTGGTGGTTGAGCGCAAAAGAATGACTATATGTAGCCAGCGGGTGAAGGTGTAGAGGTGCAAAGATATAGAGAGGTAAAGGTGGTTTATGAGAGTGCTGGATATCTGCCTGATCTTAGCATGGGTAAATGGCACAAGTAGTTAACCCCAACCCTGACACTCACTCACTCGCTCATGATTCCTTGGCCTATATATCGTAAGTAGTATTTCATGTATGGTTGTGGTAGCAATGGCTGCCTTGAATACGAGGTGTAGATCCCAAGATGCGGCGTAGCACTGGGCACCAGGAGAGTGGCTGGGGGGACAGGGGGTGGGGGTCAATGATTGTTTGGTGACTTTTTGGGGTGGGGTGGGTTTGTTTTGGTGTGGTTTGGGGATGGGGTTTGGAGATGGTAATTGGGCTTAGAAGTTTGTGTTCATTCGTGGTAATGCTTTGGAGGTTCTGGGTTGCGGTGGGGTGTCTGCTGGGCTGCTGTATTGTGTTATTGCTATTCACAGCTATCTATCACTTCACGGCTTTGAACATCACAGCGGACACAACCAACCAGCCAGCCAGTCAGCCAGCTCACTACCCATCTATCAATACTTTTCAATTTTCTACACCCACACCCCCCCCCCCCCCCCCCGCGGCCCCCCCCCCCCCTTTGCACACACACAGAGAGAGAAAGCTACACTCAATGCTCCTCCCCCTTCACAAAAGCCTCATACTCCTCCCTCCCCAGCAGCTCATCAAACTCGGCCTCCCGCCCCTCGCCAACCTTGACCTTGACAATCCACCCCTCGTCCTCAGGGCTGCGGTTGATTAAAGCAGGCTTATCCTTCAGCGCAACGTTGGCCTCCACGACCTCGCCGCTGACGGGCGACATGATGTCGGATGCGCTCTTGACGCTCTCGACGGCGCCGAAGGCGTCGCCGGCGCTGACGTCGGTGCCGGCGTCGGGGAGCTCAACGAAGACGACGTCGCCGAGGGCGTTGGCGGCGTAGGTTGTGATGCCGATCGTGGCTGGGGGGGGGGGGGTTAGTAGGTGTGGTTGGAGGGGGGAGAGGGGGGGGGGTACCGATGTTGGAGACGGAGGGGTCGTGGGTCACCCATTCGTGGTCCTTGGTGAACTTTGTGACTGCGGTGGGTTAGCTACATGTATTAATTGAAGTCTGTAGCGTGGGCTGGGAGGTGGGTGTGAGGGGGGGACATACCGTAGACACGGGCGGACGCGGAGAAGGCGCGGGTTGCGCGGGGGGGAGGCGCGGGGAGCGTGGACCGGGTGAGGGCCCAGAAGGCGCGGAGGGAGAGTGTGCGTGCGAGGGAGGCCATTGCGGTGCTGTGGTTATTAGGTATTATTAGGTGCTGGTGCTGCGCTGGGGGGTGGAAGCAATTCTAAAGGGCGCGAGATGTGGAGAGGAAGGGAAATGGAAATGGAAATGTCAGGTTGGGGAGAGAATGCGTGCGGGCGGGCAGACGGGCAGGGCTGGGGGACGGACGTTGGGGCGGGTCACGTGCTGGATGATAAGCGAGGTCAAGCAGGATAACGGTTACGGTTACGGTTACGGTCCAGGAGGCCGGAGTCTTTTGTCAGGGGTTTTTTTTATTATATTTTCTTCCTCGGGGAATAGAGACATCAATCTCTCGTTATCCTACAGCGGTCAAGAATGGGTTCAATTGGAATCATCATCCAGTAGATAACTAGCATCCATCCTCGTTCGCGGCCGTTGAGGTTCTGAGGAGGAATCCTTCAACGTCTGTGACCCCGCGGATCACGTGTGTGGGGACAACCCGGTAAAAAAAGAAAACCACCACGGCGAAGCAGCGCAAAAGAATTTTGAGCCTCACGCGTCAGTCTGCAACCTCTTTTTCTACTCCCTCTATCTACTCTCTCTATTCTTTATATTGTCACAATGCTGTACGAATTGATCGCCGTCGTAAGTCCCCGTCCCCGCCCCAGCTCCCAATTGCACGACATGACGGGTGGAAAATCAAACCCAGCTAACCCTCCTCCTCCCTCTAAGGTCCGCGGCCAATCCCTCCAAGAAGTCAAAGAGTACCCCCCCCCCTCTCCCTCTCCCTCTCCCTCCCACCCTTCCACCCAACTAATCCCCCCCCCCCCCCGGGCCCGCAGCATCGCCAAATCCGCCGGCACCCTCGTCCTGCGCAACGGCGGCGTCGTCCGCGGCTACACCAACTGGGAGCGCCTCCTGCTGCCCAAGAAGACCCACAAGCACCAGAGCACGCACACGCACGGTCAGTACTTTGTCATGCGCTTCGACGCAAACAGCATCACGCAGAACGAGATCCGCCGCACGCTGAAGATGGACCCGCGGATGGTCGGCTTCTCGGTGGTCAAGTTGGGGACCAAGTTGGAGGAGGTGGCGGAGGTGGGGGGGAGGACGTTTAGTTTGAAGCCGTTGTAAGAGGGGGGGGGGGGGTGTGCTGTACTGTATGGGGGCAGTGAGTGGGGTTGGGAGGTGATAGGTCGAGCTGAGATAATATATCGAGCTTTAGTGGTAGTCATATCCAATACCGCTCACTCTCGAAAGATTCATTTAGTAGATAGAAATGCTTGTCTCAGTATCGTCCAGAGTAGTAGTCCATGCACGGCCAAGTCTCACCTCTGAGACATACCCACCCACCTAGAGGGTCAATGATCCGTCCATCATGTATTGTGGCTCGCCCCACGCTCGGGCCTTACTCGGTGGTTCTTTATGGGTTGTCTATCACTCATGCTTGTATGTCTTTGCTTTCTATTATGTGACTAGTAGAGTTTATGGTTATGGAGAGGTCGGAGAGGTCGGAGAGGTCAATGATTGGATTGAGTTTTTTAGCTACAAAGAAATCGCACCACAAACGCCAGAAAGACAAAGACGAAAACCGAAGTGAAGATTGTATTTACCGAAAGTGAAGATTGACTTTTTTTATTCCCTTACTATCTACAAACCACTTCCTCCCCCTCTACGCATCCACAATCTCCCTATTCAGATTAATCTTCTTCAATATCTCCTCCGCGCCCTTCTCTACCAGCCCCCTCGCCACAACCCTCCCCATCTCCTCGGCCTCCTCCTCCTCCGTAACCTCCATCTCACCATCAAAATCAACAGCCTCTGCCCCATCGAGACTCACCACAATACCCTTCATCTTCAACACCCCCCCCTCCCACGCCGTCTCCACCCCAATAGGCACCGAACACCCCCCCTCCAACGTCCTCATCAGACTCCTCTCCGCACGACACGCCAACGCCGTCTTCACATCCCTCAGCGGCGCCAGCAGCACATCCACCTCCTGATCCCCCTCCCGCACCTCAACCCCCAGCGCCCCCTGCCCCACCGCATGCAGCAGCACCGGGCTCTCCAGCGGCGCGGTGATCCGATCCGACAGCCCCAGCCGGATCAGCCCCGCGCTCGCGAGAATGAGCGCGGCGTAGGGCGACGAGGGGTCGTCGAGCTTGGCGAGACGGGTGCCGACGTTGCCGCGCACGTCTTGGAAGGTGAGGTGCGGGTGGCTACGGGCGAGTTGGGCGCTGCGGCGCACGGAGGAGGTGCCGATTGTGGAGCCCGCGGGGAGGGAGGCGAGTGTTGTGTGCGGGGAGGAGGCTTTCATGACGAGGGCGTCGCGGGGGTCTTCGCGTGGGAGGATGGCGCCGATGGTGCAGTGGAGGGGGAGCTGCGTGGGCATGTCTGTGTGGTGGTGTGTTAGCTGCTGTCTGCTGTCTGCGGGGGAGGGGAAGAGGAAGAGGAAGATGGGAACCTTTGAGGGAATGCACAATCATATCCACCCTCCCGTCCAGCAGGAGCTCTTCCAGCTCATGTGTCCAGAGCGCCTTTGCGCCGAACGAGTGCAGGGGCTTGGTCTGGTTGTTGTCGCCTGTGGTGGTCATGGACACGATCTCAAAGTCGAGGTGCGGGTGCGCGGCGACGAGCAGGCTCCGCACTAGCTCGGTCTGGATGAGCGCGAGCTTGGACTTGCGGGAGCCGATGCGGATGGTGCGGCGCGGGGCGGGGGCGGCGGGGGCGGTGTCGGGGGTGAGGGCGGACATGAGGGCGTGGTGGGCGCGGAGGAGGAGGTAGGAGGCCATGGGGGTTGTGGAGGGTTTTTGTGTGTGTGTATGGGTTGAGAGAAGGCAATTGGTGGGGGGAGGAAGAGGTGGGTTTACAATTGCATGCAGGTGTGGTGGGGCGATGTATAGAAGTGGGTGAGCATTGTAGACCAGTGATCCTGTGCTGAGTGAGTGCAAACCAGGCAGAGTGATAGATATGTAACTATGATACCTCCAATTGAGCAGATGCGAGATCCATTGAAGCATCAGAGTACATGTAGGTATTCCAGCCCGAGGAGATTCAGTATCTACATCTACATCTACATCTACACCTACATCTAGGTAATATTTACATAGATACATGTAAAACCGCCAACCTCTGCTCTGCTCTGCTCTGCTCTGCTCTGCTCCAGATAATCCGTGATCTTATCGAAGATATCAATCAGGTGTGAATTTTTCTGCAACCTTCAAAAGTGGGAAAGTCGCCAAGACCTGTCTGTCTGTCCCTCTGTTCCCTCGGCTGCTCTGCCCCACTCTGACTCTCAACTGTCAAGGGAAAAAAGAGCCGCGAAATGAAAATCTGCAAATCTCCCACCTTCAAGTGGCAACAAGTGCTGCTACGGAAGAGAAAGAGGGAGAGAAAGATCGAGAGGGAGAGAGAGAGAGAGAGAGAGCAATTCAGTGCAGAGAAGAGCTGTGACGAGTACTGAGTGATCGTTCACATACATACATAGCACTACATACAGTACTCTATATACTCTACTTTAAGCAGCAGAACATCCAACCTAGGTAACTGACGTCCTATCAATCCCTGCTGCCAAAAAAAAAAACAGAACCAAGATCACCACCCCCCCAATTACCTCAACCAAATATTAGCACCAGCAGATCCTAGATATCGATATCTAACTACAATCTCTAGAATCTACCCCACTGCTGCATATCTGCATATTACAACCCCCCCCCCCCCCCACAACCACCACCCCCTCACTCCTATCCACAGCAGTTAAACATGCTCGCCAGAGCTCTCACCCGCTCCCTGCTGGCGTCAAGGCAGTCAATGGCCACTGTCCCCCGGAGGTGCCCTGCCATTCTTCCTAGGAACAGCCCACTGCTCCTGGGTGCCCTGCAACAACAGCAGCAGTCAAGAACATATGCCCTCAAGAAACGAAGACCATACACTGGCGGCGACCCAAGCAAGGACGTAGACCCCGCCGACGCCGAACCCATCATCCCCACAGAGGCCAATGCCCCACCACTCTCCCAGGGCGAGGCTGCCGCCTCCTCCTCCTCCTCCTCCCCCTCCAGCATCCCAACTCCCGATGCAGAACCCACCCCGTCTGAAGACCCATTCGCGAAAAAGACCAGCACTGGTGGCGGAAAAGGCGACGAACCCTTCCCCAAGCCCTCCTACGTCTCGTCCACCGACCGAAAGCGTGAGCGCCTCGCCCGCCTCGTCTTCGCCTCCTTCCTCGCCGCCCTCGTCGGCGGCACAATCTACCTCGGCCAGGACCTCTCCGAGTTCGAGAAAACAATCTACGACCCCGCCACCGTCCCCAATGGCTGGACGGCGTCCGCGTTCATTGCGCGCATAAAGGCGCGAGTCCAGAACGTGCTCGACTTCTATAACGAGCCGCCGTTCGAGAAGCTGCTCCCCGACCCGCACCCAGACTACTCGCGCCCGTACACGCTCGTCATTGCGCTTGAGGACTTGTGTGTGCATAGTGCGTGGGACCGCGAGCATGGATGGCGCATTGCGAAGCGCCCAGGGTTGGACTACTTTTTGGCCTATCTGTTTAATTACTATGAGATTGTGGTGTTTGCGAACCAGCATGACCAGATTGCGGCGCCCGTCATACAGAAAATGGATCAGTACCCTGGGTACATCATGTATCCGCTCTTTAGGTCGCATACGAGGTACAAGGATGGCAAGTATATCAAGGACCTGAATTACCTGAATAGGGACCTGTCGAAGGTTATCATGCTAGAGACGAACCCGGATGCGTGGGCGATGAATCCAAACAACACGATCAAAATGAAGCCGTGGACGGGCGATCCGAACGATAAGGAGCTGGTCAAGCTGATCCCGTTCTTGGAGTATATTGCGGCTATGGGCATCAGCGATGTGCGCCCGGTCATTGAGGACTTTGGCGACAAGGACGTGGCGACGGAGTTTGCGAGGAGAGAAGCGCTAGCACGGGCAGAGTTGAAGAAGAGGGTTGAGAAGGAGAGGGCGCAGAAGAAGGGGTCGCTAGGGGAGGTCTTGATGGGTGCGCTGGGGATGGCCCCGCCGAAGAAGAGAAAGGAGGATGAGGAGAAGACGTTCATGGATCTGGCGAGGGAGAGGGGTCAGCAGATGTATGAGGAGACGCAGAAACATATTGCGGAGCATAAGGATGAGATGATGAGGGAGCAGAAGAATATGGAAAGGGAGGCGGCCGAGCAGATGAAGACGAGTTTGAGTAAGATCTTTACAGAGGTGAGTGCCCCGTTTAGATATCCTTGGGACTGGGTGAGGAAGATTTTGCTGATTTGTTTTTTAGGGCCTGCCGAAACCTCCGGGACAAGCTTAATTGCGCCTCTAGCCACCTTCTGTGGGTAGTAAATCAGTAGCTGTGACATTGAAATAAAAACGGGAGCATCTTGTCCTCCCTTTCACCTTCCTTCTTGTGTTCTTTTAGGTTCTATTCTTTCAAACTCCACTCTTATTCCCCCCCCCCCCCCATATATATTGGGGATTCCTTTCTTTTTTATCTTTTTTTTTGTACATAATTGATTCTGTACATGGGAGGTGGTCATGCTTTAGTCTAGGGCTAGGGACTATCGTTCCGTAATTAGCTATACAAACCAAAAAAAGAGCTGGTTTGGTACAGAGGGAGTTGTAGGGTTGTATTGACATAAAAACTGGTCTATTTGTAGAGGGGAAGGGCTAGGATGGAGCTATTAACGTCGATTAGGAAGGTCATTTCAATCACTCTTGGGGAAGAGCTACATAATCAAGGGTCAGGAGAGAGCATGGGATGCTTCAAGTACTTACATACCGACTTGTATGTACCTATTCTTGTTATTCAGAGTGCAGTTTTGTGAGAGACTAAAGAGAATCGTATTGTATGATCGATGAGAAGCAGGAGTAGAACAAGTTCCTTTTATAGTGAACACAGACGTTGTAAATAAACACGCATTATCAGGACAAGCCCTAATAACAGATAACAAAGACTGCAAAACAATAACTCTCACGCCCATGGCCAGTTGGAGGCGGTGTACCTGTATAAGTGAGTCAAACTGGAATCGATGGGCACATATATATTACATACATGTACTTACATGTACTTTCACGAAATTTCTTCCTGCTCCCGCAACAATCCTCCCTACATTAGAACACTCCCTTCAACAGGATAATTAACTTGACCTCAATATGCAATACGGAAAATACCATCGTTTTAAGTTTTTTCACTGGCCTCTTCGAATGACTGTATATTGAGAGGTGTCGATATATCGCAGTGTTATACGTGTTGGCACATCCGGCCCCGAAAGCTGCCTAGCTGTCTGCATTAACTTTGAACAGATACTCTGGTCGAGAAATAACACGTACATGGCCGGGGGTTTGTATTTAAAAGAGCGTATTGGACTCCGTCTTCTACTCACCATCCTCACCCGCAATGGCAGTCCCTCAATCTTCAAAACACCAACCGATGGGAGGTAGGTTAAAACATCTATTTAACTCGTGGATCAATCTCTAAATTGTGAATAGGCCCCAAGACGACTACAAAAATGGAATACCAGCTCAGTATTTCATACTTCATGGAACGCACTCAGGTTTCGGGTCCTGTGCTTCCTCCACCTGCTCCGACGACAAGCAAGCGAGCGAGGAAGGAGTGCAGTGAAAGACATCGTTCTCGCCGTCTGCATTCAGACGTGGGACAGGAAAGTAGGTGGCGTGAAGCTGCCGAGAAATTAAAGAAAGCCAGGGCATCGGCGAAGAAGGCTGAACTCAGAAGAGAGAAAGCTAGACAGGCCCCAACCAAGAAACCTATCAAGTTGATGGAGGAGCAGGGTACTCTACCAAGCTTTGGATTCCCTGCAACTAATCTCAGAGCTCAGGTTGTTAAAGATGATACTTAGGGATATCATGATACTATTATTGAGCATCTCGTGCAGCTGTGGAGGGGTTAATTAACGTTTTTATTATGGGAGTTGTCGAGCGAAATCATGCTCAAATTTCAACAAATGAGCGCGCATCTAGCTGAACAACACACATGTATACATTGCTCAATTTAAAAAAGTTGCTTTGAATATTCAGCTTAAATTGAGCCACATCACTATAGTGTTTCAAGTTTCGCAGCCTGGTAGCTCGAATTTTAGTCTTTTTGGTGCTTTTGGCAGAGATGTGCGAAATATCAAACAATATGTACTCGACAGGTTTAATCGTAGTGGTTGGAAAGGATGAATAGGACTAATAGTGGGAAATAATATCGTAAATCTTTTGTCCGGGTCAAACAACCCCAAATACTCATAATGCAAAATATGACTAATAATATACTTGTACGTACGTTTGCGCATGGCTTTTCTCGGGTCCTGAACATTGGATTAATAGGATTCGTAGTCAACATATACAAAGGTTTATAATACTAGAGGCTTTCTACACCTGTGGTTGTTGTGAAGGTTAGCTGCAGTCCTTATCATAGCATCGAATCATGGAAAATCACTCGATGAGTTCATCCTAAGTTCTTTATCTTCAGTGATAATAAAAAAAGCGTTACATGTGTCTATAGGTATTCGGCTATAACCTAAAGGGAAAGAAGTGATATTGGACGCCTTCCCGTAAGCTATAGCGGGCGTTCTATCGCCGGATAGATCGAATTTTGGTGTTCTAATGAATAGAAAAGGGTGTCTATGTGTTTCTTATAGAACCCCCCCCCCCCCCAAGAGGGAGGGGGGGGCTTTCCTATTTACTTCATGAACACTATTCATTTTCTATCCGTTGCAATAGGGAGGACATCTTGCTAGCATGAGAAATAGTCCCAAAAAAATGGCTTTGCGATACCCAATTTGTATTAGGCACCCATTAGATTTTTAGGAATCTACATCAATCGCGGTATGCTTACGGGAACCTGGTCTATTCGAAAACCATCCTCTATTGCAATAGAACACGTTCAATGGCTTACGGGATTAAGGCGTCTATTTATTTTAAAATTGGCGTTTGATTAACCGTTAGAATAAATTTAGGTTGCCGGTCTAGCTGGTAAAATAATGATATTTCATAAAAATATGATCTCAATGATATGATATATTTGCAGTCTCATCCACCTCAAGGTGTTAATTTAGCGTATGTGTATGTAGGAATGATTATCTAACTTGCCTAAGATTGAGCTATAATATTCTCGACTTGATATCTTGAAATATTCGATAACCCGCTGAATTGCATCCGGCTGGTAAATATCATATTCGGACAGCCTGCGTGCATAACCTCTGAAATTTGGACAGAGAAGTTTGAATACGCACATGTGTATGCACCGGGCTTTCGATAGGGTAAAACTCGGGCATGGTATCTAGCTAGGGTGCTTGTAGCATTAGGGGGGGAGCTTTTTCTGGAAGGACCCGGCTCGAGTTTGTAATGCTGGCCGGTTCATGTAGTGGCAAACAATTGTGGGCTTGCATTTTTTTGTCATGCATGTCCAGAGGTCCCTTGCAAATCCTTTTCTATTGCCACCTCGTTTGATTGGCCAAAGCTATGTACCGGCAGAATTAGAATCGAATCCATTTACCAGGGCTATGGGGAATTGAAATACTATCATCATGGCATGTCCGTCCTACCCCATCATTATTGATAGATACCTACGAAACACTTTTTGCCTTCAGCGAGATAGAAGCTTCCAGACGTATAATTTGGTAATCCAACGCCTTTTTCTCACTTTAGAGTCATAAATTCTGTAAGGACAGATATTGAGTTAGGCAACCAATTCGGAAAGTGGGGCAAAGCCACATCTCAGAGCCGCATTGTGGCGGGAGCGTGTTGTAAACAACGAGAGCTATGAGCATTCTAGAATGACTTGAGGCCCAAGAGCCAGTCTTTATCGCGGATACAAATCAGTGATGGGAATTAAACCAATTTCGTGTGAATAAAACCAGATAGCCAGGTTGAGTTGATGTAGGGACAGGTTTGTTACATGCTATTCGTCGATGAAGTTCGGCGGGGTTCTTCTTGGCTGGCTGAGGTAACGAAGCTCCCAGTCTAAATCCGCCTCCCTCAACACCTCCCCCAGCACCTCTCTTACTTCTTCAACCTCTCCTCCCCCAACCCTTCTTCTATCCATCATCACATCTACATACCCATCATTCTCTCCTTGTCTTCTTTATTTCATCCATCTACAGAAAAGTACATTTATTCCACCTAAAAAGAATCCAAGATGACGGATCACGAAGATAAGAAGAAGAAGGTCAACTTGGGGTATGTCCATCCATCATCGTATTCCCTTCATATTGCGTCTTGCAGTAAACTTCATCAGCATTCATTCATAGAACCATCTACTAACTGCTCACTTGCGCTTCAGGGACTCATCCGGTGCTCCACCAAAAGATGTAAGAACCCGCCTGTTCACCTCGGTTGATGAGAGGTTCCAACTCCAGCTCTTGTATACTAATTTGTGGAAATAAGGCCGATGATGTTGCCACCGCCATCCTGAAGAAAAAGAAGAAGCCAAATAGCTTGATTGTTACCGACGCTGTAAACGATGATAACAGTTCGTTGCCCCGCATCGTTATCGGTGGGATTACCGCTAATGGATAACCGTCATGTAGGTATCATCGCCTTATCAAACAACACCATGGAGACGTTACAACTCTTCCGTGGTGACACTGTCCTTGTGAAGGGAAAGAAGAGAAAAGACACAGTCTTAATTGTTTTGGCCGACGATGATCTCGATGATGGATCTGCAAGAGTTAACCGTGTAGTCCGAAATAACTTGCGCGTCAGGCTGTAAGTTGAATCAAGTTCAGGATGTTGGAAAGATGCTAACAAACCTATAGAGGAGATGTCATCACAGTTCATCCCTGTCCCGACATTAAATACGTAAGTTTTACCCGAGGAATAAATCTACTAAACTGTCTAACATTTTCTCGCAGGCGAAACGCATTGCTGTTCTTCCCATTGCAGACACTGTTGAGGGGCTTACGGGTTCTCTCTTTGACGTTTATCTTAAGCCCTATTTCCTTGAAGCCTACCGACCTGTGCGAATGGGCGATCTCTTCACAGTTCGAGGCGGTATGCGAATGGTAGAGTTCAAGGTTGTTGAGCTTGATCCTCCAGACTATGGTATCGTTGCTCAAGACACAGTTATCCACTGTGAAGGAGAGCCTCTAAACCGTGAGGATGAGGAGGGTAATCTAAATGAGGTTGGATACGATGATATCGGTGGTTGCCGAAAGCAGATGGCACAGATTAGAGAGTTGGTTGAGCTGCCGCTGAGACATCCACAGCTCTTCAAGAGCATCGGTATCAAGCCTCCACGTGGTATTCTTCTGGTAATTTCCCAAGTCGATCTTTTCTAAAGTACCTTTACTAACAGTTTTATTAGTATGGACCTCCTGGTACTGGTAAAACTCTAATGGCCCGTGCTGTTGCCAATGAAACCGGAAGCTTCTTTTTCCTTATCAACGGTCCCGAGATTATGAGCAAGATGGCCGGAGAGTCAGAGTCAAATCTTAGGAAAGCCTTCGAAGAAGCAGAGAAGAACTCCCCCTCCATCATCTTCATTGATGAAATCGATTCTATTGCCCCCAAGCGTGAAAAGACCAACGGTGAGGTCGAACGAAGAGTTGTCTCCCAGCTTCTTACCTTGATGGATGGTATGAAGGCTCGTAGCAACATCGTTGTCATGGCTGCTACCAACCGACCTAACTCAATTGACCCTGCTCTTCGTCGTTTTGGACGTTTCGATCGTGAGGTTGACATCGGTATTCCCGACCCAACCGGTCGTCTTGAGATCTTGCAAATTCACACAAAGAACATGAAGCTTGCTGAGGGTGTCGATTTGGAACAAATTGCATCAGAAACCCACGGTTATGTTGGTTCTGATGTTGCGTCGCTTTGTTCAGAGGCAGCAATGCAGCAGATTCGTGAAAAGATGGACTTGATCGATTTGGATGAGGACACCATCGATGCCGAGGTTCTAGACTCACTTGGTGTTACTATGGAGAACTTCCGTTTTGCGCTCGGTGTCAGCAACCCCTCAGCCCTACGCGAGGTTGCCGTTGTCGAAGTTCCCAACGTTCGCTGGGACGACATTGGTGGTCTCGAGGGTGTCAAGGCCGAGCTCATCGAGTCGGTACAGTATCCTGTGGAGCATCCCGACAAGTTCCTCAAATTCGGAATGTCACCGTCCCGCGGTGTCCTCTTCTATGGTCCTCCCGGTACTGGTAAGACCTTGTTGGCTAAGGCCGTCGCCAATGAGTGCGCTGCCAACTTTATTTCCGTCAAGGGACCTGAGTTGTTGTCCATGTGGTTCGGTGAATCTGAGAGCAACATTCGAGACATCTTCGACAAGGCTCGTGCCGCAGCTCCTTGTGTCGTATTCTTGGACGAGTTGGACTCCATTGCCAAGAGCCGTGGTGGATCCATGGGTGATGCCGGTGGTGCCAGTGACCGTGTCGTAAACATGTTGTTGACTGAGTTGGATGGTATGGGTGTGAAGAAGAACGTTTTCGTTATTGGTGCCACCAATCGTCCCGAACAGGTAAAAGCCCTTTCAGCCACGTTTTTGTTTTATCTATAAGGCAATTCTAACAGATTTTAGTTGGATGCTGCCTTGTGCCGTCCAGGTCGTCTTGACACTTTGGTCTATGTTCCTCTTCCAGATGAGGCTTCCAGAGTGTCTATCCTCAAGGCCCAGCTTAAGAACACGCCTGTTGCCCCTGATGTCGACTTGAACTACATTGCCTCAAAGACTGTAATGATCCCCGTGTTTTTTTGAATTTATAGTATGATACTAACGCTCTACAGCACGGATTCTCTGGTGCCGATTTGGGTTTCGTTACCCAGCGTGCGGTCAAATTGGCCATCAAGCAGGCCATTGCTGCCGAAATTGAGGCCAGCAAGGAGAAGGACAATGCTGGAGATACTGAGATGGATGATATTGAGCTCGAAGACCCTGTCCCAGAGCTTACCAAGGCTCATTTCGAGGAGGCAATGGGTGCTGCCAGACGTTCCGTCAGTGATGTTGAGGTCAGGCGTTACGAGGCGTTTGCTCAAAGCATGAAGCAGTCAGGTGGTATGAATACTTTCCGCTTCCCAAGTGAGGGCGAGGGTGCGGCCACTGGTGGCTCTGGTGGTGCCGGGTTTGGCGCAGGTGGTGAAGATGATGACTTGTACTCATAAATTCGTTGAGGGGTTTCTTTTAATTGATCAGGGCAAGTAAAACACCGGATGAGTCTGACAAACATTGTTTTTTCTTTTACATCTTGTTTTACGAGAAATGACAGCATATTTTTTCTCTGCTCTAGAATTTGATACAGCAGCTATTTTCATGTATCTGTTGTTATTAATTCATATCAATACTGTTTTTTTTGTTTTTTGTTTTTTTGCTCCTTGGGTAGGGAAATTATGTTCTTATAGTTATGGCTTTTTGTTCTCCCTCATACTTAAAATCAATTTTATGATTTTCTGAGTTTTATATCTTGTATTATTGAATTCTGAAAGCTCAGTTGACTACGATTAGTTACAAGGTTACTTATTCGCTCCCACACACACACAATCCATCTAGACGTAGCTTTTCTTGCCTCTGCTGCTAATGTGCATGAGCGATCTACGCGCGGTGAGAGTTTCTAGTCACATGTATGACTAGAGTAAAGTGGGGTTTGATAGCCTAGGTTTGATAGTGTGCAATCACATGTGATCACTCGAAGGTCTTGGCTGTTTTCCGCCTTCTCATATATTCCAGATCATTAATACATGTATTGCGGGTTGTCAAAAATAATGGGATGCAACAGGGCAACGAATACAGCAACGACAACCCAACCCCGCCACCAACGAATGACAATACTAACGAAAATACATTTTGGGTCTCCAGTAGTTCTTATTATCACTTATCCTGTTTGTGGTCTCTTTGTGGTCGGTCATGGTTGAGAGATTATTACGTTGCAATGAAGCCTGTTGCGTCCCATTATTTTTGACAACCCACAATACTTATATCTAAAAATAAAAGTACTCAAAAGCAAGAGTAAAAATCTCGTATATATGTAGCTGATAGACTGTACATACAGTGCAAGTTAGATGCAGTAATTCCTGCCCTCCATGCGTATATGTAATTACAAAGCATCTCCTAGTGCTTTCATGCATCGCATCATTTCCTCATTATCATGACTAGAACCCATCATGCCCATCAAGTATTTAAAAGGGAATATTGCCGAAAAGAAAAGAAAAAGGTATATGTGAAGGAAGCAAACAAAAGAGAAGAAAAAGAAAAAGAAAACTCTAAAACGCCCTTCCTCCCCCAACTAAAAAGTCAAACTTTTGGTCATTACCGATTACCCGTAATTTTTTCCACAACCTGTTCTCCTTTAATGCCCCCAATCCCCAAAGCAAAAGAACAAAAATATATATATATGAAAGCAGTTGTGCCTAGCTTCCGACAACAGAGGCTGCTTTGGTGGTGCTAGTATAGGTCTCTTCTCCTTTATCAACCAAGTCTGTCAAATCCACAAAGTCTCTTTTGGGAATGTCCAGCGACATGGTTCTTCTTGCGTGCGTGCTGCCTGCCGGGCTTACGGATCTTCCGTTTGGAGAGCGCTCCGACGGTCTGCGGCGCAGGCTCTGGATGAATGGCGACGAGGGGCGTTCTCTCTCGAGACTAGAGCTAAAGGTCTCAGTAAATGAGGAGAACAGATGGTGGAGGGGAAAGGTTACATGGGCGCATTTCCAGAAGTCATGTATAGAAGCAGATACTTGAGGTTGGGGAGTGTGTTGCGAAGGTCCATTACGGAGAGACCTTGGCGGCTCATCAACTATGCCACATCATGATTGTATTAGTTACCACTATTGTAATTGATTTAGGGGAAACTACCTGCTCAATATCCTTATTCAACAAGAAAATTCCGTACTCGAACCGGAAATGTAAGCTTCCTTTCATCCATAAGGGAAACGTTCTCGCGCCACTGATAACACTAATCGGATCCATGATGAACGAGCTACTTTCCACTGGCTGCACCGGGTACCGTAGATATGTGCCCAGGTAATAACCCAGCTGATACACCATGCGAGCAGTGTAGCCCAGAGCCGCCGAGATAACCTCATCATCATGATCATCATGGCCCGAATTGGGTAGGTACAAGCCCCGAATCGTGAATCCCAACGAATGCTCAGGGGTCGGCTCGATAGGATAGATCTGCTGTAGGTCGTTTACGATGCGGCGTCTCTGAGCTTCAATCCCACCCTTGGTCTCTGCAAGGTCAAGGCGAGATCTCTCGAGTTGTGTGGTGGCTTCTTCGAGGAACTTTTCGCTAGTTGATTGACTTTCTTTACCGAGTGCCATAGCGCTTCTGCGTGAGCTGATGCTCTTCAAAAGATTATCACGGCGAGCAGTGACATTCTCTAGGCGTTTTTTCTCGGTTGCAAGAGCTTTTTTCACCGCATCACGGCGAGAGGTTGCGGCAGCGGTCAATCTGAGCAGAGAGAGAGGGGTCGCTTCACGGGAGAGAAGAGAGCTTATTTGCGAGGAGACTTTTGAGGTAGTCATTTGAGCATCGTTGACGCACTCTTCGAGGTTATTGAGCTTCATCACGGTGTCGTAAGAGGTGGATGGCTATATGAATATTAATATTAGTAAATCGGATTTTTGAAACGAGGGCAGGTGTGAGTGCACAATTGTATTCTCGTTGGAGAACGACAATGACGAGATTGAGGTTGAAACATTGTGGCCGCCAGTCCGAAGCTCTTTTGGTAGCGGCATTGGGAGATCGTTAACTACAGTATAGATTCCGTCCGTCAAAGTAAAAATAATGCAGTTTGTAGAAAACGGGTACGGAAAGTTTTCAAGCTGTTACATCAGTTATTTATACCCGTCGCATAGTGAGGCAAGGAGCTACCAACACTTTTCCCAATAAACCTTAATGACGGTAGTGTAATGTCCAACTCGACAAGAAGCTGAAGATCTCCGCTGACGCCCGCCCATAATTTGACAATTACTGCATTCCGTCTCGAGATGTGTGGTCCGGCATTTTTTAGGTCGAAGGACTGGAAGTTCGGATTCTATCAAGTTGTTAGCTTATTCTACTTGTTACTTTAATCTAAAACACTCACGTACCATTGACTTATGAATAACTTCGCTAATGTAGATTGGATCATCTAGGTGTCGCACGCGCCAAAAAGTGAGGACTCTCAACTCAGTACGCTCGTTCACCATCAATAGTATAGGATAAATCAGAGTAGAACCCACCTCCAAGCTCTGCAATATGCAGCGAGAAGAACACATCGGACATTCTCACATCCTCAAGTCGTTTCTGCTTCTGCACTATGCCGTCCAACCCACGCGTGCTACGTCGTCTCGAATGTGGTCTCCCTGAAGCTAGGTCACTTGACGATTTCGAATGATGCAGGCTTGATTCGCTCTCATCCTGTTGAGTAGCGGTGAGTGTTTTGCTCGCTGTTCTCCAGGCACCTGCCAGAAAGTCGTCGTCCGTGGAAGTGCCTCTTGGCCGTGAAGGTGTCGTCGAAGTCGTCAAATTCCTCACCACGATCCCGTTCAGATGCCGTAATTTACGGCCCTCCTCTACATTAGTTCTCAAAAGCTTCATCAAAGAGTGGAAGTCTCCACACCTACCGTGGGTAAAAGCAGAGGTCTCCCCCTAGACATAGTGACTTCCGAAATATCGTCAGAGTCCATAGTAGGGATGGCAGTGCCATCACTATCTGAAGGCATAACTGTGCAAGTTGTTATTTTTGTCACTGTGGACGCTAAAAGCCCTAGGGAAATTGAAGCTCGACGTGGAAGTTCTGGAGATGTTTCGGTGCAGTACGAATAAAGTTGTAAGCTGCATGACGCTGGTGTGTCTGGGAGCAAGGGGTGAGCTATGACTAAGCCGGTGATGTAACCGACTGGTGGGACAACGGAGTGACACGGAGGAGTGGCGCAAACGGCCCTCATGCAGATTGTGGAGAAATGATTGGAGCGTAGCTACTAGAGTGGATTGTATCCCTTCCTCTGTCGACAAAATGCTGCGCCCCCCAAGAAAGGGTGGCTTTACTAACAGATCTTATTATCTCCTATCAAATAACAGATCCCCCATACAAATTTAATTTCTCTATTATAGGGGGGCAGCAATCGACGAAGGGATAAGAGGAGGGGGTTTCGCCCTCGCTCTGGTGAGACTTTTTTAAAAAAAGAATCAAACTTCTTTAGACGATAAGGAGGTGACGAACGACAGCAAATTGATTTGGAGATTACGAAGATTGAGGACTCGGAGATTGAGGTGATTTGAAACTTTAATTTTATTTATTGAGGTATGTACTCAGTCGTTAATTAAAAGGTCGGAAAATTTAGTAAGCATTTGGTTGCAGCGATATCCGACCATTTTATTAACGCGCGAGTACGTTTTTATTTTAAAAGTGATACCCACTTGTTTTTAGATTTTAACAGTGAGGATAGAAGTTCGAATTTTGTTATCGCTTTCCATGGCCGACAGTCGATACTAAATTGTGAAAGACGGCTGGGGTCGTACCAATTTCCAGGTTTCTCATGGATTAGGTATGACGCGTGAGGATCTTGCGGAAGGAGATGAAATCTTGGAGGAGAATGACGCTGAGAAAGGTAAGTAAGGCATAGCGGCGGGTACACCCGTGTCTAGAAAATTCCCGGATCCCTCCATAGCAACGGGGCCAAAGTAGTGCTTCTTCACAAATAATTTTGGTATATCCTTAATCCACACACTGTCTCTAGACACGGGTGTACGACTGTTCACTTAAATTGAGAGAGTTCGTTAATTGAGTTTTGTTCATAGAGGCTGAAAGTGCCTGGGTCAAGAAGAATAGCGAAAGGTATGAAGCTGGAGGGCGTAGTGAGTTGAAAGAGGCTGTTGCTCAGTAGTTGGCGGAGGAATATGACTTCACGCCAACTGGTGATCCGGAGATGGATCTGATGATTGCGATGGGGTTGAGGGATATGAAGGGTGATCCTGAACTTAGCCATATGTTTGAGTCGGGAGAAAGTATTTCGAGTAACCTGGGAGGGTCGGCGGGGGAAGTTGGGGCGACGAAGTCGAAGTAGCAACTAAAGAGGGAGAGATAGCGGGAGAGTGCGAGGCAGCATACCTAATCAGGGTTAAGGCTCCGTTTGGAAGCACGCTCTCGTTGCAACGCTAATTGTGATTTGGAGGATGGGAATTGTATTTTGGTCATCTAAATTCCTTATTATTGTTTCAACGGCCCACCACATCAAAGCTTGTATTGAGGCCATATATTTGTGGGGCATGTCTACTGTAATGAAGATGTTGAATATGGGGATTATGATTCCCAGGCTCTAGATTGAGGTTTCATGATTTGGGGCGTTGCAACCATCATGGCTTCCAAACGGAGCCAAAGGTTGGTTTCAAGGCAGCGAGGTAAGTACATACCTACATATCGGGTCCTCAAGGTTCAACGACACGGCGCGGTTGGAAAATTTAGTATGATTATTGCGACCAATGAAACTGTGGTGCTAAGTTGGAACTTTGAGGTCACCGTGTTGGGGAAACCATTTAGTACGGTTTAGTACTCTTTTTAGTAACTTTTTTTAATAAAAAAAAAATCATGCTTTCTGGTCGCATACACTAGATTAGTCTTCCTGTACCTCATAGATCATCACCACCAATACACTAGCGTTCCTCAGCCATTAAAGACCTTTCGGAGCAAAAGGTAATACAGCCGAGTCTCCCTATAAGGGTACGTCGGGACCGAAATTTGGTACCCTTATAGAGATGTTACCCTTATAGTAAGAGCAAATTTGTACCTACAAAGCCCAGTAAGGACCTAAAACACTTACCCTTATAGAGCGATTATTCTTATAGTAGGTAACCTTATAGGGAGATCCGACTGTAGCTGGAACGCGGAACGCTAGCAGTACATCTAGTATTCTTGAAAACGTTCCAGATGCAAGAATCAGTCTAGAACGCTGCAAGGTAGGCTTGGCGGAAGAGAGGAACGCAGGGATTAAGTAGGTGTGGCGTTGGTTCACAGACTAAAGAGGAGAGGCTCGCACCTCTTCAAGGGACGAAGTCCTTCAACCCCACCATTCGATAGACGGAGACAGCACGGATTAGCGACAAAGACGAGTACACGAAGACCAAATAACGGACAACGACAAGGTGAGTCTGTTTATTGTCACACTATCTCTCTAACTGGCTAGAGTATTGAAGACTGACTTGCTAAATTCACGAGACCAGAGTAACGGGGACAAACATGTTCAAGCTCCTCAGCCGGCAAGCGTTCAAGGCTGTTCCCAGACCCGGTCTCCGTCTCCCTACCAGTACCTCACGCCAGATCCATAGCATGCAGCTCCCGTACAGCGGTCCCCCGAATTACGATACGATCGCTCGACGCTTCTCTTCGAACGTCGACCCACAGGCCTATTTCACCCGCAAGCGCCAGCAAGAGGCTAAGGATCGTGGTGAATTTGTCGACATCCACGACATCGGCAGAGATCCAAGTGATTATGATGTGTTGATCACAGATGTGAAGCATGAAACACTGGAAACCACAATTGCGGAGGAACTGGGTATACCATACCTCTCGAAGGCTACGGACGCTGATGCCAAAAAGGCGGTTCAAGTGGGTCATGGTTACATCTATGGTTCGAAGTTTAGAGCGATTATTCCACTTGTTGTCTCCCATCGAGATGAGTGTCGTTGGGTATTCTTCATAATGGACAGTGGTGCCCCGTTGACCTATCTTTCAGCTCAGGTGAGTGTTCCGACCTGTAGAACAAACGCTCGACTGTTAACATGTTCAGGCGAGTAAACTTCTCGGTGTTATGGAAGACCGAGCAACTCCTGTCAAGATCGGTGGATATCATCATCTAGTTCAAATGTCGCCGGATACGTCTCACTTTCCCGATATTAATCTTCTGGGTACCGACTTTTGTAGCGCATACAACACCAACTTGTGGTTCGACTTTCAGAGGAGACGGATGAAATTGTATTTCGGTGGAGAGTGGGAGATGGTGAGAAAGTCCAAGTTGTAGAGCAAGCAAGGAGTGGAGGAAACGAGTGGAGGAATGGTATTTTATTTGGCAGTCCGGAGTTTGTTTTTGTTTTTTTAGTATGCAGAGGGTTTCTTGCGGTGGTTATGTAATTGATTATTCATGGTATTCATTCTGGTTGTTGTGTTGCACCAAATTGCAGCGCGAATGCGAGTGACATACTGTGACCCGGTTAACACGAGTGATATTCCATGACTAGGTTGGGGACCCCCGAAGCGAAGCGAGGGAGGGGGCGTAGCCGGAGTGGTTGAGTGGCTAGTAGACGGAACGCAAGCGTTCCTCAGCCATCCCTTCGTTCGTGCCAGGTTTTCACATTAGTTAACCGAGAGACGGCGTGGTGATACTCAAAAACGTAGCTGTAATAGGGAGTGGATACCTTCCTAGAGAAGAAAGCTCTGTGACTTGAAGCCTAAAGAGGTTCGTGGAGTGAGGGTTAGGTGAATTACAACGGGAGTTGCCCGAACAGGTTAATTTCTACTATCTTGAAAACGAACGAAGGGATTAAAGACCTTTGCTAATATTCTGTCTTTAATGGCTGGAACGCGGAACGCCCAGCGTAAATTGTTAGATTCTACAGCGTAGAAGTGAGAACTTTCCGGATGCAAGGATTAGTCCGGAACGCTGCAGGTCTACCTTGGCGGAACGTACTACGGGGTAAGTCTGTAGACAGGTGGCGGTGACACACAAACAAATATTCAGAAATCTCCTCCCAATGCACCGCCACCTGTCTACAGACTTACCCCGGCACCGTAGTACAGGGTGTGCACGTTATATACCGAGAACATCGATTAATTGGTTTGAAATTCTATGGGTGCCATGTGTGGCAGCCAAAATTGACCAATAATTTTCAGAGTTACAACGCATTACAACAGGCTTAGCCACACAATTTGTATGTTGGAAAGAAGTCTGAAGAACTTTCACACATCTTTATTTAAAAGGTTTAAGTATTTAATTAAAAACACAAAAAAATAACCATAGGATAGAGCTGGCTCTCTGCTTGATGTGAGTAGTACTGTGAATTTTTCAAAGGGGTTTTTGGGTGAGTTCCAAAAGATCGGGAGTGAAAAAGAGTCAAATTGTGGGGCACACACCCCTCAAATACTTGCTTGGCCGCCAAGTTGCCCCTTTCTTAAAATTCGACCAATGGCAGGCCCTCGCAGACTGGTCAATAATAAAATTTTCTAAAAGAGGGTTCTTCACACATACCGTGAATACCCTGTATATATAGACAGAGATGTGGCGCAGAGGTAAAACAACGGGTAGCGTGAGGCTTGGCCACGGTCGCGTTTTGTCTACATATAAGTAGGGGAGTATCCCCACACTTGGTTGAGAAGTAGCAAAGCTTCTTCAACCTTTCGATTCAGCAACCAGCGATCGAACAAGAATACCTACGAGCGACACGACGAGCGAGCATCTACAAGCATCCACGAGAGTACGATAGCGAAGCGACAAATACACGGGGACCGCTAACTGGCTAGAGAATCAAAGTCTGATTAAATTCACGGGGACGGCACAGCACAGCGATAGTTTACACAACACACGACAGAATGGCACAAGCTATTGGACAACAGCTTAATCTCGGGCCACAGCCCAACTTCAACAACTTGGTTCAGCATGTGAATGCGGCTATGGATGAGGTTTTCAGGATTCCCAATCTGCCACTGGCTGGGCAAGGCGACGTGATTGTTCAGCTGCTCCAGGGCATTCAACGAGATATCCAGCAAGTGCAACGAGATATCCAGCAAGTGCAACGAGATATCCAGCAAGTGCAACGAGATGTCCGGCATATCCGTGCGGAGTAAGTAAACCTTTTGGTTTTTGTTTTGGGTAACGTTCTGTCTAACTCCTAAATAATTCCAGGCAAGACTTGCTGCCAATTAAGCTGTATAACAGCGGAGCCCGTGAGCGCGAGCACTTCAGATATCCACAGGGAGTAGCAATTGCCTATCCTCCGTTGCCGCGTTCGAGGGACGAACTCGCACATATGACAAGTAGGTTCACGGGTCAAAGTACTGATATCCAATGCTTACAGATGGGAAGTTGTCGAGTGCCAGGCCGCTGCCGCCCATTTGGGACTGCAACCACTCCCGCAAAATACTTTAGTCGGCGATAGGCGTAGACAGATCGCAGAGTACTTGGTTTGAGAGCTTGTGAGTACTTGGATGTTTACTGGCCACGGGATGTACACTCATATGCAGTTTAGTCACGCAGGGCGAATCGGAAAGGACGTTTATTCCGCCGAGGGGGTGTTTTTGCATTTGCTAGACGGCGATGGTTGAGGTTTGATTTGTTCAGCGACGAACAGGTATGGATTGTTTTTGTACGGGTACTTTTTTTTTTTTTTTTTTTTTTTAAATTTTTCGGGGTTTACTTAGATGTCACATGGGTTGACTGGACGGCGATTCGGCTGGGCGAATTATGTAATTTATCATTGATGTATTATACTATGAATTTGGGGGACCCCCCGAACGGAATGAGGGTGGGGGCTTGCCTTATCCAGAGCGAAGCGGAGCGAGCGCCACACGAGCGACCGAACGCAAAGCGTCCTCAGCCATTAAAGACCTTTGCGAAGCAAAAGGTAAGATTCTGTCTTTAATGGCTGGAACGCGGAACGCCCAGCGTAAATTGTTAGATTCTACAGCGTAGAAGTGAGAACGTTCCGGATGCAGGTCTGTGTCCGGAACGCTGCAGGTCTGCCTTGGCGGAACGTATGTACTACGGGGGTAGGGGTAATACGGGGGTAGGGGTAATACGGGGGTAGGGGTAATACGGGGGTAGGGGTAAATCTCCAGAACTGAGGCCATGGTTGTAACAGGCCAAAGTTCTGGAGACTTACCCTGGCACCCGTAGTACAGTAGACACGGAGATGTGGCGCAGCAATAAAAAAGGGTTTAGCGTAGCGAGACCCGAAATGTGTATAAGAGGAGGGTGTTCCCACCTTACTCTGGGAGAAGTGACGAGATCTCTTCAGCCTTTCGATTCAGCAACAATTGCGATAGTTATACGGTACAACGACAGTCGATAGACAAGCCATCACATCCTTTTACTCCGACGGGTAATCACAATGGGTGATAACAACACCGAGCAGCAGAGAAAAGACTCTGCTTCAGACTTGCATCAATCAAAGCGATATCGGTTGACAGAATGTTGGCAAACGCAAAGTATAGCCTTGGAGGAGGGTGCCTGGATGCCATATTGAAAACCAAGGAGAAGGTTTATGACGGCATAGTCGAACATCTTGAGATTGAAGGCTATCCTACGGAAGCAAATCCAGATTTTAAAGAAGCCAATATCAGCGACTTGGTCTACATCACCCTTCATCCTATACTCTTCGATTTCAAACGCAAGACGGGACGCACCGTACGCTTATTGAGGGAGAAAGAGATTGTCTCTACAGACGGCGAGACAGGAGGCACGGAGGAATTTGTTATGGTGGACCTGGTTTCGGTAACAGAGGAGAAGTTTATCTTCATAGTAGAGGCAAAGAGATCTTCTCTGGGACAAGCGATGAAACAGTGTTTGCTGGCTATGAAGGATATGAGAGATAACAATGGTGGTGTTGGCGAGGTGTACGGTTTCGTTACAACTGCAGAGTTTTGGCAAATGCTCAGCTACGATGGGGCGTTTCAGGTGACAAACAAGCTGGATGTACTATTTCATACGATGGGCGAAGAAAAAGAGAAATGGATGAAGGGCTATGCGGTTCTGGTGGACTGCATGTACGCAGCGTTGGGCAATGGAGGCATCGTGGAGAAATGATTGAGGGTGAGTACCTCGTAGAGTTTTTTCTAGGGGGATTTGCCTGTGGCAACTGATTTATTATGCAGGGAATATTACTATTTTCCACGGGGGCGTAGCCATCACGAGTGAAGTGAAGGGATTGTTTTGTAATTAAATTTTCTTAGGCTGGGCGTTTGTACGGTAGTTTTTATTTTTTATGCAAGTGAAGCGTGGCGGAACGATGACACGGAGACGTGGCGCAGAGTAAAACAACGGGTAGCGTGAGGCTTGGCCACGGTCGCGTTTTGTCTATAAGAAGGGGAGTATCCCCGCACTTGGTTGAGAAGTGAGGAAGTCCGTTCAACCCCACCACCCGAGAAGCAGCGACAAAGACGAGAGTACACGAAGAACAAAGATTGCACAACGACAAGGTGAGTCTGTTTAATGTCACATTACCTCTCTTACTGGCTAGAGTATTGAAGACTGACTTGCTGAATTCACGGGCTGCTTTAGGGACTCAGCTACACACGGGCAACTCCTCGATCTGACCTCACGGGAGCAGTCACGATCAATATGAACACCTGTACTTGTTCTCTGTCCCTTCGGTGATCACTGCTCATGGAATGTCATCACTGGCAGTTGGAGCATTTGTGCGTAGCTACGCCGGCCACTTCATCACTGGGGCCTTTACCCTCGTTGCGACCGGTGGCCTCATTTGGGACAACCACAAAGGACGTAGAGACGCTGTGGACAAACTCGATACCAAGATCGATGGAGTCAAGGTAGATGTCAGCCGTGTGGAAAAGAATCTCGAGAAAGTTCACGAAGACGTATAGGACCTTGGAGCGGAAGTCCAAGACTGCCAGTCAATGATCCTGGAAAACGGACATCACATTATGAATGCACTTGACGGAAATAAAAAGCCGATGAGGGAGTGGCTCCACAAGCTTGAGCGTTGCAAGCAGTCTGGTGGTGAGGATTGCGGTTCCATTCCGAAGGCTTGAGGGGTTTCAGTAAGGTCTAAAGAGTAAGCGACATATTCCTATCCTTAGAGCGATGGAGGGTCGGGCGAGACGGAGGGGGTGGCGAGGCTTGGCCTGTTAGTAATACTGGACCGGTACCCAAATTCAAGATTGAGACTTGCGGCTTGAGCTCCCACGTTCCTGAGACTTGCGGATCGAGCTTTCAACGCTACGCGAAGTGTTTTGAGTTTGCGGATTGAGATCTGAACATTGCGCGAAGTGCTTGAGACAGCGGATTGAGCTTTTAGAGGTTTACGGAATACCTGTCAAATACGTGAAAGACTCTGCTAACGTTGCGCCTGTTAGAATCTTGCCTACTATGGTGACCCGAGATATACCTGAATATTAGGGTGCAGATGGGTCTACAAATGGTGGAGCGCGGTGGGACAAAAAGGGAAGCTACCGAGATGGTTGAGATCGCTCCTACAACCTTTATGCACCGTATTAGAGGAAGGCCATCAGCGGTTAAGGCTGCGCATCGGCAGCAGACCATGAAAATTGAGGAGGAGAATATGCTTGTTGATCGATGCTATTTCCTTGACAAGATAGGGTTCCCTCCAGCTGTTTGGAGAGTGCGAGAGTTGGCGCTTGAGATATTGCAGAGAAGGGACCCTCGCGCAACCTTAGGAAAGAAATGGGTTTCTGAAGGACTGTATCACCGACATCCAGAAATGAGGTCTGTCTATAGCCGGCACATTGAGTGGTTGAGAACAGTACGTGGTAATGACAGTGAGATAATGACTAAATTCTTTGACGAGGTTAGCTCCTGACTAGCTTCGAATCATTAAACTACTTATCTGATTGGTGAATAGCTTGCAGAATGTGTTTATTCGAAGGAGATCAAGCCTAAAAATACCTATAATTTTGATGAGATTGGATTTTTTGATGGGCTGTTCCGCTTCTGAAAAGGTTGTTAATGTTGTGAGACATCCACGTACAGGAGGTAGATTGTTCAAGAATGAAGGTAAGATAATTGATAGGCTCCGATAGAATGGATACGGCTGTTAATATTCTAGTAGAAGGAACCCGAGAACTGTCAACTGTAATGAGGGAATATGTGCGGACGGATCTGATTTAGATCTAATGATTATATACAAATGTGAAGAGTTTATATCGGAATGGTTTGACAATTTCCGGTACGATACACCTGAGAATATACTCTTCGGACGGTCCTCAAATGGTTGGACAGATGAGACAATGAGTTTGAAATGGCTAGAAAGAAATTACGGCCCAGACAGCAAAACGGCAGAAAAAGCAGGGAATGATTTTTGGTTACTGCTCTTTGACGGACATACTTCTCACGTCAATACATCTTTTCTTATTGTCTCAATCACCGTATAATTCCTTTTTGTCTTCCACCACATACAACACACAAGTTACAGCCGCTTGACGTTTGTATTTTTTCACCCTACAGGAATTACTATAGGAGGGAATTATGTCTCCGATTTGCCAACAGAGAGTACGGTGTTGGTAAACAATTTTTACCAAATTCTTTCAATTGCTCGGCAGGAGGCGTTTACACCTGAAAATATCCGTAGTAGCTTTTGGTGGACCGGGCTTTGTCCTCTAGATTCTTCAATCATTTTACGGCAACTAGAATGGCAGACAGATGACACAACTGGTCGAACATCACCATCTATACCAAGTACTCCACCGACACAGAACCGGGCTGAATTTCTAGCAATCAATCCTGAAAGTATTGCCGTAACCAGAACACCTACAGATCGAACATCTATTGTTCATATGCGAAGAACAATAGAAAATGTCGTTGCAAGCAACTCACCTTACTCATGGCGCATACGGCACTACTTAGTTAAAGGTTTCAACGCTGCAGAAAAGGTATTTATTGAGAATGAATATCTAAAGGATGAAGTAAAGAAATTAAAAAAAACAGTTGGATGAATGTAGACATAGAAAAAAGGCCCGGAAAACAAGAATCCCGAACCATGATATTGGTTTTTTGGATAGAGGGGTCTTGAATGAATTTGATAGAGAGAGGTGGGAGGCACAAGAAGAAAAAAAAAAAAATAAAAGATTAGAACGCTTAAGAAAACAGGTAATCAAACTGGAAAAGGATATAGAAATCCTTACCAGAAAGAGATTAAGACGTCAAGAGATGGAAAGAAACAATCGGGCCATTCCATTAAAGGGGCATTCTCTAGAAAGGCTTGAGCAGGAGGAGAGTACGAAGACAAAGTTAGAACTCAGGAGTCAAGTTGCAGTCGATGAACCTATGGAGGATACGCCGTACCTGGCACTCTTGAGGAGGACGAGGAGGAGGGAGGGGGCTCACCTGCACCCGCTATCATTGTACCTCCAACTGAAGAATATGGGGAGGAAGGGTAGTGCGCGCTATTATTGTACATACCTCGAACACCCGTTACTATATATTGCAAAATTCATTAATATCATTAGCTACACGTGCTGGACCACTATTACTAACATACCAAGCCTCGCCACCCCCTCTGTCTCGCCCGACCCTCCACCGCTCTAATAGAGAGCATGTAACTAATTCGCGAAAGTTCTCTCTAGTTTGGGCTGGCTGGACGGCGTATACGGAGGTCACGCATCGAGAGGCGTTTTGCTTTTACATAGATGGTTGGTTGCATACGGCGTCTGTATTTCCGAATTGGCTTTGATTTTACTTCTCAGAATAAAAAATAACGATTGCAGGCATTTTCTTAATTTTTCGGCTGGGCGGATTATATAATTTATTATTCATTGATGTATTTTACTACATGTACAGCGACAGGTAATAAGTAATGGAACGCCCTGAGAGTACAAACACCAAATGTTGGTGGCGTTTTACCAAAACAGGTATCGCTGTGTTCCATCACTTATTACCCACCGCTGTACTTACTAAGGGGGGCGAAGCCATCGAGCGTAGTGAGATTATTAAGTGAGCGGAGTGAATGACTTGTGGCGGAGCGGAGCGAAAGCCACCGAACGCAAAGCGTTCACAGCAACTAAAGACCTTTGGGGAACGCGCAACATTCAGAACGGCACGTGCGAGACCGAGTGGAACGAAGTGCCAAGGAGGCAGTGGGGCAAGGAGGCAGTGGGGCAAGCCGCACCTCGTCGCACATAGTGAAATGATTGGCACGTGTGACAGGGAATGTAAGGTATATAAGGAGAGGGATTCCCACCCCTTGCTCTAGTTAGAAGGGACGAAGTCCATTCAACCTTTTATGCAGCATCGCGGAGATAGAACAGCATATTCCTAGCAGGACAAGGCGATAAGACGAAGCAACAATCGTGGCGACAAACATGTTCAGGCTCCTCAGCCGGCAAGCAGTCAAGGCTGTTCCTAGACCCTGTCTTCGTCTCTCTACTGGCACCGCACGCCGGATCCATAGCATGCCACTCCCTGACACTTGGCCACTCCCTTACGCTGGGTCTCCGAGTTACGATACGATCACTCGACGGCTCTCTTCTTCGCAGGCCGATCCAGTGGCCTATTTCACCCGCAAGCGTGACCAAGAGGCTAAAGAGCGCGGCGAGTTTATCGACATCCATGATATCGGTGGCATAGATCCAGATGATTTTGATGTTTTAATTTCGGACGTTGATGATGAAAAATTGCGAACGGAAATTGCGGAAACGGTGGGGATACCGTACCATGTAGAGGCCACTAAGGAAGATGCTAACAAAGTGGTCGAAATTGGTGACTGCTATATATTCGGGCGGAAATTGCGGACGATATTCCCTACAGTTGTTGGTAAAGGTACTCGAGCCCATTGGGTTTTTTTCATCGTGGACAGTGGTGCTCCACTGACATACCTTTCTGCTCAGGTAAGTGATAATTATATCCTCCTGTCTGTGCGAAAGGAGGCCTGCTAAGTAGTCTAGACGAGCAACCTCCTTGGTATTTCGGAAGACATGGGAGAGACTCTTGTCACTATCGCTGGACGCGCCGCCCCTGTTTATAGGTCCCCGAATCGCTCACATTTTACCGAACTTAATCTTCTCGGTATGGACTTTTTTAAACATTACAATGTTACACAGTGGAATGACTTCGACAAACTCAGAGCCAAATTGTACATCGGCGGAGAGTGGGAGATGGTGAGAAAGTCGAAGTTGTAGTTCTATGAGCAGCGTGAATCGAAGGGGAATTTCTTTTGTAATTAATTGATTTACGTCCCCTTTATACTATTTAATACGGGGGACCCCCGAACGGAGTGAGGGAGGGGGCGTAGCCTCAACGAGCGGAGCGAGGCGATAGACTCCGGAGGAGTGCCAGAGGCGGTACGGAGTACTTAGAGCGAAGCAGCGAAGCAAAAGGTAAGATTCTGTCTTTAGTTGCTGGAACGCGGAACGCTGGAAGTAAATCTGGGAAAATACGCAGTATTCTTGAGAACGTTCCGGTCGGTAAGTGCCGAGCGGAACGCTGCAGTGTAGGCTTGGCGGAACGTTGATATGGTTGGGGACACCTAGAGACAGAAGGGTGCTAGGTTTACGCCATAGTTTATACTGCATGCGACCATTCTGTACCTAGAAACTAGATTCACACACACACACAGAGACAGAAGGGTGCGACATTGGTCCCCCAGTGAAGATCACCTTCCTAATCTAGTAATTACTTGGCAGGAAATCGCTTCGAAAATGCCAAGACAGCATATTTATGCCAAGATATTGGCTAGCCACCAGTGGTCTATTCCGAATTGGGTAATTATGTACTAAAGTACTTCCTAATCGGGTAATTATTGGTGTGGAAGTGCGACATTTGGTCAGCCTCTCACCAAAAACCCAAGTTTTAGAAATTCAATAGCTCAACAACCACAACAGATAAAATTAATTGGGCTCTGTTACAGTGTTATTTATCTCTTTCTCTATCACCTTACAGAGCTATTTTAATTTTAATGTGTTGTGGTGGTTGGCCATTAAGCCTCGAAGTTCAGCAACTTTGACACTCCAGCTCAAGGTGTCCCCAACCATACAGAGATGTAGCGCAGAGGTAAAACAACAGGTAGCGTGAGGCTTAGCCACGGTCGCGTTTTGTCTATAAGTAGGGGAGTATCTCCCGCACTTCTTTTTTTTTGCATTATCCCCCGCACTTGATTGAGGGGGAGTAAACTCATTCAACCCCACCATTCGAGAAGCAGCGAGCAGAGCATCCAGCAAACAACACCCCGACTTTACCAGAGAGTCTATACTTTCAGATCAAATGGTTGATCAAGAGCTTCCCGATTTCAATGTGATGGCAGCAAATATGAACAATATTTCGCATGAGCAGGCCTCCCTAGCCGTTCACCTCGAGAGGATGCAAAACCTCCCAGCCTTCGACGCAGGAGCGCAGATTCTTCAAGCAATCGCGGCTTTGTCTCGCCGAATGGATGAGCAAATGCAGCAGCAAGCCCAGCAAGCCCAGCAGCAAGCCCAGCAAGCCCAGCAGCAAGCCCAGCAACTGGTGCAAATACAACAAGAGATGCAGCAAATCCGTCAAGAGATCTCCCGCTCGTAAGTCTACTTCTTGATTTTTGAGGATCCAGTGACCGATATTGAAGGGATCCAGGGAACGCAACAATTTTGCAAGGCTGCTCAATTCTTTCGTCAATCATTCCGATACCCGTCTTGAAGCTTTATATGGCTTGGACAATGAACCCCTTCAAGATTTCCCTGAAACAATTGCTGATATCGGAGCACTTACTGGTAAGTACCCTATGTCGCTGAAAAATCATTTAATCTGAACACGATGATAGGTGCCGGGCTCAGCACCCTCCTCGGCCAGCTGGGTTTGCCTGTTGATGGTAACGTCCCCGATTGTAAACGACGATTCATCAAGTACATCGGCTTGCGTAGTTTGGTTTGAAAATTGATACGCTGTGGTCAATTGTTCGGTGGAGGTTAAGGACGTTCGTGTTTGACTAGAGGTTTTCGTTTTCTCGTTCGGCTCTGGTTCGAAACCAGAACGACTGGTGTTTCTTTACTTTGCATTTTCCCGGGGTTGGCATCAGGGTGTGCCGCCTTTAGGATGGTAGGCACATCGAACGATAAATGACTTTTTTACTTGTATACTAGGGTTCTTGACGAAGCTAGCATTACTAATTTCTTTGTAATGCATTGAATTGAATTTATTTTTATTTTTATTTATTTTTTCCCCTGTTGTATTTTATTGGGCGACTTCCCGTGGGCGTTGTTGGCCGCTGTTGTGTTCACTCTCTGTTTCAACGACGATTCGAGACGAAAATACATAGAATGAATAAACTTCGATTAAGACAAAACGAGAGTAACAAGATGTGTATATGATAGACAGGGAGATAGCAAGCTAGTTATCATCCCTCTTGTCCTTGTCAACTCCCTTCTCAACTCCGCCAAGAGTTCGTGAAGTGCGGGGTCACTCCTCACTACAGACTTTGCTTTGCTTCATTTGCCAAGGCAAGTCAAAATCTCCTCCTTTTGGATATCGAGCTCGAAGGTCACCTCTCAAAGACCACCAGCACCTCACTGCTCCCAAAGCCCTCCTTTCAATAACTTGAAGGATGACCACCACTCACCCAAAGTTCCCTATGTGGGCAACCAGCATCATGCCATCATTAGTTTTTCTTTATTTTGTATTTCTTTTGTGTTATCCGGAAATTTTTTTTTTTCACTTTTTCTTAGGTGGGGGTTTCCTTAGTCATCAACATTGTAAGAGGAGTGTGGTTGGTAGCGTACCATAGCTACTATAACTGGGGGATGGTCTTTATGCCATAGGCTATGCCTGCATGCAGTAATTGTACCTAGAATCAATTTATATGATTTAAAAAAAAAAATAGCAAGCTAGTTATTAGGTCGTTCCGCTGCGGACACCTTTACAAAGGGATTGTCCACATTTCCACATGCTGTACTGACTAATACGTGACAAATCGCTTTACGGCAAATGTGCCCAACAACGTTTAGAAGCGGTTTGGATGAAATTTAGAGTAATAAAATTTGGATGGCAACGCTCCAGATTCAGAATCTGAATGGGGGCAGAAGTAAATCTTTAAGATTTGAAAGGGCGAAATACGATTGGTTAAGAAAGGTTCCGGGTGGGTCCTGATGTTACGCACTAAACCAAAGCAGTACTTAAAAATCTAGAAATACAGCCTTTGCGCTAGATCGATCCACTCTACCAAAGTCGAGTGGCGCACTAGTGCGGGCCGGTTACCTGTGATCCTTTGCGCTCTCATCCTAATACTAATACGACACTACTTGTGACATCGAGCTGCTACACCCATGACATCATGGTGAGTTCCAAAGGTTTAGAGTAACATTTTCTAATGGATTTATAGATGAGAAAGAGGTTCTTAGACCTTGCTGTTGGATTCTTCCTCCGCTAAACATCAGACAAAGAACTTTCATCGGACAGCTTCTTCACAACCTATCGGGCAGGTTTTTCACAACCAGATCGGGCTTCCGCATTTTTCGCTTGCATGCGCCGAGGACGCCGAGACGATGCCGAGACATTCAGATGCGAGGTCGCAGATCAGTTTAAGGCTGGAGGAGTTGTTGGAGAGGGAGCGGGTAGGGGAAGAACCCGATGCAGACTCAGACTTCGAAAGTGAGTTTGAAGAGGGTGCTAAACCATCGAGGCTATTGAAGAAATTGCGAGGGGTGGCTTGGATGGAGTGGGAGGATCGCGCGCTTGCAAAGCAAGTGCTTGCAGACAATCCTATCGTTAATAGGGTGGGAAGAAAAGAAGACCGTTGGGGATTGGTTTCTGAGGACTTAAGAAATCTGATTGGAATCGTTCTTGGTCATCGTGCAAGGACAGAACAGACAGGCTCGTTCTAATTCACAAGGTATTCAATTCTTTTTATTTCTTCCCGGTTTATCCTAATAGGAAGTGCAGAGTAACGAGAGCAACTCCAAACAAAAAACAAGGGTTGACGAGGACCCAACTGAGTTTTTGGAAAATATGTCGGAGATAGTGAATTTGTTTGATTCTATTTCGTTGAACGCCAGTATTAGGAAAGAAGCAAGGGATAGAACAGCGGCGGTAAAGGAAAAAGGTACGGCTTGGTATATATGTTTTTGTACGTGGGTTAAAGACGTTAATAAAAGTAGGTACTATAATCAGACAAGCGTCCAAGGGGAACAGAGTTCTCAAAAAGAGCTTAATGGAAGCGGATGGGGGTGTAGAGAATGGATCTTCTCGTACATCTAGTGCAGTTAAGGCTCCAAAAAATCAATTAGCACAACAGGTTGATGAGGCGGTGAAATTAATGAAGGAGAAGGCGGTGAATCTAGAAAAAGAAATTCTCGGGAAAAGAAATAGGGATGAGGAATTGCGGGATGATGTTCGCATGTTGATTGAGTCTCAACGGACAACCAATATGCTACTTCAGAACTTTGTTAAGCAATCTAACCCTACTCCGGATTATGTACATGAAAGTACTCCTCAAGAGTAGGAGGTACCGCCAATACTGGTATTTCATCTGCATCGAGTGGTGCTGGCAATTGAATATCGTTTGCAAAATATTGTGATATTTGAGGGCTATGAAGACAAACATGTGCGTTGTGTAAAATGACAGCAACTGGGTATTAGAGGCCAACGGGAGATAAAAGAACTTGCTGGCTCCTAGGGAAACCCAGGAACGTAAACCGTTGCAGGATTTCCTTGAAAGCCCATTCAACGACAATTCAGGCTTTTGACATTGCTTTATTCCATTCACGTTCATCTGGTGCCAAAGCAACGCTTCGGAATGGTGTTATCAAATGATCATCCAATGCCCCGATGTATGCTGGATTACCATATATTTGTAGAGGTGTTCCATCGGGAGCAAAAGCGTGCATTGCTAACAAATCCGAGAGATGGCTCTCCCGGTACACTGTAAGATCATGTAATTTTCCTTCCACTGGCCCATATAGGTGCGGAATTATACCATCGGGACATACGACTGATTGATATTTCAGACAGTGTAATCGTTTCCATCCATTGTATACCGCTTCTTGGCCCCAGGTTGGTCTTGCAATCTGTCTCAACGTTCCATCTATAAAACCGAAGCAAGTTTCAAGAGGAGCATCCCGAGAACGTATTGCTACCGTATACGCTGCTAACTTTTGTGGTGTCAATCGTTGGATATCAAAAACAAGAAGGTGCTTCCATTGTTCATGAATAAAATGTAATAACGTATTCACCACTCTGGAGACCCGCTCAGGCTTCCAACCGAATTTGAGGTGAAAATCTGTTAAACGGTTGGGCCAGGACAGCCGAGCCAATAGCATGCATAGGGCTGTAATCTTGTCTTGAACTATCCTGTTATCACATTTGATAATTTCAGGTAAGCGCATACAGCAAGCCAATCGATGCACTTCTTCGCGAGTAACTCTAAAAAAGTTTAACCACTATAAATAAATTCTTCCGGAAGAAATACCTGAAGTATGTGAGCCATGCATCGGCTGCCAAAGTGTCCAAATCAATTGCACCGCCCTCCCTTTCCTGCCCCCTCCACCGTGTATTATTGGTTCTCAAAAGATCCGCCAATGTCTCTAGCTCTTGAATGCCCTCCAAAAACTCCTGATACAACTCATATATCGGCCATATCTAATGATCACCGTTCTGTGGTTGTAGCGAGAGTTTTCCTAACGTGTCAGAAATCAGTTCACGTAGAGGGTACAGTACACCGTAGGAATACGGCGTACGTGCGAGACCTACTTTGAAAGATTTGCTTTCCAAATCTTCAACAATTGCTACTAACGGGTAAGAACTGCCTGTTCTACAACTGCCCAGACTTAGGGAACCTTCTGTTGGGGGTTGAGTTAGCTGTTCTGTACTGAATTAAAAGCGTAGAGGCAACGGTGTAGATCTGACGCATGGCGTCCGCATGAGATATACTCTCGAAGACGGGCTTTCCAGAAAGTCAACAGTCGCTAGGAACGGGTGAGAACTCGTGGTTCTACAGCCTTTCGAAAATACGGTACCTAAAGACACTTCAGGTTTTAGCACTCAGTGGTACAGGTAGCAACGCAGGAGGTAAAACTTAAGAAATAAGAGCGCCCTACTTAGGGAAGAATCTCCTGTATACCAGCTTTCTAAATCATCAAAAATTTTGTGATTTGGATAAAAAATGGGTATGGCGTTGCTCTACAAAGTTCAGAGGTCAAATTTGGTTGTTATGGGCTGGACCTACGTCAACTCTACAAGTGTGTGGCTAACAGGCTCCAACCCTCGTAGCGCAAAGGCTGTAATATTGTTCGCCATGGGAAGGCATTCGCATCTACTCGCGTCAGGGAAAAAGAACCAGAACATGCAAGTGAGAAAGCAGGGATTATTTGTATGGAGTGGCGCTGAGCTGCCATACAAACTAGGCTTGCATGTTCTGGTTCTTTATCCTAGACGCGAGTAGATTCACCTAAACGCCTTCCAAATTTCAACGGGGGACCCCTGAGCGGAGCGAAGGTGGGGGCGTAGCCTTAAGGAGCCAGAGGCGTAGGGTGAACGACAAGCGTTCCCAGCAACTACGCGGAACGCTGAGAGAACATTCCGTCGGTAAGTGCCGAGCAGAACGCTTGGCCGGAACAATGGGTAGCGTGAGGCTTGGCCACGGTCGCGTTTTGTCTAAGTAGCAAAGCTTCTTCAACCCCACCATTCGAGAAGCAGCGACAGCACACGACAAAGACGAGAGTACGAAGAACAAAGATTGCACAAGGTGAGTCTGAAGACAGGCGTTTATTTCGTTCAGACTATTTATTTCGACTTGAGATGTCTCTCAACATTGCTCGTCAGCTGCTTTTCCGTAGCGGCACTCGGTACGGCGTCCATCGTTACGGCGTCCATCATAGCATTCACCGTCCTTCTCGCTGGTTTGGCAATACAGCACAGGCAAGTCTTTAATCCTGGAAGCCCCGTCGGAAGTTCCGTTGGCTATACTAACTTGGTGGATGTGTAGCGGAAAGCTATCGACGAGCTCGGAGCAGCTAGTGAAAAGCGGCAAGGAATTAAAGTCCTCACCGAGCTAGAAAGGCTCAGTGTTGTGGGGACTGTAAGGATTCGACCACAATCAGTTCGGCAAGTGCTAACTTGTAGCAAAAGGGCCTTCAGCAAATCGGCGGCAGCTTCAAAAGAATTGAAGAATGGATAAAGCTCATCATAACCTTTGGTGTGGGAACGGTTACCCTTGGGCTGGGAACGGTACATTCTCATGGGGATTTTGCCTGGTTTTCCGAGCTATTCAGCTAATATATCTACAGCTAGTTCTTAAAGTTATGTACTACGACGTCGAAGCGAACAAGGAAATGCGTCTGTACATTGAGAAAGTCGTCAACGCAGCGGGAGAAAAAACGAAGCTTGAGATGGAACTCTTTACGGAGCGACAAATACAAAATGGTATCAAGGAAATTCGCCGGGTGGTAAAAGAAGAGGTTCAGAATGAAATGAGGATTAAGGATGGAGGGAAAGAGAAGTAAAGCAGCTGATTCTACTTTTTTTTCGACAATGGGTTGTTTTCTTTGTTACCCTAACCCATACAAAAATTCGGTTTACACCAGTGATTAGTTCATAACCATAACACCCAGCTTTCCTCAAGCTAGTTTTTAACTAGTTTAAAGCTGTCTGTTAGTAGCTCAGTTTGAAACTCCCGAGTTCGTCACGGGCCCCTAGTCTATAAGTAGGGGAGGATCCCCGCACTTGGTTGAGAAGCTACGAAGTCGCTTCAACCCACCATTCGATAGATGGAGCCTGAGATAGCACGACAATCATGCCTCCCAAGTCAACAACCATGAAAAAGGTCAACAAGAGGAACCGGAAGTTGCTTTCACCAGCGGAAAGCCTGAGTCAAGATGATGATGATACGACATTTGATGCCATACTGGTTACCCGATCGGAACTCGGAGTCGGCGAAGAAATGAAGAAGGATGCCAAAGATGCGCTCGAACAGGAACTTCACGTTGAGGACGTGAGGGGAGAACTTTTCGTCGGCAATCTACGCGGTCTTAGCTTCGCCAATTACAAGGTGGATCAAGCAGATCTTCGGGCTCGCGTTGATGCACAGGACAAGAAGATCGCCTCACTTGAAGTCAAGAATGCCTCGCTCGAAGACCGTGTGAGCAGTCTGACGTCTTCGCTCGATGCTTACAAGCTCTTACGAAATCGTTTCATCAGCACGTTCAAAAGAGATAAGCTGGCCAACGCAACCGAGGTAGACAGGAGGATCATCGCAGAGGGCAACGGGTGGGCTCACGGAGGCGATGCTATTGTTGATGCCGAGTTGTATCAAGGCATGGGCGGAAGAAGAGACCCTATAGCTTTCAAGAAGCTTTACGGGATGTCCCCTGGGGATGTACGGATGATCAGTGGGTTCTTTACTATTCTGAAAAAGTGTTGGGGCTAACACGTTCAGGTCATCAGCCAACCATTGACATTTTGAACGTTCATGCCGCAGTAATTGCCTCGCAGGACAAATCGGCATTGCCAGGTTTTACACGCTGTTCGCAGAGTTTGTCAACCTCTTCAGGGAGTCGGGTGAGGGTTATGATGATAGTTATTTGAACGGGGATGCGACGGATGTGACTCGCGCGTACTGGTCGTTTCTAAACTGTATCAAAGATGAGGTTACGAATTAGACGAAGTTTTTTTTCCTTTGGTGTTTCGGTGGGCTGGTTATGTAATTTATTATTGATGTATTACACTATGAATTTGGGGGACCCCTTGAGTGTAGCGAAAGAGGGGCGTAGCCTTGAGTGAGTGGAACGAACGCCACACCGAAGCCAGAGGCGGAGGTAGTGTGACCGGAAGCAAAGCGTTCCTCAGCAACTAAAGACCTTTGCGTGTCTTTACTAGCGGTGCCGGAAACATTATTAATCATGTGATCGGTTGCCTTCACAAATCCAAAGCTTCACACCAATACGAGTGTCACATGATCAATAATGTTTCCGGCATCGCTAGTAGTTGCTGGAACGCTGAAAGTGAAGCTTGGCGGAGCGATGACACAGAGATGTGGCGCAGAGGTACAGCTATCGGCGGAAATGTGGCGTTGGAAAATCGCCCTGCTCTCGGCGTGATCGTCGGTCCCTGTTTCCGCAATAATTCTACCGATAACGTTTTTGACCCAGTATTGTGTCAGACCTAGAAGTGTGTGGCATGGCAACGGCACTAAAACTAAACATAAAGCCTTCGAAAAACGAAGACTCTACAACCACCGTAATAGAGGATAGTTAATCCGGAAATTATTCAGATTCATGTGTTTTCAAATGAAATTCATTTCTTAAAAATCTGGTAGTAAATATCTCAAGAGGTGGTAGAGATAGCTTTGGCGGTGGGAATCCCCATACAAATTTGTGTGGGATTGACACTCTTCTAGGTCTGACACGGTACCCGGTCTAAAACGTTAGCTGTAAAACAACGGGTAGCGTGAGGCTTGGCCACGGTCGCGTTTTGGGAATGAGACTACGACACTCTGGGAGAAGAGACGAAGTCTTTCACCCTTATCCAACAACGTGATTGCAGAACAGAGCGACACGACCAAAGATCGGATAACGAGAACAGAGTAACGGGGACAAACATATTCAGGCCCCTCAGTCGACAAGCAGTCAAGGCTGTTCGCAGACCCGGCCTTCTTCTCTCCAGCGGTACCACATCATAGCATGCAAGCCCCGTATTCCGGGCCCCCGAGTTACGATATGATAGCTCGACGGTTCTCTTCGCAGAACGTACGGAAGTATTTTGACCAGAAGCGTCAGCAAGATGCTATGGACAGTGATGGATTCATTGATATTCATGATGTCAAGCCCGAACTTATTACGCCTCCAGATGATTACGATGTTTTAATCTCGGATGTCACTCATCAAACATTGGACACCACAATTGCCGAGGAATTGGGCGTACCGTACCTGGGGAAGGCTACTACGGCTGATGCTGAAGAAAGGGTTCGGATGGCCGATGGATATATATATGGCCCGAATGACAGGACGATAATTCCACTTGTTGTTACCCACAAGGAGGTGGCTCGCTGGGTTTTTTTTATTTTGGACACCGGGTGTCCATGGACTTACCTTTCGGCTGAAGTGAGTGCTCCTACTTGTTTAATTAGAAATGTTAACCAAGTTTAGGCAACCAATGCTCTCGGTATCCAGGAAGAAACAGGAGCATGGGTCACTCTGGGTGGACGAAAAGATATTGCCCATGTAGTGCCATCAAAGTCTCACTTTACTGGTGTTAATTTGCTTGGTACATCGTTTCTTCGGTTATACAAGGCTAGCGTCTTCTACTATCTTCTTCTACTATCTACTATCTACTATGTACTAGAATACACTTTTTCTTAATTCGTTGCGGTCTGATTGGTCGACACCGACATGGGTGTTTAGTAAGCATGACACATCAAAGTACTGAACACTCCAGAGGAGGAGGACGGGGGCCGAAGCCCTCTCATAATTCTAGAGGGAGAATTAAACAGAGGAGGTGGAATGGGGGGCCGAAGGCCCCCATCGAAGGCCTTCCATAATTATTTGATACCCATAATCCAATAACTCGCGGTCACGAGTTGGCACACCCTAGTATGGATGAACTATAATACCTTGCGGGCGAGATTGTTTTTTGATGGACAGTGGGGGGGGGTTGTAGTATGGTTGCGGACGCCTGTATCCGGAGTAGATGCGACATTGGTGTTTTTTGGCTATCACTTTCCCAATCAAGTAATAACTTGGCACTTTTATTGCTCTTTCGTGCCAAGACCTATCAATGATATTAAGAGGTAGTCCGGGAATTGCCCAATCAGGTAATTAAATACATAACGCCCTAGAACAATTTCCGAAATAGGCAACTTTGGGCGACATTCATTTGGTCTCTTAACAAAAACCCAACTTTTAGAAATTCAATAACTCCACAGCCATAAACGATAAAATTGATCGGACTCTGTCATGATGTAGAGCGGAGGCTAAAGCATCATTTAACAGAGAGAAATAATTTTAGGTGTGGTGGTTGGAAAGTCATCACCCCCAAAGTTTGAGGTCAAATCTCCTCCGGTTACAGGTGTCCGCAACCATATGGATTGTGGATTGTTTGTACTTTTTTTTTTTTTTTAATTTTTCGGCTGGGCGAATTACATATGTAATTAATTGATTTCATGATATCACTATCGTGTTTAGGGGACCCCTTGAGCGAAGCGAAAGAGGGGGCGAAGCCTTCTCACCGTAGCGAAGCGTAGGTAGAGAATTAATTAGTGAGCAGAGCGAGCGCCACACAGAGCTAAAGGCGTAAAGTGAACGACAAGACCTTTCCGAAGGAAAAGGTAAGTAAATCTGGGAAAATACGCAGTATTCTTGAGAACGTTCCGGAGCAGGGATTGCTTTGGAACGCTGCAGGTCTGGCTTGGCAGAACGGGCGGAACAGAGTGAGGCTCAGGTTTTAAACAACGGGTAGCGTGAGGCTTGGCCACGGTCGCGTTTTGTCTATAAGTAGGGGGAGCATCCCCTGCACTTGGATGTGAAGTGTCAAAGACCGTTCAACCCCACCATTCGAACGAGAGTATGAGCAGCAAGCAACACCACGACCCCACCGGAGTGCTCAACAGTTTCAGCGAACAAGCAACAATCGTGGCGACAAACATGTTCAGACTCCTCAGCCGCCAAGCAGTCAAGCCTGTTCCAAGACCACCTTTTCGTCTCTCTACTGGTACCTCACGGCGGATCCATAGCATACAGGTTCCGTATACCGGTCCTCCGAGTTACGATATGATCGCTCAACGGTTATCTTCGCGGGTCAATCCACAAGTCTTCTTCATCAGCAAGCGCTAGCAAGAGGCTAAAGATCGCGGTGAATTCGTCGACATCCATGAGGGTGGTATAGGTCCGGCGGATTACGATGTCTTGATTACGGATATTTCTCATCAAACACTGGAAACTACAATTGCAGAGGAATTGGGAATACCCTACCTATCGAAGGCGACAGAGTCTGATGCCAAAGAGGTGGTTGAAGTGGGTGAAGGTTACATCCACGGCGAAACCTTCAGGCCGATAGTCCCATTTGTGGTTTCACGCAGAGATGAAGCTCGATGGGTTTTTCTCATCGTGGACACTGGTTCTCCGTTGACGTACCTTTCGACTCAGGTGAGTGCTGCGCCTACCTGTCTTAATAAAGCTGCTAACCAGTCTAGACTAGCAGGGTTTTAGGTATCAGCGAACGGATGTATGCCAACATCGGTGGATATCGTCACGCAGTTAATGTGCCACCGAGCAACTCTCACTTCACTGATATCAACATTCTTGGTGGAGACTATTGCAAACTAAACGATGTTGATCTATTGCTCAACTATCCCAATCGCCGGGTGAAATTGCTCTTTGGTGGAGGGTGGAAATTCACGAGAGAGTCAAAGCTGTAGTACGGGTTTAGCGAGTAGGCGAAGTTTTTTTCCTTTGGTGTTTTGCTGAATAGATGGCGGCAACGGAGTTTCGGTTGTATGGCGATTCGGCTGGGCGAATTATGTAATTTATTATTGATGTATTATACTATGAATTTGGGGGACCCCTTGAGCGCAGCGAAAGAGGGGGCGTAGCCTCAGTACCATAGCGGAGCGAAGGTCACTGAAAATAAGTGAGCGGAGAGAGCGCCACACCGGAGCCAGGGGCGTAGGTAAACGACAAGCGTTCCCAGCAACTAAAGACCTTTGCGAAGCAAAAGATAAGATTCTGTCTTTAGTTGCTGGAACGCGGAACGCTGGAAGTAAATCTGGGAAAATACGCAGTATTCTTGAGAACGTTCTGGTCGGAAGTTGCCGAGCGGAACGACAAGGGTTGTTAGGAACAAGACTTGGCAGAACAGGAGTGGCGCAGGTATGAGGGCTTGGCTCGAGTGAAAATGTTATCTCTTGGGCTGGTGAGACATGCAGATTCCCTGACTTCCTGATTAGGGTGTGGCAGAGTGACTTCGCCATTGAGGTAATGATCCTTTTTACAGAGGCAAGGTCACTTAGCCACCGCATGTAGTTACCCAGTGAGGAAGTCAGGGAACCTGTATGTCTCACCAGCCCAAGGGATAAGAGGACTGGGTTCCCACGTCTACTGAGGGGGAAGAGCTGAAAGCTATTCAACCCTACGACGGCGAAGAATTGATCGAACACGACACGACCAGAGTACACGAACGACAAGGTGAGTTCGTTTAATGTCACATTATCTCTCTAACTGGCTAGAGTATTGAAGACTGACTTTTGCTAAATTCACGAGAGGTGAAAAGCAGCCGACCACCATGTTCAGGCTCATCAGCAAGCAAACGTTCAAGCCTATGGGCGTTCACCACTACCACCCACGCAGGGTGATCAGTACTCCTCCGGTGAGCTCAAAGTTTTAATAGCATACAAACTGCACACTAACTTGGTGGCTCAGAGACGCAACACCGACGATGGTGGTCATCGCGATGAGAGTCATCACCATTCCGACAGTGCAGATGGTCCAGCCGCCTCCACAGCTGGCTTCCAGTCTGGTTCTGCTCCGTTCGTTACCTGGGATCGCTTTTCCTAACTGAACAAGGTGGGAAACTAGTTTTTAGATACGGGGTATCGTCCTAATATTTCTTAGAGCGTTTCTACTATGCAGTTGAAACTCGACCATCTTGAATCGGGCCAGAAAGAGGTGAAATCGGAGATCAAATACCTCAGCACCAAGATGGATGCGAAGTTCGACAAGATGGATGCCAAGATGGATAAGAAATACGACAAGATGGACGGCAAGATTGACCGTTTGTTGTACGCTATTATCGGTGGTTTTGCTACTGTTATCTTGAAAGGCGGCTTCGACTTCTACATATCCGAGAAGCAGAAGCAGGACCACGCTACCCAAAAGAAGCAGTAGAGACCCGGAGGCTGCTATGGCATGGGTACGCACAGTGGAGTCCATCCATTTGCAAAGATCGACGACTGATTAATATGATGTAGGACTCGGACGGCGCTGTGTAGACTTGCTTTTTTTCATGGTTAATACGGACTGGCGCATAGAATACGGCGTTTCGGGGGCTTGTGTAGGCTTGGCGGAACGTTGGCGTAGAGATGTGGCGTAGGGTTAAGCTAAGCGTAGCGAAGATTTAGATAAGAGGAGGGGGCCCCCCCTCCGTCTGGTGGAAGAGACGAAGTCCCTTCAACCTCACCACTCCATAGACGGAGAGAGAACAGTGAACTCCTAGGAGGACAAAGCGATAACACAATAACACGGAAACCAAGGGGTAGTTATTTAACGACAAGGTGAGAATCAAAGACTGATTAAATTCACAGGAACAACGAGAACAGAGTAACTGGGACAAACATGTTCAGGCTCCTCAGCCGGCAAGCAGCCAAGGCTGTTCCCAGACCCGGTCTCCGTCTCCCTACCGGTACCTCACGCCGGATCCATAGCGTGCAGCTCCCGTACAGCGGTCCTCCGAGTTACGATACGATCGCTCGGCGGTTCTCTTCTTCGCAGATCGGTCCGCAAGCCTTTTTCGCTCGCAAGCGTCAGCAAGAGGCTAAGGAGCGTGGCGAATACGTTGATATCCATGATATCGGCGGTGTGGATCCGAAAGATTTTGATGTCTTGGTCGCTGATGTTGACCGCGGGAGGCTGCAGCATGAAGTTGCAGAGGCAGGGGGCATAGCGTACCATTTGGAGGCGACTAAGGAAGATGTCAATAGGATAATCGAAGCCGGTGATTGTATTATATACGGTAGGAATCTCCGGACGATATTTCCAGCAGTTGTCGCTTGTGAAATGGGCAAGGCTCATTGGGTCTTCATCGTTAATACTGGTTCACCATTGACATACCTTTCAGCTCAGGTAAATGCTCCTGCCTGTGAAAAGAGAGTATGAACGCTAACTACTCCAGACGAGTGCCCTATTTGGTATCAAGGGTGGTGACTACGGACTGACGCCTGTCAAGATTGCTGGACATCTGCACGGTGTTTGCAGGTCGCCAGACAATTCACACTTTACCGAAGTTAACATTATCGGCATGGACTTTTGCAACATGCATGACGTTTTCCAGTGGAATGATTCCAAAAATCGCCGAGCAAAGTTATACATCGGTGGAAAGTGGAAGGTGGTGGAAGAGTCTAAGCTGTAGTTCTGCGAGCAGGCGACAAGGAGAGAATACGAGTGGAAGGCGGTGGAGGAGGTGGAGGTGGAAGAGGTGGACGAGGTAGAGATGGCAGGTGGAGAGCTAGCGGAGCTGGGGGGAGGTATCGAGTTGGAAGGGGCCGGGGGAGGGAGGGGGTGGAAGAAGTTCCCTCTCTTGAAGGCGGTTTTTTTTTTTTTTTTTTTTAAATCATTTTCAATTTGATTTTAGGTACAAATGACCGCATGCAGTATAAACTATGGCGTACCTCTCTTGAAGGCTTTCCAATGTACAATATGTAGGTGCATACTCAGCAACTCGCGGTCGAATTCAGAACGTTCCGGATGCAGGGATCTGGTCCGGAACGGCACGTGCTAAAATGTTCCGGAACATTGCCAAGCAGGCAACCACATGCATGAGAGAACGGCGCCACTCCATACAACTATCCTTGCCCTGAGCAACCGCATTTTCTGGTTCTTTTGCTGGTAAGCAAGTATACTCGTATTTCACTGACGTTTGTGGACGCGACTGATATTGCATGCCATACAAAAATACACCAAGCTCATGATTTTGGGTGTATGCAATAATGGCCCAGTTCAAAAACGTCAGTGAAATACGAGTATAAGGATAAGGAGAGCGCATATATATGTAGGATACAACCCCGCAGTCGAGGACTTGCGCCATCTGTCTCAGTAAAATCGCCGACCCCACACCTTCCCAGGAACCAACGTCTCAGCGCGGCCCGTCTATCGATCTACGGACATGGGTTTCTGTTAGCCAAGGCTCGGGGGCCCAGTGTAAGGGAGTTGCACACTATGAATCTGGCGTGATGCGGAGAGACGAAGACCGGGTCTATGAACAGCCTTGAACGCTTGCCGGCTGAGGAGCCTGAACATGTTTGTTTGTCGCCACGATTGTTGCTTCGTCTTATCGCCTTGTCATGCTAGGAATATGTTCTATCTCCGCGATGCTGCGTAAAAGGTTGAACAGACTTTGTCCTTTCTTCAACAAGAGCGAGGGGAAATCTCCTCTACTTATGCTCCAATCATTTCATTATCTGCGAGTGGGTGTGGCTTGCCCCACTGCCTACTTGGCTTTCCGTCTCACTTCATCTCGCACGTGCCGTTCCAGACTGATCCCTGCATCCGGAACGTTCTGTGAAATACTCCGACCGTTCCGCGTTCCAGCAGATTAAGACAGGATCTTACCTCTTGCTTCGCAGAGGTCTTAATCTGCTAGAAACGCTTGCGTTCACCATAGCGGCGCACCGCTATTCTCGTCACCGCTTCCTTACACCCTCCGGGTAGCCCTCTGGGCTCTATCGCCTTCGCTACCGCTCAGTTGATGGCTACGCCCCCTCCCTCACTCCGTTCGGGGGGTCCCCCTTTATAACAATCATAGATTGGATGGCAAGCTCAGCAATCATTATTTTTTATTCTAAGAAGTAGGGTCAAAGCGCACCGCTATTCTCACTCCTCACGTCGCCCACTTAAAGCCAGTCAATTCTTTTCTCCAGCCAAATCGAAAATACAGACGCCGTATTAGTCTCGACGCCTTCTATGTAAACAGCAAAACACCCCCGATCCATGATCTCCGTATACGCTGCCCAGCCAGCCCAAACTATAAATAGAGAGAACTTTCGCGCATTAGCTACATGCTGTACTAAGGATAGGAATGTGCCACTTACTTACTGGCCTTTAGACCTTACTGAAACCCCTCAAGCCTTCGGAATGGAACCGCAATCCTCACCACCAGACTGCTTGCAACGCTCAAGCTTGTGGAGCCACTCCCTCATCGGCTTTTTGTTTCCATCAAGTGCTTTCATAGTGTGATGTGCGGTTTGCAGGATCATCGACTGGCAGGCTTGGACTTCTGCTCCAAGGTCTTGGACTTCTGCTCCAAGGTCTTGGACTTCTGCTCTAAGGTCTTCGATCTTCGATTCAAGATTCTTTTCGACGCGGCTGAGATTCCCCTCGATCTCCGCCTTGACTCCATCGTTGCCTTTGTTCGTCTGCCAAATAACCGTGGCAGAGCCAATGGCAGTAGCGATAAGACTGGGACCGTAAACGTGAAACAACTCTGTCACAAGAAACATTTTGTTAGCGAGCATTCACCGCCACGAATGCAAGGAGATGGCAAAGTACTGCTGGCAGAATCCATGGTTGAAACGTAACGCTGTTGATGCTGCTCGCTACTGCTACCGTGTCTGAGAAAGTGATTCGCGTAGAACCGGCTGCTTTTCAGTTCTCGTGAATTTAGCAAGTCAGTCTTCAATACTCTAGCCAGTTAGAGAGATGATGTGACACTAAACAAAGTCACCTTGTAGTTGTCCGTTATTCGTTCTCCGTTGATGGTGTTGCCTGTTGCTGGAAGCTATGCTCTCCGGTAGAGTTGTGCTATTGCTTGTTGCTAATCTGTCTCCGTCTATCGAGTCATGAGGTTGAAGGACTTTGTCCCTTCCCACTCACAGAAGGGAGTGTGGAATTTTCGTATAAGGACACCTTACTGTGAAGTGGCTTGTGGACACTATTGTGGCCACGCGCCAGGGAGAGAAACGTGGACTCTTGTAGCTTAAAATAGTCAGGGGAGAGGAAGAGGAAACAACAGGCGTCTCCACTCAATAAAATTCTCTCTGTCTTTATTCCGTCCTCTATATACCACAAGAGATAGGAAAACTTTTCTGGGAGGGAAACCCTTCTTATCCTTACGCCGCTTGGCATTGTTCCGGAACATTTTGGCACGTGCCGTTCCGGACCAGATCCCTGCATTCGGAACGTTCTGGATTCGACCGCCGCGAAACCTGTGAAATACTTCCATCGTTCCGCGTTCCAGCAGATTAAGACAGGATCTTACCTCTTGCTTCGCAGAGGTCTTAATCTGCTGGGAACGCTTGCGTTCACGATAGCGGCGCACCGCTATTCTCCTCACTCCGCTTCCTCACACCCTCCAGGTAGCCCTCTGGGCTCTATCGCCTTCGCTACCGCTCAGTTGATGGCTACGCCCCCCTCAAACCGTAATATGAGTGGGATGATCTAGATTTAAATTCTGAGCGATGTAACTAATAGCCAGCCGATACAAAACCAAACGCCCTATGTAGCAACCTCTATACCAGCCGATAAGAATCCAAACGCCACAGTCAACTAAAAAAAAGCCATGAAACGCCACGTGTACTCTTAACGAATGAGATACATACAAACAAGAAAAACCCCTACCAGCTAGCTCCTTGGCGAGTATGATAGGACAGCAGTACATCTCCTCAATACGGAACCCCGATGTACTCAGCAATCTACTCCCTACGTTGCGTAACAATGGCACCGGGCGGCAATGCTGGGAGCCCGAGCAGAGCACAAACAGCCTGGCATTGGTTGCCTGAGAATCATGAAATATTAGCAACGTCCACATCCACTAATAAGGAAGACTTGCCAGTCAGCTCGAAAAGATCCCGACGAGTGTGCGGAAGTGGATGGCCTTGAGGCAACCCGGCCGGGTAGCGAAGCGGTGCAGTATCAGAGGTGGAGGCATTATACAGCCTCATCGGTAAGAGCTGTTGCCTGGTTGAACTGTAGGTCATGCTAGCTAGCCAAACGGAGATAGGCAAAGACACACTCGTCCTGTATCTGTGCAATCTGACCTTGCACCTGTCCAATCTGGACTTGCATCTGTCCAATCTGGACTTGCATCTGTCCAAGAAGAGCCATCACTTGTAAGTGATTCGCATTTATTTGTTGTTGCAAGGCACCAAAACCGGCTGCTACGGGCATGTTGGGAACCAAGGCGATTTCATTTCGAATGCTTTGTAGATGGTTGATAATGGTTGCGAAATTTGGTTGAGCCATTATATCTGTCGGAAGTATCTCTTATGGTCGTCGGGAGAGCTCTAGACAGTCTGTCGATCAAGGTGTCCGTGGTGCGTAGTCGCCGATGGCTGTGTCCGTCTGTTCAATCCACAGAGGAGTGTAGTATGCCGTATGATTCTGATTACTTCTCTTGATGGTGATCCTTTACACGAGATGGAGTCCCCTGCTCCTCTTATCTCTCCGCTGATAACACCTATACCTATACAAGCCATAGTGTCCTCTCAGTCTGGCCTAATGCCAAGACGCTAACTACTACATCTTCACTTAGACGGCCTCTCGGGCCACTCGGACACCCCCCTCACTCGGACAGTTAACGTAGAAAAGAAAAGATCAACGTTTTAAGTGGCTTCAGTACCTCTTTTCAACCAATCATGATTGACTGTCCGAGTGAGGGGGGTGTCCGAGTGGCTAGGGAGGCCGTCTACTACAATATGTGCTACCGCAAGGAGTGAATATCGTTCCGTTCCCTTTAGATAAATCACTCCCTTCTTTGCCTCCTATTGTCTTATCGCCTTGTCTTGCTAGGAGTATGCTGTTCTGTCTCCGTCTATCGAATGGTGGGGTTGAAGGACTTCGTCACTTCTCACCCACAGAGGGCGGGAAACCCTACCTCTTATACTGACTCAGCTTGAGCTGCTTTATCCCTTCGTCTGTTCCCGCGAATCACGGCCTATTGGCGTGGAAACGGCGTCGTGATCAACCAAAATCTAACGACGATTGTTTAAGGCTCCGCATGGTATCAACGGCCGTTACATACTCGCGCGGCCGAGTTTCGACTTACTCACGTGACGCTATTTAACAGGTTTTTTGCGTTACCCATAGGTCATGTGATTAAGTTGAAACTCGGCCGCGCGAGTAGTATTCGTCCGTTCAAGGGCCCGAGAGGCCGTTTAGCGGCCGATGACCGTTCAGAGGATGTTTGGCAACGACCAACCGTTCAGTATAGGAACGGAGCCTAACGGTCAACTGTATTCAAAGTGTGAAAGGACCTCTAGAGGTCCTTTTCCCTACTGAACCGCAACTGTTCATGGCAACCACGCAACATGCTACCAGACAGCGGAACCGTTGAGACCAAGCGCCCCCTTTAAAAAATCATAAAGCACTAGTAATCCGTTCGTGACACCCGAACGGAAGCTCGCCTGGCAGCGAAATCGAACGGCCGTTGATACCATGTAGAGCCTAAAGCACTACTCGATTGAGGATTTTTGCGTGACGAGTAGAGACAGTTTTCTACCGCCGACCGCCAGCTAGGCAGTAGGTTTTGTGTGGTGAGCCACGAATTGCCACAAGTCCTGAATACAGACGAAGGGATGTGGCCGCTGTATTGGTGTAAACCTTAGGGGTTTCTGAGGGTGGAGAATCACGTGAGCAACAAAATATTCGGCATTGCTAGTAGAGTCGTGGTGTTGCTTGTTGCTGCATGCTCTGCTCACTGCCACAGAAGGAGGAACCTTCTTCTTATATAACATTTCACTTGCGCTGCGCTCTACCTCATTTTACTATTGCGCGGCAGTGCTGTTCCGCCAAGGCCAGCCTGCAGCCTTCCGGAAAGACCCCTGTCGAATCCCTGCGTCCGGAACGTTCTCAAGAATACTGCCCCCCGTCTTAAAGGTAACCAAGAGTGACAAAAGTCAATCGCTAATAACTTTACCACCAAAAAACATAAAAGAAATCGGTACAATGAAGGTATAGTAGTAGTGATGAAGTTTACTTTCATTGTACGGGTTTTTGATATCTATCCTAGTTGTGAAGTTATTAGAGTTTGAAATCGGCTGTTTTTGTATGTAAAAAGCGCCAAGACCGAGCAAAGTGGAACAGTATTATCCCTTAGTCTGGCAATGCTGACCCCCCTATAATAGAGGAATTAAATTTGTATGGGAGATCTATTATTTGATAAGAGAGACAACAGGATCTGTTAGTAAAGCCACACAAAAGTTTGCTTTTTTTGGGGGGTTCAGCATTTTTTGCCAGACGAAGGGATACCCATCTATCCCCTGGATGTTCGAGACATTTTGCGAAATCTCTCTCATGCATAAATATCATGTGATCTCGAATTTAGGTGGGAGAAGGTCCGGGTAAGCAGTGTGCCGCATTTAAAAGTCTTTGGAATACGCTGATGTGCCATAAACTTCTCACAACACTGCTCTATATGGTGTCAATCACTTCCTGGATAGACACGCTAATGCATGAGAGAGATTTCGCAAAATGTCTCGAACATCCAGGGGATACCCCCCTCAAAAGCGAATTGCGGCAGCAATGCAGCAAAGTGGCTGAAATAGGCCCTCTCATTGGCCTGGGAGCCATCTTGCAGCCACGATTGTTCCACTTCCAAATACCGCTGTCACCTTTAAAAGTATTCGCACGATACTGCGTTCCGCGTTCCAGCCATTAAAGACAGAATCTTACCTCTTGATTCGCAGAGGTCTTAATCTGCTGGGAGCGCTTGCGTTCACCATAGCGGCGCACCGCTATTCTCGCCCCTCACGGGACTCACCCCTACCGGTAGCTATCGCCTTCGCTACCGCTCAGTTGAGGCTACGCCCCCTTTATTCACAGTATAAGAGGACGTAAAAACTATTCACATAAATTAGCAAGCTCAACAATCATTATTTTTTTATTCTATTGTCAACCCTCTTCTTCCACAGTCTCAACATCCCTAACCTCATCTTTCGCACATCGTAAAAATGACCAGTACGCACGAGTCACTCCAGTAGTCCCACCGTCATCCAAATAGCTTTCGTCGTAGTCTGACTCTTGAAAGAGTTTGATAAACTCCCCAAACCCTGTATAAAATGTTGTAGTACCAATTTTATGCTTAGAAACGATTACCCAGGCGTGAAGGTTCAACGCGTCAATGGTTGATTTATGGTCTGAACAAGTTAGTCTTGACCCAGGAAGTAATGCCATAAAGGGAACTCACTAATCGATAGCACTCTCAAAGGGTCCATCCCGTAAAGTCTTTCATAAGCAGAGGGGTCTCGCCTCCTCTCTGAGCCTCTGTACAACGAGGCATCGACAACAGCATCGCCTCCGTGAGCCCATGCGTTGCCCGCTCCGTCGGTCACGTTGGCCAGCTTATCTCCTTTAAACGTGCTGATGAAACGATTCCGTAAGAGTTTGTAGGCATCGAGTGAGGACGTCAGACTGCTCACGCGGTCCTCCAGCGAAGCGATCTTGATATCTTGCGAAGCGATCTTATTATCCTGTACATCAACACGAGCCCAAAGGTCTGCTTGATCCATCTTGTAATTGGCATAGCGACCGGGATTGCCAACGAAGAGTTTCCCCCCTGACATTTTCAACACGAAGCTCTTCGGCAACAAGCGCCTGCTGAAGCACATCCCTAGCGTCCTGCTGGATTCCTTCTTCGTCTCCGAGTACCGACCGGGCAACTAGTATGGCATCGCATTTCGTATCATCTTGACTTTCCGGCGAAAGCACTTCCCGGCCCTCTTGTTTTCCTCTAGGCGTTTGACCAAATCTGCCCTGGTCCCCGTCACGTCAAGTCCCTCGGTCTTACATTGCCTCTGAAGATCCTTCAACGTTGCTGACTTGGCAGGCATCATGATTGTCGTGAGGTTGAGCGGGCTTGCCCCCTCTCACTCACAGAAGGGAGGCGGGAAACCCTGCTTTATGTGCGGATGTAGCCTGCTTGGCAATGTTCCGGAACATTTTGGCACGTGCCGTTCCGGACCAGATCCCTGCATCCAGAACGTTCTGTGAAATACAGTCGCTCACCTACTGATGGCGGATCCTGTCTGATGGTTCTCTTTGCGCTGGCTGCAGCCCGTCACAGAAATGCCAAGAATTTTGGAGCTGGAGCCGGATCTCCATTTCACTTTGCGCTGTGAATGCAGCTGTTGCCACCGGTTGCGCAGCCTGGAAGCCAAGCATTCCCTCCTACTCAAGACAAGTCTTGCAAATCACAACATTTGTTTAAATACTTTGAAAACATGTCAGTGATAGATATGCTTCCAGGCTATCTTGAGAATCAACAATCTTTTAAATTAGACAAGTATTGGTTGAGCTGTGAGGAAAATACGGAGCGGAGGTCTAATTTGGGGATTTGGTTATTCCTCTGGCTTCAAAACAAGAGCTGGCTCTGCTGAATAATTTGGTCACAATGCCAAGTGCTACTAAAATGGAGCTGGCTCTCCCAACGCAAAGTCTCTATTTGCCCTTGGCGTCCAAAACCTAACTCTCAAATCCCTGACCGCCATCAGACAGGATCCGCCTTCACCCCGTGAGTGACTGTACTCCGACCGTTCCGCGTTCCAGCAGATTAAGACAGAATCTTACCTCTTGCTTCGCAGAGGTCTTAATCTGCTGGGAACGCTTGCGTTCACGTTCGTCCCTCACCACCGCGTCGCTCCGCTCGCCCCCTCCCTTCGGGGGGCCCCCCACATTCAATAGTAAGGTGCGCACTAGGGTCCCGTGAAATATACAAGGGTAAGATACTGGGAGTAAGAAACACGGTTATAAACCGGTTATAAACTCAGGTCCAGTTGAGAGGGAGTAAGATACTGTGGCAGGGTTAGGGTTATTTAGGCAATAACATAGGAAGAGGGCGAGAAACACAAGTCCGTTCCCACTGGCACATTTGCAGACAAGGGCATACAGTCGTTTCTGGGTCAACGACGAACCCGTCTCGATGACGAGTGGCTACTTTTTGGGCTGATAGTCAGTCAAAGCAAAGGGGTCGGGGCGCTTTTGTTGGCTTTTATTGGCTTCGATTGGCCTATTCGCCACCGAACTGGTTTCGTCGTTGACCCCGAGACGACTGTATACAACTTTCTAGTGGACTGTTAAAGAGACAACCGCATTTTTTTGGCTTATGTCATCCGGAGTATCATGCAGTTATCAACACCAGTTTCCAACAGCTCGAGTATTTTGCCCTGTTTTAAACACGTTCTCGAGTATCTCACGGGACCCTGGTGCGCACTCTTAAAGGTGATATGGCGGCATACGGAAGTGGAACAATTGTGGCTACAATAGGGCCTCATGGGCCAATAAGATGGCCCATTTCTAGCCATTCTGCTGCATTACTGCCACGGATCAGTCAGGTTTGCTTTTCTGGGGGTATAAATGGGTATAATACTGTTCTACTTTGTTCAGTCTTGGCGCATTTTACATACAAAAATACACAATTTCAACTTCCTAAGGCTTTACAACCCAGACAGATATTAAAATTCTGCAATGATAGAACTAAATTTCATCACTAGTACTAGAGTTCTATCATTACACTTTTTTTTTACAATTTTTCGTCACAAAGTTATAAGCCGTTGACATTTCGTCGCGATCCGCTACCTTTAAGCGTGAGCACACCATATCTCATTCAATTAAAACACAAGTAACACTGTGCTCCATTGAACCTTAGCCCAGCAGCAATAAATCTAGCAGCACTCCAGAATAATGCCTTATCCTAACCATTCTATAGCTAACCAAACCCTAATTGCAACAATATGATGCGGTCCTAATTGCTCTTCTGTTTGTCGTTAATGTCCGCATTCTCCGCGCCCCTCACAGTCTCCACATTCTCCTTGTCTATCACTTTCTCAACTTTTGCCTAACATGGTATCAGCAATGTGGAATTAGTAATTTCTGGGTCAGTCTTACCAAGGCCATTGGAAAGTAGGCATCTACCACTTTTTTTGTCGTCCACCCGGCGAACTAAACACTCTTGTATCAGTAATGATGATTGTTTAATCCCAGTGAGTACTTACTCCGAAGAAACCGGTGAGAACTGTAACCATAATTCCAAGTTGCCACCTTAAAAGCCCAACCGTATGCTTCACATCACCAATCTCACGACGCACATCACCAATCTCACGACGCACATCAGCAAACTCACGATGCACATCAGCAAACCCGTTCGCCATTTTCGTAGAAAGCTCGCCAATAGACTTGTTGACTTCGGCTTTGAAATCTCCGTGATCCTATGATTTGTGTAAGTAGTTTACATACCAGCATTGGATATATGCGGAATATACTTTGATGAGATCCATAACACGATCACCTAACTTGAAACTGTGATCCGACTATGATCATCACAATGGTCTGTTAGCGGAGCCAGTGGATACTATGTTATTTGTAGAACCAACCAAGGGTTTTCCCTTTGCTGGGGCTGCCTCTTCTTCCAACTGGGGATTGTGATCGTAGGAATCTGTCATGTTCATCCTACGTTGGACTGGCTGGCTTCCGAGGTATCTGATGACTCGGATACGTATCGGCAGGGCAGCTCCGCGTTGCATAAATAGTCGGGGCATAGGGACCATAATTGCGTTTGATTTGCTGAATCACACTCGCTGGCAGCTCTTTAACCAAGTTGTCGCCACTCCGTTATGTATCGCTATGTCGTGTTCGATCACTGGTTGCGAAAGGTTGAATGGACTTCGTCCCTTCTCACCCACAGAGGGCGGGAAACCCTCCCTCTAATACTTACTCAGCTTGCGCAGCTCTAATGTGCTTTGTGGCCTGCTTGGCAATGTTCCGGAACATTTTGGCACGTTCTGAATTCTGCGCCGCGAAACCTATGAAATACTTCCACCGTTCCGCTATTCTCGTATCGTACGCCCTGCTTACTCGTCCCTCGTTGTAGTACGTGGCGTATGATAAGGCTTAACATGTGGCTGAATAAGTGGCTAAGGAAAAGGTGTCTAGACAAGAAGCAACGTAAGAGAGAAGCTACACACTAGATTAGTCTTCTGTATCCGTAGTTCATCGTCACCAATACATCGTCTGTCTTGTCTTTAGTCTACGTCGAGTTTGATTGATCGTCATTTTGTGATCAGTTGGAACAAGACTCTAGAGAATACAGAAAACAGCCAGCATCGTTTATCGCGGTCGCTCCGCTCAGAGGGTCCCAGATAAATAGTAGAATGACATTTTGCGAAAAACTAAAGGTATGGTGCGCACACTCTTGAAGGTGACACGGCGGTACCTGGAAGTGGAATAATCGTGGCTGTAAGGTGAACTCCAAAGCTAATGAGAGGGCTTATTCCTAGCTACTTTGCTATATTCCTGCCGCAACTCACTTCTGAGGGTTATAAACGGGTATAATACTGTTCCACTTTGCTCAGTCTTGGCGCTTTTTACATAAAAAAAACAGCCAGTTTCAAGCTCTAATAACTTCACCACTAGAATAGATATCAAAAATCTGGAAAGACAAACTAAACTTCACCACTAGTACTTGAGTTTGTCTTTCCCGATTTTCTTTAACCTTTTCGTCGAAAAGGTATTAGCCATCGACTTTCCGCAGTTTTTGGTTGCCTTTAAGAGGGGGCGCACCATACATACAATGCCCCGGGGGGGGGGGGGGGGTTTCCTCCACTCGTTTCCTCCGCTCCTTGCTTGCTCATACTTTCAACAAAACCCGTACTACAGCTTAGATTTCTCGATCACTACCCAGTCTGTACCAAAGTAGAGCTTCACTTTGCCACTCGGATAGTTGTACCACGGAGACATTATACTCGCTAGCAAAGTCGGCACCAAGAAGGTTAACTTCGGTAAAGTGAGAGACCTCCGGCGACCTATGAACTGCGTGATGATATCCAGCGACCGTGACAGTCGTCGGTCTGTCTTCCACGATATCAAAAAGCTCACTCGTCTAGAGTACTTTAGTAGTTATATCTTTTCGCGGGAAGAGGTATTTACTCACCCGTGCCGAAAGGTAGGTCAATGGGGAACCACTATCCAGGATGAAAAAACCCAATGAGCCTTGCCCTTATGACCAACTGCTGGAAATATCATCCGCAGCTTCCGACCATATATATAGACATGATCAACTTTAAGGGCTTCATTGGCATCTGCCTCAGTCGCCTTCGCAAGGTACGGTATGCCTACTACCTGCGACACCTCACTTCGCAATATTTCATCATTGACGTCTGTGGTCAAGACATCAAACTCTTTCGGATCCACACCACCGACATCATGGATATAAATGTATTCGCCACGCTGTTTGGCCTCTTCCTAGAGCGTGCGGGTGAAATAGGCCTGCGGATCGACCTGCGAGGAAGAGAATCGTCGAGCGATCATATCGTAACTCAGGGGCCCGGAATACGGAGCTTGCATGCTATGGACATGGCGTGATGCGGTGCCGTTGGAGAGACGAAGACCGAGTCTGGATCTCCAAACAGCCTTGAACACTCGCCGGCTGAGACGCCTGAACGTGTTTGTCGCCATGACTGTTGCTTCCCAAATCACTAACCCGTGGTTTCCGTGCTATCGTCTTATCGCCTTTGTCCTGCTAGGAGTATGCTCTTCGTGGACTCTCGTCTTTGTCGCTTCGTTGATATGTGCTATCTCCGTTTGCCATGTCGTGGGGTTGAGCTTCGTCCCTTCCCACTCACAGAAGGGAGAACCCACCCTTCTTATACTCAGCTTGCGTTGGTCCCAGTGAAAATCACCTTCCTAATCTAGTAATTACTTGGCATGAAATCGCCCGGAAATGCCAAGACATCATATTATGCCAGGCACCAGTGATGTATTCCTAATCGGGTAGTTATGTACTAAAGTACTTCATAATTAGGTAATTATTGGCCCGGATGGTAATTTATATGCGACATTTGGTCAGCCTCTCACCAAAAACCCAACTTTTAGAAATTCAGTACCTAGCTCAACAACCACAAGAGATAAAATTAATCGGGCTCTGTTACAGTATTATTTATCTCTTCTTCTATCACCCTACCTTATATCCTAGGTTTTACGGCGTAAAAGTGAGAACGTTTCGGATGCAGGGATGTGTCCGGAACGCTGCAAGCCAAGCTCCAACCAATTTAACCCTGCGCCACACCCATGTGCCCTCCGTTCCGCCAAGGCTCACTTGGGGAAAGTAAGTATAAGAGGGTGGGTTTCCCTCCCTTCTGTGAGTGGGAAGGGACGAAGTCCTTCAACCTCATGCCTTGACAGACGGAGACAGCACATATTATCTACGGTGACGGGATTTCTTGGTTTCATCGAACAAGCAAGCAAGCAACAAACATGTTTAGGCTCCTCAGCCGGCAAGCGTTCAAGGCTGTTCATAGGCCCGGTCTTCGTCTCTCCAACGGTACCGCATCACGGCAGATTCATAGCATGCTACTCCCTTACATTGGGCCTCCGAGTTACGATACGATCGCTCGACGCTTCCCTCCGGACGTCGATCCACAGGCCTATTTCACCCGCGAGCACCAGCAAGAGGCTAAAGAGCGCGGCGAATACGTGGATATCCATGATATCGGTGGCACAGATCCAGAAGATTTTGATGTTTTGATTTCGGATGTTGATGAGAAATTGCGAGGTGAAGTTGCGGAGACAGTGGGGATACCGTACCATGCAGAGGCGACAAAGGAAGATGCGAATAAGGTGGTTGAAATCGGTGATTGCTATTTATACGGCCGGAAGGTTCGGACGGTATTTCCGGCGGTTGTTGCTCATGATGACCGTGCTCATTGGGTTTTTTCATTATAGACACTGGGTTTCCACGTATCTTTCAACTCAGGTAGGTGCTCATAATTGTGAAAAGGAGGCCTGCTAAGTACTCTAGACGAGCGACCTCTTTGGTATCAAGGAAGAAAAACTCGGATCGACTACCGTCAAGCTCGCTGGATATCACCACGCAGCTTATAGGGCGCCAGGTCCTCACTTTTCCCAAATTAATCTTCTTGGTATCGACTTTTGTAACGCATATAACGTTTCCCCGTTGTATGATTTTGAAAATTCTAGGACGAAATTATACTTTGGTAAAGGGTGGAAGATGGTTAAGGAGTCTAAGCTGTAGTTCTGTGGTTGACGCGAGCAGGCAAAGATTGGAGGAAGCGAGTTGAGGAGAGACCGGAAATGCAATTAATTATTAACTGATTTACGTCCTCCTTTATACTATGAATAAAGGGGGCGTAGCCATAGTAAAGAGTGAGCGAAGCGAACATATACGGAACGCGCACTGTGCATCTGGAGAACGTTCCGTGTGCAAGGATTAGGTCTGGAACGCTGCAAACCCGAATCAGTCCATAGTGGCTCTTGAACGATTGAAGACTTCATAGTATACGGAGGTTTAGAATTCTGGAAGGGGAGCCATGTGGATATTTGTGTAAATACTTAGTGAAAGTGAATGTAGTAGCTCTCTCCATTACACTGCGGGTGGAGAATCGTAGTGTAGTGTAACGGCAGCAATAATTGATGGTAAGAGGTCTTTGTGCTGCTAATGAGTGCGAGATAGTGAGCTGACACATGGTGCCTAGTTAGTACTAAAAAGTACTCATAATAGATGTATAATCTATCATAAAATAATAACCTACACGTAGATAGTAAACTGCAATGCACCTTAAAGCTAGAAAAATCTTGATGCCAAAATTCGTTATGTGTCACTTGGTCCGAGTGATGGACGATTCATGGCTAATGAGATCCATCCCTATTCAAATCCTTTATTACACCTACAGCACAAACTACATCTCATTAGTCCATCGAGTTCTCTCACAAAATATTCGATTGAACACCATTCTCAGCTGGCAGGCTGTACTATATATAGGTCGTAGACTAAGGGAGATATATTGCACCTTGCACCGGCCAGGCGGATAGTCTCCATGCCTCATCTCTCGTGAGAGAAGTGTGAAAAATCTGATAACTAGTACGTACATCCATCTCTAGAAGACAATTGCAATGAAGCTTAAAAAAAATTCCTACAAAGAATTATTTCATAAATAACATGCTCGATGGGAAATAGACAATAAGGTGCTTTGCTTGGGTCAATGTAGGTGTATACTACATGTATAGGCATACACTAATTCACTAAACAAGATCGAAAGAAAAATGCATGCAGTCAGGCCTTCTTCCGTAAATCCGGCACATACTTTACACTGATATTTGGCGGGTGTTTATAATTTGAGCTTCAACCGCAAAGAATTTTTTATTAATCACTGAGTAGTACTGACAACTCCGATAATAGTAGCAATTTATTCCGTATCATCAAAATCCTCTCCTTCCGAAGACGCATACGAGTAGCGTATGAGTTCAAATAGTCTTTATAAAGGCCTTGCCTATCTTCTCATCCTTCAAGATTTGGTTGAGTTAATTTCCAGCATATCCACAACCATCTCCCTTGCGCTCTTCGAAACCTCCCGAATCCACTCCATGACTACTACTTCTCTAGCTTCGCTCTCATCATCCTTCTCACCAATCTTCTTCACCTCATAAACATACCCCCTACACAACGGGCAATGCCAATAGTCTGGAAAATGACCGTCGTACTGGATTCTAGCACGCCACATACCCTTCGCACAGTCTTTGCACGACGCATGGACACAATCACAGAACTTGACACTGATCTGGCGGCGCCCACAGATAGTGCACAGCTTATCATCAGAGACGTCGGGCTCAGTAGCATCGGAGGCAGTTTCTGAGGGTGGAGCATGGTAGGCAAGGAAGCCCTCATCGTCGGAGGTGAAACTATCGGTCTCGAGGAGCTGGGTACGGCGTCTGTGGATTACGGCGATGAAGCTGAGGTTATGATCATGTTCCCACCCAGTGAAAACGGATTCCATATCGTTGAGAGTGCTGTGAATGATGTCTTCGTAAGCTGGCGGGCTGGAGGTGAGGGAGGTATTTATTGAGGAATCGACTGCATCGACACTGGTATTGAAGAGGGCGAGGAGGCGGGCACTAAGAGATACTGGTTGATCGTTTGAAGTGCTCATCTTGAGAGTTATTGTGGATTGAATCTTCTGAGTGTGGTTGTTTTGATGAGTAGATAAGTGGTGAAGTGCCTGGTGTGAATAATAAATTTCAGAAGGCAGTTACTAGTGTCTTATATACATATACAGTTTGAGGCATTCAGTTTTTTCATGTGGTCACGTATACTATATTCAAGCCACAGCATAAGAGCTTAGAAACATAACGCACTTGAAAGATTCAGAACACGACACCTATACCACATCAGCACACCCATCCGCTGCCCAAATCTTTCAAGACTCGGGACCTATCTTTTTCAGCCATTGGTTGTTCGGATACCGCCTCGCATATTCTGGTCATCCTTTACCATAATCCTCATGCTCGCTGGCCACATAACCGGCATGTACCTACCATCCTACACCCCACCAGCACCCATACATCATCATCACCACCACCACCACTCGCACATACCAATGTACGCAAAACTCGTGACCCTTCTCCTCATGGCGGCACTATGGTATCGAGGCAACTACACTTGGCTCACCGCCATATCCCTCGCATGGGTAGGGGGCCAGAAAGTCAGGGTCTTCTACGGTCTACTGCTGCTGCTATGGCTGTTCAGATTGAGGATCTTGGACATGGTGTGCTATATGGGGCCGAGAGGATGGGGATGTATGGTGGTCTATTTGTTCGGGTTAGATGCTGAATGGTAGCGGTACTGAGCCTAGGTTGGCTTCAATGCGACACTATAACTAGGTGTTAGTTATAGATTGGTATGGATACTAAGGTGAGAATAATGCAAGCACCTGTCCGGAGTTTGACCACAGGCTTGAGTGACCAAGATTATAACCATAGATAATACCCCCACAGTGAATCAGATAGAAATGGAAAATCGCGAATGTGAAGTTGAAACCCGAGTCACAGTGCCAAGTCTGACCTGGCCTGACTAAAGGCTGTTTGTATGGTATCAGTACGTACAATAGAAACATACCACTTGATAAATCCAATTCACTCATGAATAACACGTATTCATGGTGCGAGCACTGTGATCACATGATCTCACTCGGCAGCAATGCTGATCTTCGATCAGAGTTTTTTTTTTTTTTGTTTAATTCATTAATTGCATTCTTTGATCAGAGTGAGAATTTGGCTGTGCGAACGGTTTTATCAGATTGACACCCGCCATAGAATGCTTGCTCTCCCCACTGGTTTATTTCATATGACATCTACTGGAGATCTTCCGGTGTGCCCATTGGTGCCAAGCTGAAGCTGCCCTCAGGTATTATACCAATTTTCAAATTACCAAGAAAGATTGGTCACCTTGCAACATGACAACCAATTAACTGTTCCACTTGAACGAGTGATATTCTGTGATTATACAACACAAGCCCGCACTGGATAACACTCAATTCAATGGAGAGATGTTCTAACAAATATTTTGCTTGTAATTCTAAATCACAAGGCGATTAATGCTAGACACATGGGGTGTCTTTATAATTAGTAGTCATAAGTAATTGAACAGTTTCAGTACATAATGTAGTAACTACAAGTATGACACCAAAAGGATCGAGTTTTGCTCGGTATTAAAATATGTACAACCACATATACACACACGTACCATGATGGACTTGCCACCAATTACGCGTTCTCCTCCTATCATTTGAGTAACACCCCGCATGCGCGAGAAAGAACTCCACATTCAATGGCAACTCCCAAAGAGTGTTTCATGTTCCCCAAAGCTGACAATACCGGGAAGACTCACCCGGGTCTGTATATATAGCCCTCTATCCCGCTGTAGCTAGCAAAGTTCAAACTATCAGACATTCAAACTCCAAATCCGCTGAACCGGTAACAACAACGTACTACAGCTCTTAACTCAATGGACGACGACTTGCGTGAGCATGAGGAACACCCTGACGACAAGGAAGTGCGGGAAGAAGAACGCCGCCAGTATATAAATGAATGGGTTGAGAGATATTCGTGGGATTACAATTGTAATTATGACAGGGACTCTGATGATCCAGAGCCCGACTACCCGAAAGGCGATGACGAACTCAAACCCGAGCACGACATATCTGAGGACGATGAGAAGGCAGGCGATGAATATTATGATTCATATCTTGATTATATGGACTATGAAGATGAAGAGCCTGCCGTAGAGAAAGAGAAAGTAGAGAAGAAGGCTATGAGCTTCAATGATGTCATGCAAAAATATCCAGGCAAAGGTGAACGCAAAGTAGGGGTCTATAAGCCGCCGCCGCAATATGATCTGGGCTCCGAATCTGGGGATGGAGACCCGGAGTTTGTGCTAGAAGGGAACGTGTGTGGTGTGTGTAAGCGTAGAAATATTCAGGTTGTGTATGTAACGTGCGGCCATGGCGCTTGCGTATGCTGTGCAAAGCGGGTGTGGTGTAAAGGAAGGATGATGAGGTTTAGGTTTCCGACATGGCTGAGGTGCCAGGAATGTAAAGGTAAGGTGAATACAGTGAACCTCGTCAATGGGGAAGAGGTGATTGGAGTGAGGCTGAAGGTGTTGGAGTGGATTGTCCAAGTTTCGGAGAGGATTCAAAGGATGTGGAAGGCGAGGTATTGCGAGTGAAATTGATTGCGGTGGGTTTTTTGTGCAGCGGGGCAATGTCTGCTAATTTTGAGATATCTTTGTTGCTTAAGTCTTCAGTTTCTTTTTTCGCTTTTTATCAGCCTGTTAATTGTTTGCTATAGGCTCTTTTCTTTGAGTACACGAGAAGTTAAGTGGGTTGGTTTTCAGTATCTATTACTACGAGAATAGACGCTGTATACCCGCTCCACATCCACACCTAAGTGTTATTTACACTTTCTTGTTCATCTTTGATGTAGGTTCATTTGTTTGAGTTATCTAACACACTCTGTCTTTCTTTTAGTGTTTCTTTTGCGGGTTTACGGTTCTCTTTCTTCATACACCCTGTCGTTTGACAGTGTTCATGTAGCCACGTCATAGATTGAATGGAGTCTATGAGAATTTTTCATTCTTTTCCGGCGTTGTTGTTCGTATAGGTAGTAGTTATGCAGTTTAGTTATGATCGTTGTTTTCAAATTAAAGAGATAACCCAAGAAGTGGAGCACGAGTTCAGTGAATCTTTACGCCCTTAAATTGACGAATCGATTATAAATCTCACAAAGGCTTCAGACACAAACTGTCCCCATAGCAGTAGCGGTGCGACCATGAATGCACAAGAAGGTGCTCATTCACTAACTATCACTCGACAGTGTTCTAAACTCGATATCGTGACAGAAATAGCTGTAAACCCGGAGTCCTACCCGACCACAGTTCATGGGTTGAAGTACATATAAATAAAGCACCTTTTATATCTGAAAATATGCTGGAGTTGCAATAACGCACTGGTGGCCCGATTCGCCTGAGTTGAGTGGTGCCCTGCTGAAAGCTGGCCAACTTTTGTTCCTTCCTTGAACCTAGCCTTTTTCTTCTGTTTCTAGACGGCTCAGAATCCTCGTAGCTTCGCTGCTTCATATGCATCGGGAGGCTGCAGAATTTATCATTGATAAGATTTTCTAAAGATACACTCTAATCAGAAATTCAGCTGTGTGGTAACCTATGGGTATCTATCTCTCATGGAACCGGTGAGCCCATGAGCAAGGTGGTACTGTTGACCTCTGAGTTTTGAGTAGTTTCCAGACCCCACCCCCCTTGCTTGAGCGTCTCCTACGTGAGTGCTGGGAAGCATTGATACTGGACGGAGATGGGAGGGGAACGTTCTCTGTGTAACTGGTACTGTCATCAAGTCTTTCTCACTAAATATAGATAAAAATGGTCAGTTACAGCAAAAATTTCAGCCCCAACAAACCACTCAACCCAGAGCGGCTTCTAAAAGGATCGCTCCATTTGGAATCCTGCTGCCCCCTTGGCTAACAGCACGTGGCGCTGAGCCAGTGGACTAACGTGCATGGTTAAACGGATAAGGCGTACAGTTCCAAAATTGCGATGTCTTGTTGACGGATGGATGAGTAGGCGACGTTGGAAATTTGATAGCCCTTATCGTGGTGGTTGTGCATGATGCGCGGTCTACATAGAAGATACATGCAGCTGAGTGTCCTTGGCCGTCCTTGGCGGGACTCCTCCCACCATCGCCGCAACTACATGTATACTCAAACTCTCCTTCTACTCATCTCTCCTTCTACTTATCCCACCGTCCAAACCACAACCCAAACAACACCAGCACGAACACCCATCCATTCCAGAGCCGCAGCAGAGCGCGAGTGACATACCATGACGCACCGCCGCAGCAACCAGTACGATTGTCAACACATTTCATTTACCATCACAGTATCCGAGAATCCTACCTCTCTTATATACCTGCTCATTAGAGGGCATGGAAACAGGCCATTGGGATATAGGATAGCACGATCGCAACAATCACCAGTGCCCTACATATTCCCCTTACCAAAATGATATACAATGTCAAATCTTGTCCCTGAGGGCTCTTGGTGATTGGGAGCTGATACACACTTCTTGGGGAGATGTGGCCCGATATCTATAGCTATAGCATCCTTACCGCGATGGATCAATTCATATGGAAATACTGGTTGCTTACTAGCGCTCCAACAGATATTATGGGGCTTTTGCTGTGGCAGGGAGGCTGGCTGTTAATAGCCAGGTGCCTTGCATAAATCAACACTCTCCAGGACGGAAGAGAACCTAGAACAGCTGTGTCTAAAATAAAAGCAAGAGCGATAAGCATTCATGCGTCTGCTTTCTACCATACTACAAGGAAAAGAGCACGCAGGTAAGGTGTGGAGGTGTGTTGCCCTGAAGAGTGTATTTTGGATTTTGGCGGCGGAATCAAGGAGTGCAGTTCTCACGAATTCTTTGAGTGAACACTGATATGTATCCGTTTGAATCCTTGACATGTTTGCGGGACAAACCCTCCTCCCCCCCCCCCCCCCCCCGCGGGGGATAATCAATTCCCTCCCAACGCCTACAAAAAAACACGAAAGAACGAAAGGAAAAAAGACATACAGAATTACCCACTAAACCCATTACAATCACACACAATCACTCGACCACAAAAAAAAAGCATACCCAAACGCCACCAGGAACACCGTAACATCAAATCTGCGCCCGCAGCTCCTCAATCCAGCACCACACAACATACATGATCCAGAACTCGAGCAACCAGCAACATGCACCGACGCAATTCATGACAATTATGCTGAGCCCCGTAGTCTTGCATTCATCTTTTAGCTGGGCCTCGAGGTCTCTGTCGACGGCGAGGCGGGGGGGATTTGTCACTTTTTCTAAGGCTGAATCTTAGATCGTTAGTTAGAATGTAGGGAGCTATATAGTAAAAGTGGCGGAGGTGGTACCTCTTAAGAATGGTTCTGGTGTGTACCCGGCCTTATTTAGTGTCTGGGAGTCCATGGGTAAGTTGGAGTAAGTTGTGGGAGCTGTGAGGGGAGTAGGAAAACCTTGCTGCGGTGTGGTGAGAGGCGGGGTTGCATGCTACTCTCGCGGGATGGTTTTGTAGGCATTTGGAAGAGGTTGATGTACTGCTGACTCAGACGTCGGAGATCGAGGGTGGAGGAGCTATGTAGGTGGGCCATGTAATGACGTTCGTGACGGGGCTTTATAGCTAGTTAGTTGTGGAGAAGCATTTTGGGGGAACTTTGGCGCTTTAGAATAGTCTAAATGACTACTACATGTTTACCTACAATCTGGTGTCTGCGTAAAGCGCGGGTAGCTGGGTGTGTCTTCTTCTTCCTCCTCCCCCTCAGCGTCTTCAGCCTCCTCAGCTTCATGAGCTATCACCCCAGTCCAATGATCGGGTTGACATCATCAGCGCCCGTTTTGTGCAAGTGGCTGGGTGTGGCTTGCAGGGATGTTGCAACTTGCAGGTGTGACAAGACAAGCGCAACGCACGCATCCTCCCTCCCTCCTTCCTTCCTCTCTCTCTTGCAACGCCAACACCACCACCACCCACCACCACTTCTCTGTCTGTCTGTCTCTCTCCGCCCACAGGGACAGCACCGTGGGACTCGCCCCAAACAATCAGATCCCCCTCTCCTAATTCGCAGAGAAGGAAGAAGAAGAGGAAGAAGAAGAAGAAGCAGCAGCTCATCCCTAGATAGACAGCCTGCAATATCTAGTTACCTAGGTAACTCACCGAGCTAGCCGCCGAGTCCAACTGTCGGTGGAGATAACAACCAACCAGACCAAAGAGAGCTAACCCGACCACCCACTAGCTAGCTAGCCCGACACCACCACCACCACCACCACCACCACATCCCCGCACCACAACCCCCCATCACCACCCAAACCACAACCAATGTCCATCTTTGACGACTCCCCTCCCCCCGCTGCGCGCTCGCGCTCCTCCCTCTTCGACGACGACTTCACGACCGCGACGCCAGGCTCAGGCTCGCTCTTTGACGACTCTGGGCCTGATCCGTGGGCCACGGGACTGCCGGTGCCGCGCCGTGGGGCCGACAGCGACATCACAAAGACGTTGCTGACGCCTGACAATGCGAGTATCCCTGAGGAGTATGTAGACTACTACGACGCATTGCTGGCACAGTATGCGGCGCCGGGTGGTATCTCCATGGAGGGCGTGGGGAAGATACTGCTTGAGGCCGGGATTGACTCTACGGCGAGGGAGAGGATTTGGGGGGTCATCATGAGGGGCGGGAAGGAGAGTGTAGGTAGGGATGAGGTCAATGTGCTTCTAGCTATGATCGGGCTGGCACAGGAGGGCGACGAGATCAGTATTGATGGGGTCGACTACCGGAGGAGAAGTGAGTTTGCTAACCCCCCCCCTCCCCTTTTTTTCCCCCCCGCTCACTCGCCATTGGACGGCGCTAACTGTAGAGCTAGATCTTCCAATCCCAAGATTTACTACGATCGTAGCTCGACAGCATCATCGCGAGTCAGGTGTCGAGACCCCTACAACGTCTCTTGCATCTTCAACCCACAAGTCCGCCAATACCGCCCCGCACTCTGGCCACGACCAATCACAGGACCAGCCGACCTCACCAAGCTCCATAAAGCCACTTGTGGTCCACCGTCAGCAGTCAACACCCATTAGCACCTCTCCTATCCGTACACGCACCTCGAAGTTTGTTGATGAGGTTGAAGACCCCTGGGGTAGCGGCCCCGCAGTAGTACAAAGCCACACCGCGCCTCCCGTCATCGAGGCTCCCGTAAGCGTGCATCAAACCAGCCCGACTGCGGAGCGTACCAACTCCTTCAACTACCAGCCTCCCGCGTCTGCGCGCCCTGCAAGCACACATGTCCGCGGCGACTCGCAGGGCCGCGCCAGCTCCCTAGGCCGCAACGAACCGTACTCGTCGCCGACGCGCATACGCAACCAGATCGACGACTCGGAGCTCGAGCCCGACGACATCCACTCAGCGCTCCGAAACAACGGCGCGAACCGCACAAGCGCGTCGTCGGCGTGGGGAGTCTATGAAGGCGGCCCGCACGCAGAGACGGGTGGGTATAATCCGTCGCTGTTTTCGGAGCCGAGCGTGCCGGCGCGGCATGGGTCGTTTGGAGGCCTCGGCGGGACTACCATTCAGCCTGAGGCGAGGGTTCCGAGTAGGGGGCCAGAAGAGGTTGTCACAGTGTCGGTGCTGCCCGAGAAGGAGGGCATGTTTATGTTCCAGCATCGCAATTATCAGATTGCGAGTGCGAGACGGGGCAGCAGGGTTGTGAGAAGATATAGCGATTTTGTCTGGTATGTCTTTTTTATTCCTTGGTTATTACTAGATGATGCTAACTAGACAGGCTTCTGGAATGTCTGCATAAACGCTACCCCTTCCGCCAATTGCCTCTCCTACCACCCAAAAGACTAGCTGGTAAGACCCTCTCACTCCCTCGTGGCACAAGCCATTGTGCTATCAAAGCAGAAATAACGTCTGTTCGAACTCAGTTAACGGGCACTACCTCTCAGCCGACGCCGCCTTCGTCGAGCGCCGCCGCCGCGGCCTCTCCCGCTTTGCCAACGCCCTCGTGCGCCACCCCGTCCTCTCCCAGGAGCAACTCGTCATCATGTTCCTCACCGTGCCCACGGAGCTCACCGTCTGGCGGAAGCAAGCCACCATCTCCGTGCAAGAAGAATTCGCCGGCAAGCCTCTCCCCCCGGGCCTCGAGGACAGCCTCCCCGTGAACCTCGAACAGACATTCGACACTGTGCGCAGCGGCCTCCGCAAGTCCAGCGAGATCTACATCCAGCTCTGCAACCTCCTTGAGCGCCTCGAGAAGCGCAACGAGGGCATTGCCGCCGACTACCTCCGCTTCAGTCTCGCGCTCCGCTCCCTCACCGACTGCAGCGAGGCCACTTACGCCGTCGACACCAACGAGATCCCGCTCTTGAACAATGGGCTCCTCGCCGTCTCGCAGCACCTGTCAAACTGCCAGACGCTGCTCGAGGACGAGACAAAGGCGTGGGACGTCGGCATCTTGGAGGACCTCAAGCGCCAGCGTGATTGCTTGGTGAGCATGAGAGAGCTGTTTGACCGCAAGGAGCGCCTGGCCGTCGATAATGTGCCGCAGCTGGAGAGACGCATCAAGGCGAGTCAGGCGAAGCTGGAGGTGCTGAGGAACAAGCCGGAGGGCACGGTGAAGCCCGGTGAGAGGGAGAGGGTCGAGGAGAGTATTGTGAGGGATAAGGCGAGCATCGTGGAGATGGTCAATAGGAGGGTGTTTGTGAAGGAGTGTGTCAGGGATGAGCTGATCCATTTCCAGAGCAGCCAGTATCATGTTTCGAGGTATGTTTATGTAGTTCCTTTCTTTGAGTGGGGGGGGGGGGGTGAATGGAATGGATAACTAACGGGGACGGTGGGATAGGTTGTACCAGGATTGGAGTCAGGAGAGAGTCAAGTATACGGAGCTGCAGGCGGATAATTGGAGGGCACTCTGTAACGAAGTTGAAGAAATGCCATTAGGCGAGTAGAGTGGTAGACCAATTACTGGGGGGGGGGTTTTTTTATCGTTAGCCATCCTCCTCCTCCTCCTCCTCCTCCTCCTCCTCCTCCTCCTCCAACCTTCTATTCTTGTTCTTGTTTTGGGATAATTCATTTATCCGCCTTTTTTTTGTGCGTATTTTTCCTTTTGTGCGTGTTACGTGTTTGTCATGCTTTGTACTCGAGATGATGATGTGACCTGGGTGGGATTCTGCGTTTTTTTTTTCTCTCTCTCGTTGTTGTTTGTCACGATGTTATGAACATTCTAGCCTGTCTATTGTTTTTTCTTGTTGTTTTTATGTTTTTTTGAGCGCTTGAGATCGAAGCCGGGAGCTGGATTGACGATCGAGAATAGGGGCGGGCGGGCGGTGGTGCAGTACGAAGAGTGATAATTTGAGTATACATCTGTAGTCTTTTTTTCCCTCCATCCATCTACTTATCTGTATATGTCCGTGTGTGTGTGTGTGTGTGTGTGTGTGTGTGTGTGTGGGTGATAACTTGTATGGGTGGACCTCTATATACATGTAGTTATAGTTATACTCCAAGTACATTAGTAGACACCTTCGATCACGGGGGTGTGGTCAATTCTAAGATTCTACTCTAGTTAGATATACAGAAACTAGGAAAAGCAGCTACAAGTACTAGGTACATGTAGTCGATCGGCCTCTCTCTGTGTATCATTTATCACCGGGATGCTACTTTTTGTTACCTTTTATTTTTATTTTTTTTTACGAAAAAAAAAAAAAAAAGAAAGAACCTACATGTATCTATATACACCTTCGTCCCAGGCACCTGTTTGAGAGATTGCAACACGCAGGCCCCTTGGAGATGGACTTCGGTCTCATGGGGCAGATACACAATTCATTGGATCACCGAGGAGACGGACAGGCTTAAGTCCAATAGAAAAGATTAACGGGCATATATCCACCCCACGTACACTTTGGAAAAACCAACAACCCGTGGCCGCGGGGTCGGCCGTTACTGGTGTGGTGTGTATTGAAGCACGACTGTGCTGACTGAAAAAGGAGGACCTCCCCCCCCCAAAAAAAAACCCCCAAGCATGGATGGTTACTAAACACTTGATTGATACCCATACCCATACCCATACCCATACCCAGATAATTCCAAAGCACAACTCGCAGCCACGGTGTAGGGCCACACCAACCACAAATGCAAAGCACAATCAAGAAATAAAACAAAAACAAAAACAAAAAATAAAAAATAAAAAACCTGGTGGCCCAGGATAAGTTTTTATAAGCCATTTGGTCTTATATATAACTCCTCCTTCCCAGGAAGTGAGTCGAACCTGGGCGGGGGCCACCCGGTTAAACTACCTCGGGAGCCGTACCCCCCAATATTGCCATTGGGGGTCATTGGGAGGCGCGGAGTCTTTTTTTACTGCAACAACATTATGAGCCACAAAACCATTAATACCTTTGGCTGAAGCTGGGCTTGGCACACCCGCACACCCGCGCATCCACACCTTGAGCAAAGAGCTTTAATGGTAAGTATGGCACGGCCCTAGTAACCAAAGTGCCTACCCACCAGATCGAGTACTGGGCGCGTTATTGAAAAGACCGCGGCGGGCGTGGGGGGGCGGGTGCAATGTGCGTCATAGTCTATCACTCGTACTTGGCGCGGCTGGATATCTGCGTTTTGTCGTCTGTGGGCTACTAAACTCACCGGGCATACAAGGGCAGCGCCGCCAACCCAAGACTTCAAAATATGGACTCGATTGAACTTCAGCTGTAGATTTCGGGGTGGCTGGTGGGCGCAGTGATGGATAGCGGGGTGGATTGTGCGTCGAGTGATATTTTGCGATTGGGGTTAATGTTCTGGGAAGGTGGTCGTCTTTACGTTGCAATTGGTTCTAGCTGAGAGCTGGTGTTTAAGGAGAAAAAAGTATTCGGGATTGAAGCTATGAATGGAGAGTATATACTTTTGAGATTGGAGAAATGATAATAAGACCTATGAATATAAGTCTTTAAAATTACGTCTTTAGACCTATGAATTATAACCTAATTTCTAGAGATTACACTTTATATCATCACAGTTACAAGCATCCAAACAAGAAAATAACCCATCGATATCCAACCCAGCACCCCCTACAACCACCTCCCCCATCTCCCCCTCACCCTCGCCGACACCCCCATCACCCACTCCACAACCAGCACCCACCGCTCCACCTCCCACCCCCCCCACCTCAACCCCACCGCCCCCTCCCTCTCCACCAGCGGCCCCACCTCCCCCACCAGCGCGCGGCACACATGGCACGGAAACGTACTGCTCAGCGGGCCCTGCGTCGCACAGATGCGCTTGACACACGTCCTGCACGCGCCATGCGTGCACCCGCTGTACGCGAGCGTGATCTGGCGGCACAGGCAGATGCCGCACTGCATGTGCTCGGGCACGGCGGCGTCTTCGGGCTCAGACTCGGACTCGGAGAGCGGCGTGGGGGGCGGCGGGAGGGGGGCGCGGGTGCGGCGGTGGGGTGGGGGGACGTATTCGGGGGGGTCGATGGCGGCGAAGGGGGTGAGTGGTGGTGGTGGGCGTGGGGGGCGGGCGGTGGGGGCGTGGATGAAGAAGAGGCCTTGCGCGGGGAGCGGGTCCGTGTGCGCTGTGGGTTGGTTGGTTCGTTAGTCAGTGGGTGGTTTCAAAATGTAGAGAGAGTGAAATTATATTAGGGGAACCATACGTTCACCAAACCCCGGGATCCCCAACTCCCTGGCAATACCCTCGTTCGTCGCATAATGGTTCACATACTCCTCCTCCTCCTCCTCCTGCTGCTGCTCCTCCCCAATATCCTCCAACCGGCGGCCATATCCATAAAATTCCGCCATCCCAGGCACTGCTACGGTGTTGGGTGCATCCGGCATCGGATCATCGCTCAGCTCGACAATCTCATAGATCTCCTCTTCCTCCGCCTCGATACGGGCACGGGTAGCGGCGAGGATTGCCTCGATCTCGGCGTCGTAGTAGTTGGACATGGATATTGATCGTGTGGGTGTTGTTGTTTTGGCCTTTTGATTGGTTTGGGGTTGTATGTTGTGGGTTGTGGGTTCGCCGGGGCTTTTGTGTAATTATGTATGTGGGTTACTTGAGTACGTGAGTCAGTCAGTCAGTCAGTCAGTCAATGTACGGTCTATGTCTGTGTCTGTGTAAGAGTGTAGAACGGTAGCAGTAGCAGTAGCAGTAAATATCCCGAGCACCCCAACTGCCTGCGGTTGGGTATTGGTTTATAAAGCCCTGCCCCCGCAAGGTTTCATATACCCATTGAATTACTTACATACTCCTATGCACCTCGTCTATAGTCACCATCTGCCATCATCTTCCTTCTATTTGATCACTTCACCCCATCCCTACATACTTACTTATGTACCCACGTGCGCCCCACCCCAATTGATCCGCATGTATCTCGTGTAGTCGTTCTTCGTGACACCACTCGAGACGGCTCGAGGCTGAGCCCTAGTCTTGTCTTGTCTTGTCTCGAGGGTGCTCGTCTCGTCTCGTCTTGTCTCTTAATGCCAGGCTGCAGGGGGAAAAGCCGAGTGAGCAGCTGTGAGCCAAGACCCCGACAAGATCATTTGGCTGTCCAAATTCTATGTACTTCCCCGATATATAAACATTGTAGGCTGTCTCTCGCTTGTGCGGAACGTGAACGTAACGATAGATGTACTGATGACGGACAACCCCCCCCAGGAGCGACGGACTTTGCCCAAGGTGTGGTGGATGTGCGGGTGCCATTAACCCCAGCGCCAAAAAGTCAAAGGGTTTGGCTCATTACACTGCTGCAGTAAAGGACTCCGCACCTCCCGATGTGGGGTGCGGTTCCCAAGGTAGTTTAACTCACTTCCTGGGCAGGAAAAGTTATACAAGACCCAATGGCTTAAAAAACTTATCCTGGGCCACCAGGTTTTTTTTTTTTGGGGGGGGGGGCGTTTTTTTAATTCTATTTTTTTTTATTTCTCGACTGTGGTTTGCACTAGTATGTACATGTAGTTAGTTCCTGGCCCACAATATTATCGCGGCCGCGAGTTGTACTTTGGATTATATGGCTATAAGTATAAGTATGGGTATGTACATGTATATAAGCTAACAAACCGGTACCACACACAGCATGACCACCACCCCCCCTCCCCAGCTCTCAGTCACTCACTCACCCACCCACTCCAACTCCCACCCGCACCCGCACCCACCAAGCCCTGCAAGTCCCAAGTATCAAAAACACCCCATCCAAAACCTCTCCCTTCTAAAAACTAAAACGCCATATATTACCCCCCGCCACCCCCGGGCCCATCCACCCACGCAGCCACTAAGTAGCCCTCTCTAACTACATTTTAGCTTCTAAGATTCGTCTGTATATAAGTACTACTAACTACTACTACTACTATAGCTAGCTACTGTACTGTACTGTATGGTATGGTATGGTATGGTATAGCAAGTGAAAAAGTCTACTCGATCGATCGTGATTATCGTAACTGTATGTGGTACATGAATGATGATGAGATGTGATGTGATGCAGTGTGTGGGAAGGTAGGTAGGTAGGTAGGTAGGTTACAGATGTATGTGTAGGGTGGGCGGGGCGGGCGGGGAGGCTTCTAGCTAGATACACATAGTATACAGTCCGCCGCAATTATCCCTCCCCCCCCCCCCCCCCCTCTCGTCCCAAACCACAAGTAAAAGGACAGTAAGAAAAGAAGAGAAAAGAAAAGAAAAGAAAAGAAAAACCCATTATCAAAACAACAAGGAAAGATTACGAAAAAAAAAAACGGACAAAACGCCCCACCCACTTAGTCTAACTCCTCCTCCTCCAAGTCATACACCCCATCCACATCCACATCCCCCTCCTCCCCCTCCCCCTCCTCCGCACCCCACCCCACCCCCCCACTCCCCACCACCATCCCCACCTCCACCCCCGCCACCCCCAGCCACCTATCCCTCCTCCTCCGATCCCCGCCCTCCCCCGCATTCCTCGCCGTCCTCGTCACCCTCCCTCCCCCCCCACCACCGCCAGCAGACAGCAGCCCACTCGCCCGAACCCGCATCTCCGCCTGCCGCGCATCATGCCTCACAATCCCACGCACATACGGCGCCACATCCAGCACCAGCACGCCCGGCGCCCTATTCACCGCCGAATGCACGATCGCGGGGCTATTCGCAAAGATCGTCGATGCGTACGTGAGCGGCCGGAAGGTCTCGGCCAGGTAGTGGGGTGACAGCGGTCTGTTTTACTATTAGCCATCCAATCCGATCCATACATTCCAAGTTCAGAAGGGGGGGGGGGGGGGGTTACTGTAGCGCCTGTCTATTCCGCCCCCGCTGCGTGACGAGCTGCACGAGCTGGCTGTCGCCGAGCGCGGTGTACCTGGCCCCATAGAGGTGTCGCTTCGCGAGGTAGCGCACGGCGGTGGCCATGTCGGTGTCGACGGTGTAGATGCGGTCGAGCGGGGCTTCGCGCAGCGTTGGGTGGCCCTGGAGATCGTCTGTGCGGGCCTTCGCGCTGGGCGGGGGCTGGGTGCTGTCCATGAATAGCTGCAGGGTTGATCATTGACTGTCAGTAACCACCACCAACACCACAGCAGAAGAAATAGGGGGAGATATAATAGCTATAACTCACCTCATCAAAGCCCCTCATGGCAGCGCCCGCATACACATCCACGGCACTCAACGCCTCCGCATACTCCTCACAAGTCCGCAGCGCCCCCCCCACATCCATCCCCTCCCCCACAGCAGCAGCACACATCTCCCTCGCCAGCTCCTCCCCGCCATCCGCAGCACCGACATCCACGCCCCACATCTCCCACGCATTCCTCCACCTGCGCTGCTCCCCGCCCACCGCGCGATCAAACGCGCCCATGCCCTCCAAATACGTCCCCTCACTAACAACCCTCATGCGCTCTCCATTCGCCGCGACATCCACGCCCTCCGGCCACCGCATCACCATCCAGTCCAGCCCCCCCTTTCGGTCCCCCAGCCCCAGCCGGCACCAGAACTCCAGCTCCACAAGCGCAGCCCTCATATCGTCGCCCTTCGCCACGACGAGGCTGTGCACGCTCCCGCGCTCCAGCAGGTGGCCCTCGTTCGCACACACCAGCATGAGGTTGTCCACCAGGAGGTCTCTGGGCGGCGGGGTGAAGCGCAGCACGGCATGTAGAGAGAGACTGCTGATGGGGAGGAGGCTCTCGTCGTTGCAGGTGAACACGATGGGGCGCTTGCTCTGCGCCATGAGCGTCTGCACGCTCGACCAGAAGTTCTTGTCCTCGTCGAAGAGCACGTCGGCCTCCTCGATCAGGATCAACGACTGCTGCTGCTGCGCCGGTGCCTTTGTCCCCCCCGCCGCTGCCGCCTCCTCATCCAGCTTCTCCTTCTGCGCCGCCGTTTTTGGCTTGAAGAACGCCCCCGCCTCTGGCGCGGCGGCCTTGGCCTGGTGCACGAGATGCGTCCGACTCATCTCGCCTACCTGATCCACGATATCCTTCCCATTGCGCCTCATGCCCGGCGACACCTCAAACACCTCAAACCCGGCCTCCCTCGCAACCGCATACACGGCCGCCGTCTTCCCGCACCCACTCGGCCCACTGATAACCACCGCATTCACCAACCTCCCCAACTCCTTCGGGCCTCCAAACGGACACTCAATCCCCTTATCACCCGCCCTAATCGTCGACCTCTTCACGCCAAACACCCCACCCCCGCCGCCGCCGCTATTACTCTCCTCCGCGTCCGAGATCTCATTCATCTCATCCCGCTCCTCCTCACTATCAATGACGAAATCCGACAACTCCGCCTCCTTCCTCCTCCTCCGTTTCTTCGCCACCGCCCCACCCTTCACGCCCCTCGTCTTCCGCTTCACCGCCCTCGAACCCGCATGCGCCGCCGCCGCCGGCGCAACACTCTCCACCTTCAGCGCGCGCAGCCAGTCCCGCAGCACCTGCGTCTCCCTCCCCGTCTGCAACACCTCCGCCGCACACTCGGGCGCATACTTCACCTCCCAGCAGCTGGTCTCGCACTCACTCACGTCGAACGGCGTCAGCTCGCTCTGCAGCCGCCAGTACAGCTTCAGCAGCGCCGGATGCACCTTTCCCGCACCCATCCCCCCCTTCTCCCTCCCGTCATCCTGTGGCCGTGGCCGCGGCGCATTCGGGTGCGGCAGTCGACTGGCAACCCGCCCGCGCACAATGCTCTGCAGCTCGCTCCCCGTCATCACGATGCGCGCCGGGAGGCGCACATGCTCCGGCACGTCGTAGTAGCGGCGCGTGTAGTAGTCACGATCTGCGACCTCTCTGGCCACGCGCGGGACGCGCAGGGTGCGCGCGAGCTGGTGCAGGAGGTCTTCTGCGCCAGAGACGACGACGGCGCGCTCTTTGCGCTTGCGGTCGGCGGGCTGCAGATGTGCGTCTATGTCTATCCCGGGCGGCAGGAGGAGCGGGGTAGAGGGGAGGGCGCGGATGTGGTTGTTTGCGCGGGTGGGCCAGGGGGTGTCCCATGGGGCTGCGATCTTTGCGGTGGTGGCGAAGGCGCTGAGGGTTGTGGTGGTGGGGGCGCTGCGTGCGGGCTGGGGCTGGGAGGTAGCGGTAGTGACTTCTTCCTCGGCGTCGGATTGGGGTAGAGGAGGAGGGTCGGGGACTTTCTTGATCCCCCCAGGCTTGAAGAACGGGTGCACGCTCTTTCCCGTCTGCGAGCCTGCCACCTTCTTTGGTGCCTGCCGCACCGTGACTGTCGGCAGCGGCTCCTGCGCCGGCGCTGCTGCTGCAGTCTGGGGAGCAGAGATTGCTGGGGCAGACTGCGGCGGAGGTGGGGGTTCTTTCTTCTTCTTCCCCAGCAGGCTGAACGCGCTCTTTGGCCGCAGCTCTGGCGTCTTCACGGGGCCCAGGACAGGGCTGCTGATGACGAGCAGGCCCGTTGCGGTGTCGTATTTTGCGGATGTGCGTTTCGCTGTGTTTTCGGGCTGCGATGTCTCTGCCTGAGACTCCCCCTGTTGATGAGGAGGAGGAGGAGGGAGTGGCAATGGTAATGGCAGCTCTTTACCCTCCTCTTCCTGCGGCTGCGGCTGTTCATAGTCCAAAAGACAAAAGTCGCTATCAGGAACCGCGTCCATCGCGCTCTCCGCCGCCAGGATCGGGCTGCTCTTGATACTCAGGATGCCCGTTCCCGGATCATACCTCGCCGTGGTCCTCTTCCTGCGCCCCAGTCCCCTCAGCGCCCTCCCCTCTCCCCCCTCTTTCCCTTCCGCTTCGCAATCACTCCCCGCCGCCAAATCCAACACATCAACCGGCCCCAGCGCCGGACTCGACGGTAGCAGACCAGGACTACTCCGTATCGTCAGCATCCCCGTCTCCGAGTCCCACGACACCGGTATCCTCTTCCGCGCCCCCACTGCCGCCGCCTCCGGAACACCCAGGGGCAGCATGGGCTCATCTTCTTCCTCCTCCCCTTCCCTATCCTCTGCGTCTTCCTGTTCCGCCATTGATACTTTCCCCGCGTTGCTGCTCCGCTTTCCCATCAGCACGCCAAACGCATCCGCCTTCCTTGGCGACACTGCCAACGCCCCCATCTGTGCCACTACCGCCGGCGACGACGGCGGTGCCACCTCTCTGACATTGTCGTCGACCGGCGTCTTGCGCCGGCGCTTACGGCGGCTACGGCCGACGAGATCTACTTCGTCCATGTCGACGTCGACGTCCATGTCATCGCCACTACCACTACCGCCGCCGCAGTCCATCGCCGGCGGCGACGACGTAGGCGTTAGGAATGGCGTCTCTGCCATTGCACCCCCCTCTTCCTTCTTCTTCTCCGTGTCTTTCGACTTGTCCTTGTCCTTTTGCAGTGGCTTCACCGCCTTCTTCCTCGGCACCAGCGCCCTGCGCGCGCGCGGTTTAGCGGCAGAGAAGTCGCCGTCCGGATCGTCTTTGGGGCGGCGTTTGGGCCTTGCAGTTGCAGGTTGCTTTTTCTTCTTTGCGGCGGTGGTAGTGGTGGAGGTAGAGTTGGAGTTAGAGGCAGAGGTGGAGGTGGCGTCGTTGTCGGAGAGGGAGGAGGACGTGGGCGTGGTGGAGCGCGGGGGGGCGGCGGCGCGGGATTTGGATTTACGTGTGGGTTGTGGTGGTGGTGGGGGGGGTTGTGCTTTTTGGTAGAGTTCTTTGCCTGTAGGTACATACAATGTCAGTGTCAGCGTCAGTGTCAGTTCCCCTGCTTCTCCTTCTTGCCCTTCTTCTCCACCACCCCAAACCGCCGCAAAACCAACACCAAAGAGGGCGGTAGGAAAGGGGGAAGGATAAATACGTTTCTTAAGATCAAAAAGCGGAAACACCGTCGTCGCCGGCGGTGGTGGCACTGGTACTTGTGCAGCACCCCCGTCGACCACACCCTCGCCCGCCGCGCTGGTATCGCCACCTGCACCCCCGGCGCCGTTCTCGCCCTCCCGTGAAGCCATTGATCGAATTATCCCCCTGCCTTGTGTTCAGGTCATCAGCGGAGGTCTAGAGGTGTTCCGTGTAGTGTTCGTAGTGTTCGTTGTAGCTGTAGAGGTGTTCGTAGAGGTGTTCAAGTAGAGGTTGTAGACAGTGAGTTGTATCTCGGTAGAGTGAGTGAGCTGTCTCAAAAACCCCGTCCTTGTATCTTTGAGTTTTGCCTCACGATGTTCTTGTGGAGACGCGTCCGTGGATATGTGAACAGAATTCGTGTCGCAGGTACAAGGTGCGAAGTAGCGAAAAGACAGAAGCACTCTACGCGCGTGTGTGGGTGGCGGTGCGGTGCAGCGGGTGGCTGGTGGCTGGTGGCTGGTGGCTGGTGGTGAGCCACAGTGATGCGGGTCTGACGGGGATTGTTGTGGAGAGGAGGAGCGACGGGTTGGGTTTTTGGGGGGGGAGGCAAGTCTCGTTCTGCTTTCGGTGGATTTGGGCCGTTATCGAGGTCTGAAGCTGGGGGTTGGGCATGATAGGATGTCGGTTCACAGACGGTCACTCGGGTGTTGTGTCACCACGGTCAATGATCGGGTTGCAACATTCGAGCACATACAATCTCTATTCACAAACAACAAACAATTTTTATTTACCCTAACAATGCAGGCCTCTAATCTAAAAACGAAAAAAGAAGATGAAAAAAAAAAAAAAAAGAATACTCTCAATACGGCGCCCAACCCACTCTCCTGGCGCCCCTCCTCCCTCCCAACGCAATCTGCCTCTCAATCCTCTTCGCATACTTCTGCGACCTTCTCGCCATCCACGGCCTTACCGAGACCCACTCCGTCTCCTGTCCCTCCGCCACGGGCACATATCTTCCGGCAACCATCGCCTCCGAAAACTCTCCCAACTCATTGTCCGCCGTCAACTGTGTGACGCGGGCCCTACACATCGGGCACAGCAAGTACGTCGCCAGCGGATTGAGGTCCCGCTCAACGATACTCATGCCCACCTGAGTCCGCCATATCTCCATCACGCAGCGCGTGCACGCCGAGTGCGGCTCGCCGCCAACCCTGTCGTGGCAGTTGAACTGCACGTTCGCGCGCCTATCCAAGCATGTGCTGCAGTGATCGCCCTCAGGCACCTCGGGGGCGTCGTGCTCCTCATTGTCGTCGCCGGCGTCTGTGAAATCATCGCCCTCGAACATCTCTAGGGGTGCAAGGTGGTGGTGGTTGGGACGGGCGTCGCGTAGACGATTGTTGGCGTTTGTGATGGAGAGCCAGCGCGCCATGTGGGGTTCTATGCGGGCGCGGAGGAGCGTTGAAAGGGTCTCGTCGTGGATGCGGGTCCATTCTTGGGGGAGGCCGAGGTTGACCACTGGGGGAAGAACGTTGTATTCTTGCAGGCGGCGGCGGTCTGGTGGCGGGGCTCCACCTGCTGGCGCTCTAACTGCTGGCGCTCTAACTGCTGGCGCTACAACTGCTGGCGCTACAACTGCTGGGTGGGCAGGAGCAGGAGCAGGAGCATGAACAGGAGCATGAACAGGAGCAACAGGAGGACGAGCAGGGGGGTCATAGATATAATGAGCCTCCTGCATCAGATCATTTTCGTAATAAGGGATCCCCGGCGGTTCGCCATAGTCCTCGCGCGGAAACATCCCCTCACCAAAATTGCGACGCTCCATGAGCACGTTGTGTCCCACCTGTTGGAGCGGGCCCCTGTACGGAGGGTAAAGAGGATCATCGCCCCGGGGAGCAGGGCGGCCAGCGAAGAAAACAGGTGCGCCCGGTCGAAGATAGTCGAGAGGAGGAATGTAGTCGGCAGGTGCAAAGTCGAAAAGTCGTGGAGGGCGGCGGCGAACAGCATAGGCTCGGATTGGACTCCTAGGAACTGGAGCAGGGACCCGTGCAGCGACTGGTGCAGCGGCTCGTGGAGCGACTGGAGCAGCCACTCGTGCAGCGGCTGGTGCAGCAACTGGAGCAACGACTGGGGCAACAATCGCGGCAGCTGGAGCAACATCAGCTGGAGCAACATCAGCTGGAGCAACATCAGCTGGAGCAACATCAGCTGGAGCAACATCAGCTGGAGCAACATCAGCAATCCTCGCACGCGGAGAATCTAAGAGAAAATGTTCGGACATAATCGAGGCCTCGCGATTGTCATTGCGTAAAAGAGGAGGTGGGGCAGATCTTGGGAGATTCGCATTGCGTAAAAGAGGTGGTGGGGCAAGCCTTGGGATATCTTCCTGCTCGTCGTCATCGTCTTCAATGACTACAGGGTTTTCGACTCTACCATAGTTATTACGGCGACCACGACGCTGTTGTTCGCGGTCGGCGATCCAGTCGTTGGAGGTGCGGGCGGAATTAGGGATATTGTTGACCCGGCGGGCGGAACGAGCAGCGTTTGAATTTTGTCTGCGGGCCGCTCTGGGTTGGGCCTGGTTTTGGGCTTGGTTCTGTGGGTTGGGAGTATTAGTGAGTGTTTCTTATATATATGTGCACGCAATGATATAGACGCCACTGGGTATCTGCCTCTGTTCTTTATATACGTGCAGTTTTATAGATGACGGAGAGAGAAAACAGCTAGAAACACATGTACGTACCCTGCCATGATTCATTTCCCGGGCTGCAGAAGACTCTCTGTTTACCCTGTGGAGGATAGCCCTGAGCCTTTCGTTCCTCTGCTGCTCTTGCTGCAGAGTGCGGCTCTGGCTTTGACTTTTGCTTCGATTCTAGTTTTGGGGGCTAGAGTTAGTAAAACATTCTCCAAGTAATCGTTCCTTCAAATTCGGTTTTAAGACGAGCTCCCACACGATACAAGCCAGACGTAGCTCAATTACATGATGCAACAGAAAGATTTTTTAAAAGAATAAAATAAGAAAAAATTAGAAAAATTGAAAAAAAAACCGAAAGAAAAAAAAACAGGATAAGAAAAATATAAATAAAATAAAAAAATAGAAAAAATAAAAAAAACAAAAAAAACAGAGAATAAAATAAAGCGAAGATAGGTTTAGGTTTATACATACATTCGCACCAGCCCTATTCTCGTTTCCTCTCTGGGCGCCTATCGGGGATCTAGACCTGAATCGGTTCCTAACATCTCTCGGAGATATAGACCTTTCACGTCTCCAATTGCTGTGGTTGCGACCATTGCGTTCATCGTTGTTTGTCATCTTCAATTGAGTTGACAATTTGGGGGTTAAAGACGTGAGATTGTGGGGGGAATTTAAAAGTTCGGAGGAGGGGGTATTAAAGAGGATGGTCGAGAGGATGGTCGAGAGGATGATCGAGAGGATAGTAGAGAGGATAGTAGAGAGGATGATAGAGAGGATGATAGAGAGGATGGTAGAGTAGAGAGGATTGTGGAGAGGATGGTAGAAGAAGATTGTTGGTATTGGTGTTGGTGGGAGAAAAGAAGTTTTGTGTTGATAGAAAAAGGTTGACGAACTATGGAAGAGAAAGAAGAGCGCTAGTGTCAGACACTCGAAGCACAAGAAAGAGAAGAAAAGAATTGATAACGGGCACCAAGAATTGGTGTCTGGATGTGATGGTGAAGATGAAGAGTGAGAAGGTGAGGAGTGAGAAGGCGAAGAGTGAGAGTGGAGAGAACGTCGCATGATGGAGGGGAAAAAAGAAGAAGAAAAAGAGAACGAGAAATTGCAGTACTGCAGCATTCGTCCAGATCTCGGCGTTGGCAGAGAGTCGTTGGAAGGGGGCTCTAATATTTCGACCAAATTGGGATTACTCACATAGAAATAGAATGGGCGGTTGCCACATGTATCATTGACACCTCAGATTTTGGCGCTAGTGCACTAATCCTCAACACATATCTTCCCGCACAGAATCCCCAACTGCATCATTATCGCTTTAAATCCAATATAGTCAAATCATCAATTACCGGCGCGGCGCGGCCCCAAATCAAAACCACGACCCACCCGACCAACCCGCACAAAATCCGAAACCAATCCAAGCCGAACCATACTCTCCGGGCTACTGATCATTTAAAGATAATTAGAAAGCTCCTCTGCACCACATATATTCTCAAGACTACCTGTAGCTTCTTCTTCCATATATAAACGTACCTTGAGCTAACTCGGTGTATGGTTGGAATCGATTAGAGAAATAAACTCCAAACTGCGCTAAATCGTACCCATAACCATTATTTGATTCAATTGCGAGATTGGAATCGAATCAACAAGCCGGCCCCCCGAACAACAAATTATGGAGCGCATTATATCCCAATTGAAGCACACCAGCTCTTCAATGATCATGATAGTAGTGTGGTTCACGAGAACAAACATCATTGTGTTTTTGTCTTGAGGACATGTCTTCGATGACATACAAGGTCGGTCTAAAGAGAAAGAAAGAAGAACAAGGAGTCTCGAGGACACTATGTGTTCTTGCCTTGGGGACCCCCGAGGATAACGATATTGGACGTCGCGGTCAGACAGGAACAGAGGTCAACCGGGACGAGACATCTCGAGGACACCCTCAAACCTCGCCTCGAGAGTCCTCGTGAACTACACTGGATGATAAGTGTGAGAAAATGCATAAAGTGCATAGAATACGAATGACACCTCCCAGGACTTATAAATTCTGGTGCTAGGTAGATGCTGCAGCCCGAGGCGTTTCCAGGTTGTTTGTGATCCAAATCTCATTATCTAGAGTCTATCTAGAGGCCTTGTTGCTCTTATGAAGGAAGATGAGAGTGATAAAGATTCATGGATTAAGCCGGTGCCGCAGTTTAATTTAATAAGGTCCCAAATTATATAACACATATGCTTCACCAGTACTTACAACTACGTAGCCACATCAATGTCTCTTAACACCTATCTGCTAATCTATATACCCTGTACCCCATAACGTTTGTTTGTTTGTTTCTTTTTTTTTTTTTCTTTCTTGATCCATGGGTCTTATTCGATGGTATTATAGTTACATTTGGTACTATGCTGTGAATATCATATATCTTCCAATTCGAAACATCCTCCTTAGTCTAGCTGCATACAAGTAGGAGTATATATAGGATTATTGTGTTTAAGTTTTATTTTTACAGAAGTAAGATGTAACTACAGTTTACCTAGACGTTGGAACTCGTACGAGTTGCAGAAAATTTATCCTACTCCATGACCATGTACGTAAGGACAGAATGCATTCCGAGATAATCATTTATTAACCAAAGAAAATGCATGTAGCATATCGGTCATTACGCGAGTGAGTAGTAGGTGCGCAATTTCTAGCCCGGAGGGTCATGGATGTTTTGTCGAGCTCACAATCCCACTCTCAAGTGTGGTATCAACGCCATTCGGGCTTTTGTTTTCACTAAGTCCTTAATCTAAAATAAAAGCCCTTGTTGCAATATCTATTATTAAAGTCTTTATAGCACTGCCCGAGTCCACCCACCATCTCTTTCCTCCCAATTCGCTTTCCACATTATTCCATGTGACGTTGTAATTATACACAGGCTCTAGCTAAGACCCCAACCCAAATAATTCCATAAAGTATTCGAGTATTCCCCAACCTCGAACATTCTCCCCAAGCAATTAATGATTATACGCATTATCAAACTGTACTATTCTCCTTCCTCTTCTGTTCGCGGATGGACAAAGGCAAGCCGGGCTGAGCAACAGCACCTGTTAATTCTTCTTCCTCGTCCAACCTTTCAAGAGAATCATGTGAATCCATGGCCAGTGTATTTTCGGCAATATCACTCTTGTTAAACCTATCTCGTAGGCCTGCAAACAAGGATTTAAGCCTTAGGCGAGTTCGTCCACGACTACTGCTCAATGCCTTACTGTGTCTGAGATGAAGATAGTCCTCAGAATAGGTTTTAGGGAGCTTGTAGTCCTGGGTCTTCGGAGACCGGGAATTATCGTGATCTCCAGCGCCATCCATCTGCCTGCTGTCATTGCGGATTTGTAGCGACAAATTCATGTGGGCCGCTATCAGTTATATGTATTCATATTAGCATATAATTCAGGGTTGGATCCTTGTTATTAAGATACTTACGTCGAAGAGGTTCCATGTCACGTAATTCGGCTTCTTCAGCACACCTCGGGCATCGACAAAAGAATCCGTACTCCCTCCCAAGAAATGCTCTTCTTGTGCTTACACTTTCCCACGCTACTACGTCTTCGTAGGCAATCGTCAACTCCTCGCCCTCACTAATATCTCTCAACGCAAAAAACTGACACTTGAGTCGGCCCGTTATGAGGTCGTTGCTATCGATCCTGTACATGTTTGGCACGCAGCTGTGGTTGACCCAAGTTGGCTTGACACTTAACATTTCCAGTTCTGTTGTCCAATCAAAAATCCCACCCTTCCGTTTTTTGACCAACATATCCGCTGTGTTTTTTCCAAGGAGTGTGTACTTCAGCTCCTCGTCGTATTTCTCACGAGTCAGGCTGGACCGACAGAAGTATAACAAGTCTATTCCATCGCCAGCATTGTCTCTATATTTGGGATCTAGATGGTTGACGATTGTCTCTGGGAATTCTGTGTAGATGAGATGCCCCATTTCGATCTCTCTGGTTGAAAACAGTCCTTCGCCGGTGTCATTCCACGGTGCATTTGCGTTGAGTCTTATCCAACAATCTTGTTCCAAAGAGGCCATTATTTCTTGTCCTTCTCCTTCTTCTACGTATACGTTAGCTGGTGTTCTGAAATAGGATGGGGTCAAATTCTGTGGGAGCGAGTAAACAGCAGATGGACAGAACCTACCCATTTTCGCAGGTTATAGAGACACTTGTGGTAAGTTAGCTGACTGATAGAGTAAGTGACTGATATCAAGATATGAGGATGAGTGACATAGTCCAGATTGGTCGAAGCTTACAGATGGCAGTCCCTTAAAAACACACAGAAATCTGAGGCTTGTAACGTTGTCTATGTGTACTTACGTGTTTAATAGCCACTAGCTGCCAACTTCCAATGACAGGACATGTGGATGAATTAAGGTTTTCAAGGAACGGCGCTGTTTGTATGACGTACTTAGTTTGAACTTTCCATAAGTGCACAGATACCGATACGTGTACATGTGTGGTGGGGCTGGAATTAAACTTTTTTTTCTTTTCGAATTTCACCTGGTTTGAAAGTAATTCTGGGGTAATTATCGCAATTTTGTACACCAGCTGTATTCTCGATGGAAGGTCGATAAAGATGTTCAAGGGTTTGTGATATATCAATAGCACTGGGCCCTTTCATGACGTAGTGACAGGCCTAACATATGATTCTCAAACGCTTCGTTCCATGTCGAAACGAGACGAGGCGAAAACAGACTCTGGTATATCATGAAAGCATTTACTGGTGCATGTCTCTCGGGCAACACACAATTCATGTCGAGAGATCTACAAGAACATGTAGTTCCAGGCGTCGACTGTATCATTGATTACTCAACGCCGTCAGCTTATACGCGTTTACCGATAATTACAAAGCCCAGTCTATAAATTAGCTGCAGTTATATATATTTGTAAGTTATCCTCATCACCAGTCCACAGGCATAGTGACACCCTACAGAGTTCATAACCTTCTGGTTGCATACAATTAATGAATCAAATCACCCTACAGAACTACTCAGGTCGAGTGAGAAGTTGTGCAAATAACCGCGGCTAACAACGCGTAAGTATCCGGACTATCAACCATCCGTTTTTTACACCAAAACAAGAATATTTAAACGGGAAACCACTCTATCTACATGACATAAATTTCGCTTCGTTGAATAAATACCGCGAGCGAGTTTCGCGTGGACCAAAAATCGGGAAGCGGGCTCCGAGCTACCGGGAACGTAAGCGGTCCAGGCACCCTGGTCCAGAATACACGTTGTCGACGCCCATCCAGAAGCGTTGTCGGAACGTTTTGGTTCCCTGGAGATCTATTCCCCCTGGTTCCGATCCTGATATGGTAAGGGTAAGCTGTGTACCTCGTCTCTCCCTAAATTTTTTGTTGCAGGGTGTTCTTCCAGAAGGATTCTTCTTCTACAGCCCCATCTCTCTCTCTCTCTCTCTCTCTCTCTCTCTCTCTCTCTCTTCTCATCCTCTCTCCCCTTCTCTGCTTTATTTCTTGCTTCCTTTCTGTAAATAAATCAATCATCACTCCGGTCTTGGGAACTTTCCTTCTACAGCTTCGTCATTGCAACCTCAGCCGCCTCCGTTGCCACTGCAAGTTCTCAAGCTCTCAAAGGGGTCACTACACATCGCGTGCTGTCACAATAACCACCTCCGAGACAGCCTTAAATCGCACGAGCTTCTACAACTCAATCCGGAACATAAAAAGAAGAATTGCGCAATATGGCGGTCAAGCGAAGGTCGTCGTTAGGGGAGGATATCAGGGTGGGCGATACGTCAGCTCCAGCTGTTTCTACGATGCCTACGACGAAAGATCAAGTACGAATATCCAACCCCCTAAGCCACGCGCAACAGCGACGCTAATCTTTTTACCTAACAGAGAGCCGCGTCAAAACAGCGAAGGAGAAAGCTGTCAATGTCAAAATCACGACCAGAAAACTGGTTCACCTGGTACAGGGAGCTATCCTACCGTAAAACATGGTGTACGTTCAACCTACTCTTCCCTTAATGGCCTAGATGCTTAGATTTGAGCTTCAAAGTGCTAACAAGTCCTTCTCGCTAGTGAATCCTCTCCTCGTAATGATTATCGCTCTAGCAGGTTATGCCGTTAACCCCACCCCCTCCAATCCCCTACACGCCTGTATATTCCTCTCGTACCGTACTGCTCCTGATCCAAGCTCCCACGCGCCAACCGAGTACCAATATGACAAGGGCCCTCGTGATTTGGCGTTTGTTCTCTTTTACACATTCCTCTTCAGCTTCACTCGTGAATTCTTGATGCTGCAGCTCCTCCGCCCAATTGCACTTTACAACAACATCACCAAGAAGGCCAAGGTATCCCGTTTTATGGAGCAGTCATATACGGCAATCTACTTTTCAGTGTTTGGTCCGTTTGGATTATACGTCATGTACCAAACTCCGATCTGGTACTTCAACAGCACTGCTTACTACGAAGCATACCCCCACCGCACCCACACCGCCGACTTCAAGGCCTATTATCTCCTCCAGGCTGCATATTGGCTCCAACAGTGCATTGTCCTCCTTCTTCAGCTTGAGAAACCTCGCAAGGATTTCAAAGAGCTTGTTGGACATCACATGGTCACTCTCAGCCTTATCGCCTTGAGCTACCGTTTCCACTTCACCTGGATTGGTCTTGCTGTCTTTGTTACCCACGACATTTCCGATTTCTTCCTTGCTACCTCGAAGACATTGAATTACCTCGATCATTGGTTTATCGGGCCCTACTTCGGTTTCTTCATCTTTGTTTGGATCTACATGCGCCATTACCTCAACCTGGGAATTCTGTGGAGTGTCTTGACCGAGTTTAAGAATGTTGGATCCTGGGAACTTAACTGGGAGACTGGGTCTTACAAGTCGGGCTTGGCTCAAAGCGTTGCGATTACTCTTCTTGGTAGTTTGCAAGCCGTTAATCTGTTCTGGTTGTGGTTGATTTTGAGGATTGCCAAGAGATATGTCCTTACCAGCGATGCCGTGGATGAGAGGAGCGAGGATGAGGATGAGAGCAGCAGTGAAGACGGCGAGAAGAAGAACTAAAGTGCTCGGTAACTTATTCTTCAATTCTTCTTTCTTATCGATTATCTTGCTTTATTTTATCGGATGAGAAATATCACGGATATGAGAACTCGAAGTGATTGCGGTCAGGAGGGTGGGCAAGGGGAGATTTAAGGCGTTTCAGAGGCAGTTGGCATTAGCGGTTGGCATTAGCAATTGGCATTAGCAATTGGCTTCCGGGTATTCTTACGCATTATTTTATTCTGAATTCTGAAGCGCTTTCTAGCAAACGCTTTGTTGTTCAGTGGTTGGGATGCATACGCGGGAAGCTTGAAGGGGATGCTCTATTGGATTATCGTGATGCATGTTTTTTGCTTTTTTCATCTTTATTTAAGTACTAGTAGGGGGCGTCTGTCGGATGGGTGTAAACGCGTATAATGAAGCTGTAGACCGATTGTTTTTGTGTTTATTTATCTTGATACTCTGTTTCATGGCTTGGTTGAACAGCATAATGTGGAGCTCGAGGGGGTAAATATTCTAATATGTTTACATGTCCGTCGAATGGTTTATGTGGGATTTATGCGTACCGTCAGCAATAGTAAAAAAAATCTAGATCACAAAAAACGAGCAGCCCTCGGCTGGTGCGTAATGATGCTGATGTGTCTTGAACAAATATGTACCTGTGGGATTTGGGGTCCGGAGATGTGAAGAATCAAGTGAATTTGATACTTCTTGCGGTAGTATATATACTACTCTGGCCTTCTTATCCATAAGAACCTACACCCACGAGGATATCGACTGAGCTCTACCCCGCCAACCCCCCTCTGCCCCATAATATACCTCCAGTCCGAAACCAATTCCTCATCCACGTACCCACGGAGATTGGGCATGCATTAGCAGTCTTTCTTAATCGATAATAGATCTGGGAATGCACGGTACGGACAAGTGCCGGACGTACACAGGAGCCGAGGAGATTACTAGTGCCCTAGTCTCGTGCCCATCCCGTACTTGCAGCAAGCTGCCCATGGAAGCATGGAAGCGGACGGGTTGGAACGAGCCTACTAATTCCCCGCATCCCCCCCCGCATCCCCCGCGGTCGAGTGCGGGGTTTGTTTTCACCACCGCAGTTTTGGGAGGTAGGTACCGGTACGCTCGGTGGGGGCGTATGACAGCTAGCTCACCTACTACTAACAAATGGCTGCCTCACCACACAGCCCTTGCGCGCTCTCCGTATGGGGGTGCGAGTGCAATGCCGATATTTATGTGAGAAGTAGATGTCTTACTGTGGAGGGAACATACTCGCATGTGTATCTGGGCTCGGGGGCTGGTCGTCTGTATTCTTGATCGTGGGGTCGAGTGGCGAGTGATTTCCTGTGACGCAACTGGTATCGGTGCGGTGTATTGCGTGGTGCTTTATTTGGAGGGCGTAGGGTATCAGAGAGAAGGTCTCAAGGCTTCTATGGGCTAAGTTAATGTGAAGGCATGTATTATCGACCTGTAGGGGTATTTGTGGTGGTTAGTACGGCATTGGGAATTTGTATTTGACTTAAGACATCTTCCCCTATAGGGCCGACATTGATTTCCACGCGGCTGGCCGGCTGCAGTCGGCTCTCGGTGTAGTGGTACGCTCTAGACCAGAAAACGGTATCCTTATATATAAGGCGTGTATCCATATAGCAAGGGTCAATTTGTACTCAAAAAGCCCAATAAGGACTGAGAAGTCAAGTCATATCCTTATAGGGCGAGCATTCTTATAGAAGGCACCCTTGTAGCGAGAATCGAAGCTGTAAGTGGACTTTGTGCGACTTAATATCGTCAAAGTCATAGGCTTTGACCCGTCCCAATATATTATAGATTTGGAGAACCTATTTTCAGTTTACGATAGCACTCGGTGCCATTCTGGCGAGGACCGAGTGATATCACATGACTCAGGTGAACGCGTCTTCGCAAATATTCGTTTATTGTAATAGCCAAGAGCTTTGAAATTTGGGGAGTTATTAACAGTTTAAATTCAAATGCCCCATTATGGCTCTTTCGTAAGATATTGATTGTAATCAGGTATTAAATCTCTCAGCATGCGCCACAGGCGCCGCAATCTATCAGGAGACCATCATAACTCCCCATGCATTTCTCTTCATTCCAAGGTTCGTGGTACGATAGGTGAACTGCTACCAGAGGTACCGGGGGTTCAAATGCCGTTTCTTTCTTTGGTGCCTTGCTAAACAAATATCTGGTGCCTCGTGGCAAAATTAAAGGTGGCCTTTCCCCTAGAGTGGCTTGCCTCATGACTAAGTCCTCACAGACCTATGAAATTATTCGCGTCTAAGGATATGTCATGATATTATCAAATTTCAACTAGTAATTTCTTAATTACCAATATTGTTCAAGAACCCAGGCTCCAAACCCTGTTCCACTCTTAGTTAGCGAAATACTACATACCCTAGAAAGGAATGTTATGTTAGTAAATACGTACATACAGGGGACCTGCCGTGTTGTGTTGTTGCTAGAGTATTATATATTGGGTGGAAGGACCGCCAAGTGTTGTTTGGGGGCCTGGCTGGCACCTATCGAGGGCCTCTTTCATTCCGGTCTGGAAACTATGCACGCACGCCCGTTACCATACCATAAATCAGAGCAGGGTATGAGATAGTAGTGACAATCGATTTGATCCGCTAATCGGTCGCTGGCTGACGTGAAGACAGAGTTTCTCCGGTCGATTATATTAACGCTGCGGCTATTTCTCCGTTTCTTCATTGGGGTTTTTTTTCTCTCTTTCGATCTTCGTTGGACACAACCTTATGCGTGCTGTGGTCTTTGTGCAGCAGCAGCAGCACCGCGTCGACAGGGACCTGAAGCGGAAGAGGGGAAGTGTGCAGGGTGCATTGGCCAGCAGGTGGTTATGGTGTAGGTAGAATTTTGACTCTCTAGACACATGCCGATTGAGAAGCTTCTTTCTTTATTCAGTGAGCATCTTTAATTGGGGAGGGTTCGTCTTATCCTTGGCCCGCCCCCTGGAGTCCCATATCACAAAAATGTTGTAACAAATCCCTCTCTCCCTTTCTCCTTCTTCGTCCCCCCTCCTAGGATCCTTCTTCTCCTCGTCACCAGCTAGCGACGTCCGCTCCTTCTGAATTGTTTTCGCCCGTCGGATTCGTTTCCGTTCTCGACCTGGTTTTTTTCCGAACATTTGTGCACGTGTGTCGTATTGTCTTTTCTGCATTGCGTTTCTCTTTGGAGGAGAGCTCTCGAGGGCATAATTGAAGTTGCTGCGACTCGCTATTTTTGTTTCCCAGGGATCGTATCGGTTGCGGTGGGAATCCGGGGGTTTTTCTACTACTCTTGTTTCCTACTGCGGCACCATCTCACAGATTTTTTTTTGTACGGTTGTGCGCCTACGATCATCCTACAGTAACCGGCAGAGCTCTTGTCTACTGTAGTAGTCGATCTAGAGAGTACTACCACTTACTAGTACCATACTCATTTGTGTCTAGACATCTAGACGATCTTGAGCACTACGAGAGCTCGAGGGCTAGTCGCATACCTACTAGTAATAATCCAGAGTATCTACTAGTACAATTCGTCCTGAAAAGCATAGATCAAGATATACTTTCGCACACACATGAATTGCACACTCACCCTGGAATACCTACATACCTCACCACCAACCAGCCCCCCACCAAAATAAAACAACAGAACCATCCAACCACACACTTCCCACACCGCCCCATCCCCACCCACTGCTTACCCCTTACCCTGTCTACATACATCATCATCGTCCCCCCCCCCAAAGCAAAGGAAAGGAAACCTCACCTGCACGTTTCCTCATCCTCTACCCACCCATCAGCTGTACCCATCAAACGTGGATCATAGCACATCTGTCGCCTCTCGCGTCTATACCAGGACAGTTCTCCACATTGGGAAGCCACAGGTAACTCCCCGCTCGCTTCACTCAAAGAGCTCGACCAGAGCAACTACACAAACAACATAACCCTCAAAGTTCCCATCACGACGTACCAACAGCAAAGAACCCCGAGCTCTTCGGGGTCTTCTCCCCCTAGTCTCCCTCCCCTGTCGCCTCCCGTCGCCCTCAACTTTCCGTCAATAATACCTGGGCTAGGGATGCCCTCTCCAAGTTATCAGCCGGATTCTCCGACAAACTCCATTCCCTCGCGGGACGGTGGCCAGCATACCCCCACATATCCGCGGGATTCTGATATTCCTGAGGCTCATATCTCTGAATGGGACACTGAGGATGTCGGGACCTATATTGCTTCAATAGGGCTGGATCAATATAGAGAATCTTTTATAGGTGGGTCTTTCTTCTCCATTCATTTACCCCTCCATCATCCCTATCATCGCCCACAATCCATCTCTGAGATGGGATGGAATGAGATACTATTCGATTGTGGTAGTGTTACTTTGATTCTGACCGATGAGATCGATCTCTACAGAGGAAGGAATCGATGGCGAAGCACTTATCCATCTAGAACACGACGAACTACGGGATATCGGGATAAAGAGTGTGGGGCACCGACTTACGATCCTAAAGAATATCTACCATCTCAAAGTCGCTCACGGAGTAACGATCGAGCCAGAACATTATGTTCCTGTTTGTATGTTGTTCCTCCCGTGTTTTTTCTTTTTCTTTCCTTTTTCCTGTTTAGAAAAAACCCCTTTGCAAGCAGCCGAATGCTGATTGGTGGCTTGTCGCATGCTCCAGCCGCCGACGCCGATGAAAACGAGAAGGCTGCCACACAACAAGACATACAGCGCTTAATCGCTATCATACGTCGGCGGGATGAAAGGATTGTGCAGGCCGAACGCGACCTGCAGAGAATGCAGGATGCATTTGTCAAGTTGCGCGAAGAGCTATTGCCGGTGTGGCGCATAATCAAGAACAGCCATAAGTCACTCCCAACACCGCAAGGTAGCACATATCCGAACGCCCCGTTAATGACGCCGGTCGCATACCCTCCTGAACCTTCAGTATCATCACGGGGAGATGAGCGTGAGCGTGAAACAGAGCGGAGAGAGGCTAAGCAACGGGAAAGGGAAAGGGAACGGGAACGGGAAAGGGAAGCTCGTGAAAGAGAGGCGCGGGAAAAAGAACAACGAGAGAGGGAGAGGGAAAGTCAAAGGGAAAGGGAACAGCAACTGCAAGAACAAGCTTTCCCTGTCAACAATCCAAATCTCTTGCCCGCACCATCTGCAGGAAAAGGCTTGTCTAGAAAGTTTTCGATGAAGAAACTCATACTTGGAACCCCGAAGAATGCATCTCCCACCCATCCAACACATCCAGATACCGTGAGAAACGAGTATGAACCACCCCCAACAGCAACGAATGGGGCTATAAGGGATATCCGGGACTCTTCTGCTATGCCATCACCAACTTCTCCGTCAACGATAAACCATCTCTCACCAAATACAACTCACACCTCTTCGTCGCACAAACCACCTGAACGACGATCTGCCAAATCATCCGCTGATGAAGAACCTCCTAATACTGCCGGCGGTTCACAACCTACTGTCGAAATTTTCAAGTCGTTCCGAGTATCCATGGATGATCCTTGTTATAAGGTTCTCCCCGCTGCTCTGAAGCGGTACAACATCCAGGCAGACTGGCGACAGTACGCATTGTACATTGTGCATGGAGACCAGGAGCGTTGTTTGGGATTGGATGAGAAGCCATTGATATTGTTCAAGCAGCTTGACAAAGAGGGACGGAAACCAATGTTCATGTTAAGGCGAAACGGTAATTTTGAAACCTCCATTGGACCTGGAACCGGGATACCAGGAGGTAGTGGATCCAGTATCTACGGAAGAGGTCAAGATATCACGTTACCTGGCGTATTACCAGGAGGGGTATTATAGTAACGAGGAAAATGTTGCGAAAATGGGAATTGATGGACATTCTATTTGGGCTTTAGCTTTGAACAGGTGCACATGGTGTGCAACGGAGTCATGAATTTTTCTTGTGGTTTTTAACTCCTTCTTGGCTTTTGTACGTTTTTCCGGGTACTAGCCGCATTGGTGTGACGGGTTTTTTTTTTAAAAAAAAGTGTAGGAAACATTTGCGTTGCAGGGGGTTTGTCTTTTTTTCTGTGTCTTTGATTTTTTTCGGTTTTTAGCTTATGGCGGCCATGGTTTTATTTTCTTCGAATAGTACAGACTTAGTCTTCCTCTCTTCTTGATTATTGTTGTGTGACAACAGCTATTATTACCTTTTTTTTGTCTCTTTCTTTCTGGATACCATCTTGGGTTATTTTTGAATTATCGTTTGGGGTTGTGGTCGGGGTTCAGCGGGTTGGTTGGGTTAGGTTTCGGAAGTTGGGTTTGTGGGGGTTGGGTTCTGAATGGTTTTGAGTACTGGCACCAGTATCATTACCTCTATCTGCTGTGCGGGTCCTATTTTGTTTCTTTCCTTTGTTGTGGAAAAACGTGCATGTGCCGGCCAGTTGGCGCAGGCGGGGTCAGATAACACCATGTAATCTCTATGTCTTCCTCTTCCTCTTCGTCCTTCCCCCCCTCTTCGTCCTTCCTCTTCCTCTTCGTCCTTCTTTCTTGGGAAACTGTAGTGTAGTTGTAGTGAGTGAGAACGAGCTGAACGATCGAGATCAGATAGCCGGGGAGGTGGGGGATATACAATACATGTAGTCTACATAGAATACAATAGGCATCCATACATCTATATACTGTACGTTCCATCCGGTTATTTTTGTTTTTTGTTACTATTTTGTTTTTACCGGCGGGGAAGACCGTGGTGGTGGTGGGGTTCGAGAGTTGATAGTATGGGTGCAACTGCGCTGTACTCACGCTGCATGCGCAACTGGGGTTAATTAATGGATAAAGCTTCCACCCCACCTCACCGATGCCTCACACCCACCCACCTTCTTATGCGACATGATGTTGAAATAAGGATTGGGGATCGGACTGGACATGTGCAGGCGGGATGTATGGGTGGTTGCGTACTTGTGGTCATGGGGGTGATGTGGTGGTGGTAGGCATCATGAGCTGTCACTCGAGGTCTCAAAGCGTGGGGGTTTCGTGTATTGGAGAGTAAGTGGTGAGGTTATAGGGTCCTATGTGATCGCAGCAGGGGTGGCATCGGGGATGGACATGTATGCACTGAGTATGTGCGTACAGGCACTGGCAATGATTAGTAGGAGAGTAGAGCTTTTGAAAAGATCGTCGATGCATACATGTAGGTACATATGTATGTACATCTTGCATTCGGTGTATGGGCCATCACTCGTTTACACGTATGCAATACTCTTTGGGTATATCTTCCTGTCAATTAGTTGACCACAAATACGAGGTATATATAGCAATGTGTTATCAACCCCCTACATCCGCGTGGTAAAACATCTTAAAACAAGACTGACCCCCGAAGCTAGCTAGTACAGTGCATAAACGCGTACCAATTTGGAAGTCTCAATGGAGAGCGGGTGACTCTGCGCAAGGTACGAGGATCAATTTCTTTGTTTTTCGAATTATGAGACTTGTAGGTCTTCTGAATATGCTGAGCAAGATAGCTAGGGCCCCTGAAGAGTGTTGCCTTGGTACGCGGGTTTGGCCTATTTAGCGCAGTACATCTCGGGGATATGCGCAAGTATTACCTACAACAGTTTATAAACCGTGTTAAATCATAAATAAAAACATTTTTTTGTCTAAGCTATTCCAGTACCCTCTGTTGGCAAAAGCTACGGCGTCTACGCAAGGCACGCCTTAAACCACTCTACTAGCTATTAACCTAGCGCGTATCCACCACAACACCATACCGACCCTAGAGCAAAAACACTTCATAGTACTGAGCTATACATGTTTTCTAAATCTCTTTCTTCTCTCATTATGCGAGAACCCCCTTCCCTGGTAGTTGACACAAACACCCCTTCACTGGGTCTCAACTTCCGAGTGATACCTCATGACCGATACATTATCACGCCCTCCCCTGCCGGCAGCCGAAAACAGGTCTCCGGGTCAGAAATAAGGTTCGGCACGCCGCGCGCTGCACGCGACTACCTCACCGGCTGCATTTCCCGCGGGTCTTGCCACTGGCTTGCTTAGTGCAATTCTTATCCCAACGTCTTAGCGTGCGTGTATCGTGCTGTGCTGGCTGAGTTCGCGGGCTTATCAGTATTTATTTTCTTGACTAGGGCAACGTTCAGTACGTACATGTAGTTAGTTTTCCTTTTTTTTTTTAAGCCCCATGGCTGAAAAGGTTGAAGGTTACGTTATGGTAGTGCATTACATTAACGGTATCTATTCTAGCACTCGGTTTCTCGTGGATTGATACACTAAACATTTACACAATTTACACATTAATGAAAGATCTTAAGGACCGTCCTTCCAGCTCAATATATAAAAAAAAACTAGGAAATAAAGGAAAAGATACAACACCCCAGAAAATTATCAACATGGAGTCACCGACCCCAAGGCATTCCAGGAAAAAAGAAAAAACCCTAATATATAGATGACAAAAGAAATATAAAAAAAAAATATACAAAAAGAAAACCCCTAAGACCGACCCATTCCCATAAATAAGTAGAGTAATATATGATACCATCTGAGCGCAGCCGCTAAATCAAAAATCAAAATCAAACCCCATTGCAGCCCCAAGAAAAGAAAAAAAGAAGGGAAAAAATAATCACAGGAAGTCTAAAAACGTCCAAACCCATCCATCAGCCGTAGATCATATTACTCTGTCTCATATACCCCGTCTCACCCACTACACCACTGCCTGGTCCTGCGTTCCTCCTCCTTTCATCTTCACGATCACTGACTTCCCGCTCGTCTTGCACAAGCGTACACATGACGCAGCAATAAGCCTTTCCACAGTCGCTCATGAGGGTGCCTTCGAGGTGGTACTTATCCCGGATGCGGCCACGTTGGAGAAAAGTGAATATCCCTTTAATTTATGTCAGTATTAAGTGATATATATGGGATGTGTGGATAGTTACATGATACTGGTGCCAAGACGCAACATCCAACGCAATGGGTATTACAATGGTGGAAGTCATTAAGGTTTGAGTTGGGGATAGTTTTTAATCTGTGGTTTGTACGCGAGTACAATATGCATGGACACCAACATCCTATACAGCCTGTGTATCACCCTCAATGATTAGTTTCAAGCATTCCCGCGTAAAAAAAAAAGCGGGGAAGAGTGGGGTAAATGTAAAAGTAACTTACAAGTAGGAATATCGCCAAAGCAATCACAAAGTCCATGCTGATATTCATCCTTCCCAATCTGCTGATTTGGGTGCCCAATCTGGCCTGGCGCATGAGTCCCTCCATTTGGCCCGCTCCCGCCACCCGGTGTATAAAGCGGAGTCTTCGGCCCCTCCATCCCAGCTCCGGGTGTATATGTCGGCGCGACAATTGGCTCTGGCGGTCTCGTAATCAACTCCACATCCTGATCTGTAGGAGCCGGCGTTTCCGTCGCTGGCGGTACTGAACTTGACATTATTCTGGGTTGTGGTACTGGTACTGAAGGTTGATAGATTTCTGATGTGGGCGGAGGTGGAAATGTCGGCGTTTGTGGTGCAAACCCTGGTGTATGTGGTGGGTATCCTGGAGACTGGGGAAGTGGCGGATATGAAGGAGACTGCGGGTGAGGTATGAAGGAAGGTGAGCGGGGGGGTGGTGGAAATGATAGATGCGGTGGTCGGAATGTTGCAGATCGTTGAGGTGGTGGGAAAGATGGCGAATGTGGTGGTGATACGTATTGTGGTGCCGGGCCGTACTGCTGTGATGTATGTCTGACAGTTTGTTGAGCTTCAAATTGTGATTGAGGGAAGCCCGGCGAGGGGAGGGGTGTTGAGTATTGGGCTTGGATATGTGCGTCGTAACCTTGCTGGTACTGGTGGAGGTAATCAGTTGGTGGAGGTGGTGATGATGAGGATTGCTGATACTGCAGATCTTGTGCTTGGGGCTGCGATTGGTGCTGCTGCTGGTACTGTTCTTGACCTTGGTACTGCTGCTGACGGTGACCCTGGTACTGCTGTTCGTGGTCTTGGTACTGCTCTTGGCTCTGATACTGGTGCTGCGGGCTTTGGTACTGCTGTTCGTGACCTTGGGGCTGATGATTATCCTCAATACCCTCTGGCACAGAGTATTCTAACCGCGACTGCTCTTGCTCCACCACTTCAGGCAGCTGCTGTTCGCGAACCCGCAACTGTTCATTGAAATTCTCCTCCACAGGCGACTCGTCCCCATCAAATACCCGTGGTAGCCTTTGTTGTCCTACCCCAGTTACAGGTTGTTGCTGATCCATCACGGGAGACCGAAAAGATGAGTTTGGCGGATTTGGGTCCGTGGGGGTGTGTAGTGAAAACTGCGACGCTTGAGCCGGGTGCAACTGATAGTACTGTTGCTGGGTGGAGTATGGCTGCTCTTGTCCTTGCTTCCGGGACGCCATTGTTTATAGGGAAAAATAAAGAATGACTAGCAAGAAGGGGAAAGATCCAGATCCTGGCGTCGTGTGATAAAAAACTCTTATTGCCTTGAGGACTTGGGAGTGCGTGATGTGATATATCTATGCAGGTGCCAAATAGTAAGGGGAGGGGAGGCAGACTAGATACTTCTTAAACCCTCAAATAATTATACTAGTGGCAAAGGTCCAGACAAGTCAAAAGAACATGTGTGTAAGAAAAACAAAATCCGTGATGCTAACTATCCATTAGTTGAGAGAGAAGCGCGAGCGATCTATTGCAGATAACGTACCTACCAAAAGCGCGAGCAACTTGTACCCCTGATAATGCAAGAACGATTTTTGTCCCCAGATTCAAATGCGATGACGCGACGTACGGCAAAGATCAAAGCAAGAGAGAGAATCAATGCTATGCTATGGCAGGGCTGAAATATTTGGCGCCTACAACAAGTTTTGTGGGGAGATGGGATGGGTGCTGCTGCGTTACGACGCAGAAGGAATGGTACTGGGTGGGCAGCGGCTATGTAGGCCCTGCAGTAGTAAGAAAGCCGGTAGACGGTACACGGTACAGTAGGTACAGTGGATAAAAAAATCAGAAGCAGGGGATTATGTTCTGTCCCTTTCCTTCTGGAAAAATGTGACAGTTCAGAGTTATTGGCGAGAGTACAAATGCTGTTCACACCCAAACAAGTATGTAAATACTGACTGTATTGTAACAAATAACAGGTTTGCAAGTCTAACAGAGATTCGGAGTAGGGGGGGACGGAGAGAAAAAAAGTAGGAATTGATTGACCCGTAACGGATACTTTTATGACCACCCTCTCGTAAACGCAGAGTCATCCACAGCCTCTCATCCAGTAGCAGGACTGTCTTCCATGCCTTAGGTATTGTAAGAAGTCCCTCTCTTCCTCCTCTTCCGCCCTTTTCCACCTCACTCAGGTGAGGCGCACGTAGAGAAAGCCCAATCCCTAATGCCGACATCGGTTATTGGTCACCCGTGATGTAACTTGTATGCGATAGCCCAGACTCGTACTGTTGTCGCGATGGCTCTCAACCAACCCATCCCTCTACGCTAGTGGAAAGGGAGGAAGCAGACACGGGCAATCACCGATTGGCGACGGTCCGCCTTCCAATCACCGTGCGTTTCCCGTCGATGAATCCCTGTAAGTGATTCGACCCAACCTTGGATGATAGGCACTTAGAGTAGAGTAGAGAAACTTTCATGTCTGGGTGATAAATAACGACATACACAAGGGCGCTTGGATCATTGGCCGGGTATGGCCGTTTGCGAAACTATAACTAGGATGAGCCTTCCCCTCGTGCTGTCAGAATTGACATTTCTAGGAACGGAGCAGGAACAGGAGCAAGTGGCAAGGGCATGAGGTTGAGGGTGAAGATTTGCATATATCGAGGTAGGCTGTGCCTGTTGGTTTGTTGTATCTCGACACCTAACCAGATGTAACCTTGGGGTTACACTCCATGCCATTTGCACCAGTACCAACACGGTCTAATATCAGTCTGTCAAATATTCCTGGGCTCGGCATCGCGAGTTTTCATATGCGAGATGATGCACATCATTGAGTAAAGCATCCTAGCCTAAGGGCCGAAAAGAGAATCTGTGCGGGTCAACATACGCGATTCCCGGATTTCTTTCCTTTTCATTGTGTCGGTCTCGCCGCTTTTAAATATCGGCCTTCCAGATCCGGCTACTAAGCGGATCTGTCTTCCTTTTAAACACCAGCACGAGGCGTTGGCGGGTCTGGGCTTTTGCAATCTTGCTATCGCGCGCGTGCTTTAACGTTAATTGTAAATTTGAAGGAATTTCTCCCCCAGAAGGATCAGCGCTGCGGACTCTATTCAAGAAGGGGGAGCACGATTAGCTATACAGCACTCGTTACAGCTAGGTATGTAGTTGCTCATAGCACTCAAAATTTGTGTTGGTATCAAGGTTTTCTGAAATGAGGTTTTGACTGATAGGAGCAAGTGTATATTAACTATCTGTAAGCGTATTGCTCAAGAGTCTCCCCCTTCCAATCAGTAGGAATCTTCTATCTCGTTACTACATAGCGGGTATGTAGTGTATTTAGTATTCGTCCGATGATACTTCTTCGGGATTTGATTGGGTTGGAGGTTCCCGAGTGAGACCTTGTGAATATGTCGCCTGCTAAGAGATTAAGCGAGACGCTAGAGTAACCCTTATCTAATTGAATTTCAAAAGTGTGTGACCATGGCTTCTCTTGCATATCTCCAAAAGGTACATATGTATTAAGTATTACTTATAATGGTGGTGTGTTGGCGTTGAGGTCTAGAGTCCAAATATCCTCCTCGACCAGAATCCAGTCCATTAGACCGTGTGCACCTGTGTCGAGCATGTACCTGTGCCGAGCACCTTATAATAAAGGCAGCATTTTAGCCACCATTTGGAGCGGATCCCTAGAGATCAGATAAGATGCTCGGCACAGGTACATTCTCGGCACAGGTGCACACGGTCTAAACGTTCGATTGAGTCCAGCCCCAGCAAAAGTTGAGTGCCACATGGATCCAGAACGTGACTAGACTCTCCCCCAAAACCTAGCCATATATGTGCGTGGAGTAGAGTAGAGTATATCCTCCACCATTATTTCCCGAACCACCAATTTTAGCGGTGCCTACATAATTAAGACCTCCGGTCTCTGTGTAGGATAGGAGACGCCCGGCGCTTGGTGTGCTCAGACCTAGTGGGTGCAGTTGTTGATTGGTAAAGTGGATCCAGAAATCTGCCTCTATTCATTCCCCTGAGCTGCAACTAGTCCCCGGTAGGAACTCGCAGTGGGCTGGGGCCATTTCGAGAAACTTGAGATTCATTGTGATTCAACTATCCTATGCGTGCGTTTGGCACCGTGATTGAGGTTTGGTGATAGACATTAAGGCCTGCATTACTGTTGAATGATAAAGATCTCATGTTGAATGAATTTCTTTGGATTAATATGTCAGCAACATGTACATACAAATTCGGCCGATCCCCAACATGCTTCCCCGCGATCTCTTAGCTTACCTTGCCCCGTGAGTTTACTCGCTAAGCTACTAGAGCAGCTGACAGTTTCCACGCTCATATTGGGGCACGAAGGATTTAGAATTGAAACCGTTAATTGAAGTAACTCTAACGATCGAAGAAGGATGGTGTTTGGTGAACGAGGACCAGGCTGTTTTTAACATCGGGGAGCTTTGATGTCGTTGGTCGAAACTTAAGCTTAGGTCTGCAGCAGCATTAGAGTGTTGACGTTGGCGATGACGTTCAAGTACTAGCTAGATCCAACAACCTCCCCGCTAACTATATGTTTAGTCCAAGTCACCATATGAATCCAAGAACGATGGCATCTAAACAACCGGTCATTACTACACGCACTACCGGTAAGCATCAATAAATCCCTCCCACAAGATTTCTATTACTCTCTATGGACTCTCGTACCCGTGCGCGAATATGACCGTTCCCCGGATTGACCAACAGCATCAAATTTAAAGGCCATCAGAATATATACGCCAAAGTATGACGTACGTCTGGCCATATAGATATTCCCCATGTGCACTCCTTCAAATTGTTTTTCTGAATATCAAGTTAATGCAGCCTACAGCTGACCCGTAACGTACCAGCACATATGTATAGATTATTTCTATAAGCAGTGCTAGTCTTACCAAAGATTAGAGATATATAAGTGCAGATTTGGTCGTCTAGATCAACATCAATTTGGATGCCCCTCTAATCACCTATCGACACTTCTAGGGACCGGACTTCAATCAATTACAAACCGGAATATCAACCATTTGGGAACAGTACATGAGTCGAAATATATTGTGTATGAGAATGGGCTCAACGTCGACTTGAATGGAATCCTACCCGTTGGTCAGGCCGGAGTTTCTATCGACGCTTGACGAACCACTGATAGCTTCATCATTTTATTACTTGGTGAAGCTTATCCACCCAATAATCAAAGCATGGGCCGGAAGCTATATTTATAACATTATTTACGCAGCCGATTAGGGATATTGCATGATGAGCTTCACCTAATCAACTGAGCTTTTAGAAATCTTTTAAAGATGTATGTAGGTACAGCGCCATGCCATAAGTCATGGGAAGGCGCGAGATCGCAACGCCTGAACACAAAATCTTTCATCACCACCGATGGCGCCCAGAGACCATGTACCCCGCCAGACAGCTAGGAGGGAATGACCAGCCTCTCTGGTGTGGCAAAAAACCGGAGTCTTACAACTCTGGTTGGAGGAGAATAGGGTAGATGTTCTGGAGGACTGGCTTGCCTATTCCATCCCATTGAACATGTTTGGGTACACCTCAAGAAGCTTTACCATCAACAGTACCCCCATTTGGCATATGGTACTAGATCACCTTAAGTATTAAAGCCCCTCGTGGAGGAAGGTCTATTTCATTGCTGGGAACTGTTACCTGATGATTTATTTGGTAGCTAGTTGAGAGCATGCCTAGGAGAATAGAGCTGTTATAAAGGCAAGGGGTTGGTACACAAGATATTAAATGTCAAATTATTTTTATTTAGCTACTATTTAACAACTATACAAAAAACCAGCTCTCCAAAGGATCAATTATGGTTGCTGGGTGGGTAGTCGTGGTGGCCCGGGAGGTTGCTACGCCGTGCCTTCCCATGATTTATGGCCTAGAACTATACATATGTACCTGCTCTGGCCCTATGGTATTTTGATACATAAGACATACACGAACAGATTTATGAGACCTTTCATTACAGTATGTTGACCGTCGATATTTCACAAGGCCCAACTTAAGAGTATCCGTACCATTAAATCTTGCTACTAGGTACGCATGCCTATATTACAGCACATATATTATATTAAATGGCAGATACTTGGAATCCTGGTCAAAGCGGCCACAAATCGGGAAGCTGCACCGAATACATACACCCGAAAGAAAGAAAACACCTCGTCTGGGCCTCCTCTCCTTCTTAAATTTGGAACCTTAGCTTTATGCCTGATAGACGTTTACCTGGTACAACGGGATATTTTTATTGTACATGCATGATCGAATGACAACCGGTACCTGCTTTATACGCAGCCCAGCGGTACAATATGGTTTAAACCGAGCGAGCGTGTTGCAGATCCCACCGTCTATCCACTCTCGTTCGTTACATGTTCGTTAAAGCAGATTAAAGCACCCATACGGTCTAGGTACTATTATCAACATACGTACACGGGAAAATGGTTATGTGTGGTTCGTTTCAAGGTTCCTTTTGTAGAGTATATCCATATATCCCGGCAGAAAAATTGTTGGTGATTTAAAACATCTCCCTCAGAGTCACATAATCGAAGATTGACTTGGTAAAGTATTATTATCCCCCAGACTTGGCATATATCTCGCTTGCTCGGATATAATGTAACCGGTAATCCTAGCGATGAGCTGCTCTAGAGGTGTAGGTACTTCAACATCTATGTAGTCTGAGCATGAGGCGGGAGAGATAGAATCTTTCTTTCTGTGCCACACTACGACATGGGTGTGTGGATACAGATGAATCGTTTATGTAGGTACATGAATCCCAACTAGACCAACTCCCCCATTCTTACTGCTTCTATGCGGGAGTTTGCAGCTTTGAAATGGCCGGAACATTATTTCCTTTAATTCACGCGTCCTCATGAAAAACCGGAATCGTTATTGGAAACGCACGTTCTTGAGCGAGTCGGAACCCGCCCAGGAACTAAGTCAAGGGCACCCGAAACGGCCTGAATAACTTGTATCCTCCGGGGCGGGAATTTGCAGGTGCTGGTATAGAAAGTATGTGCATCTGGCTCGATACAAGTTATGGAATGTTCTCGTGATGAGTAAAAATAAATCATTCAAAGTCCGTGCCGGCGTGGCAAAGCAATTTCCATGGTTACTGTGCTGCAGGTACATATGCCTGTCGCATACGAGTCTCTGGGAAGGTAAATTGAAGCGTAGAGGGGAAACGCGTGGTTTTAAATGAACAAGCTACACTATCACAGTGGTGGAAATGTTCACAAGTACAACATGATGGTAAAATGGTTCCAATTACTTCCTGTGGGAAAAAAAGAAAAAAGAAAAGAAAAGCCAGAAAACGCCAGACACTCCATCAAGCTCCCGTAGCATACCTCGAGTATCCTTTACTCAATCATACTCTCTAGAACCTTCTTGATGGCCTTGACGACCTCCACCTTGACTCCTTCCGGTACTGTTTCCTTCACCCGACCCTCCACATCTGCAACTAGAGCATTAAAGTTCCCGATTTTGGCATCTTGTGCGCGTAGTCGCTCATGGCAGAGTTTTTTCGTATCCTCGTACCATCCCGACTCACGGAGTAAGTCAAGTAATAGCGTTTCCAGTCTACCTCGTCCTTATGTTAGCTATCCGTCACTCATCCCCAGAATTTTAGGATAGGGAATCCGGATACCGTTCGAGCTCTCCCGAGTCAAGGAGGCGACGATTTATCTCAGCACGGAGAGCAGGACCTTGGGCGGATACAGTTGGGGACGACATTGTACTGGATTCCTTATATTTCCGATAGGAGAGAGAGGATGTTTTCGCGAAGGTTTGAGGGTTGTCGCGCGCGCGCGAGGAAGCTTAGCTATTGCCAAGAGGTTGCTGCACGGGCCATGTGGTGCGGATAAGCTTGGGATCAGTCAGCATGATTGGGTAACACTACGCTACGGATTGGTGTGTTTTGGATTAATGGGCTTAGAACAACGTTTGGTTTTCTGAGTTATTTATGTTCTCTCATTATGCATACTAATGTTTTGAAACACCAATACAGCCTACCTCAGATGAATTGTTGGACGATTACCTAGCACTTTCAGGATCGAAGATTCTTGTGGTAGCTAGCTCCTAATGGAATATTACATGGAAGGCATTAATGCCTTCTTATATATTTCCTAAAATGATTTATACATGCGTTCTTTACCCACAGTACTGATTCTAGTAACAAGTATGGCATATTTTTTTTCTTTATCGATAGGCACGGATGAAAAGAGGGGGAAATCGGTGTTCAATTTATCCCACTTCCATCTCTGCTCTCACGAACACACACTAACTATTGATTTGAGGAACTCATCGAAGATCACAGGACATCTGGGGGTAACCGTACCCACAGAATCGAACTAGCAAAGCAAACGAGAAGATTTTCTCCACTCTAATTTTTTCGTAACTTATTGTTATATACAAAAGCCGAATAATCTAGACCAAACAGGCATTAACCACACACAAACCACTAACATAACGTTATCTCCCGAAAACAACCTCGAGGTTTGAAATGGTTGAAAGCCACCTCAACCGGCCCTCCATAAAACACCGCCTCCTTAAGCTCTCAAAAAAACTGAAGCGTATTGCTATAAAGTCTTACAAGGTTACTAAGGGCACTACGTTGTTTCTAATAGGCCCCGCCAGGAAATATAAAAGACAGAAGCGGAAAAAGGCTACTGAACTGGCGAGAAATCAAGAGTTAGGGAGGACCTTTATCGAGGATGGGAATATGCATGATGGAGAGAACAATCCAAGCGGGCAGGAAACACTAGGTCCGGAAACAAACAGGGGTCAGTTAATAAGGACTAGGCGGAAACGGATAAGAAAGTTAGACGAGAAACGAGAATCTAGAGAGACGAGGTTGGTGATACATCGAAATGAAGTTGGCGAGTCTTCCAGGACTGTTCAACCTCCCGAAGCTGTTAGGCGCTATAGAGCTAGCCATCTCCCTTGTGTTGGCAACTGTGGCCCTCCTGGATCTATACGATGTAACTATGGCGCCTTTTGTGAGACTAGGGAATCTCCTGAGTCAAAAGGTTTAGGGGCTGGTAGGTTTTGGGAAGCGAATGGGGCTTCTAAATCTTCAAAAAATCCAGGAAATCGAAAATTACGATTGAAGGGATTAGAGAGTGTTTAGACACCTGTGTGGGATGTACCTCAGGTTTAGAACAAACGTGTATAGCTTCATGACCAGAACTTTGATGGCCGGCGAGCTGAAGACAGACTTAGACCGATTCGGTCCATATATATACCCTTACTCCCAGACCGGTCTAGAACAGTCCATTTGCACAAGTTTCCTACCCGCTCTATGTAAAACACATAGGATATGGGCTAAGACGTTTTGACCTTCTTAGATGATGAAAATGATTGATAGGAGATGCGCGCGCGCAATGTAACTTCAAAAGGAATACTATTAAGTGGTAAAAACAAAATATTCGTTGACTCATGCGCCTAAAGTGATGAGGGTTGATTATAGTATGATTGCTGTATTATCTTAAGTATATCTGTTATCGAATATTACTCGTGCGATTCCTTTGCTATAATTAAAGCACGTATACACCAGGGTAAGGTATATCAATTAAGCACAGCCCATTACAGGCCAACAAATCCCTTACGTCATTCATACCATCAAACTCTGATTTTAAAATATTTACTCTGTACCTATAGTATCGGATTATTAAAATCTCCGTGAATCCATGCGCAGCACCCAGGAAACTTGACAAAAAACAAGGCCAACACTCAGCCCACCGGCGATCCCCGAACCAGTAATGAGCGCATCATACTTCAAAATATCAATTTATAGTTACTTAATGCAGTCATGACATATCACTCGGTATTAGCTACATGCATCAATATTTTTCGATCTATCTCAAACATAAGGAATCATAAGCAAATTGTTTAAGTGACTTTCTACTTTAATAATTAAATTATACATGACCTCTAAAAATGAGTTGAATCATAGAGTATCACTCGGACTTAATTAGGCTGTCAAGAAAAACTAAGCTGATCTGGTGCGGTACAGATTCGAGTAGCACGTAATACATGTAGCCATATACACACTACAATCGAATTTACATATCTGACTGAAATTTGTAACTGGTCTACTACTTTTCAAACTTCGAGTGGTTCTATAATATCATATCGTTGAACTACTATGCCGATTGAACACGTTAATATAGGAATATCTTTATCATGAACTATCTGTTTATCTAAATAGAGTATTGGAAGCTATAGCTCTTTGATCTACAAATATCCCCATATGCACAGGCATGCGTGTTCAAAGATCATAGCTCCCATGCCCTGAGCCACCCCCCAAGATCTGACTTTCCTAAGAACTTATTTCCGCTCTTGAACCAAGAACGCGCTCAAAGACGTAAACTCTACTAGAAATAACTGGACTTCAGCAAAGCACAGATATATGCATATCATGGTTAAGCGGCGGCTAGTCAAGCATAAAAGCTGTTTTACTACCTTTCTCTCATGCGCCCAATTAGAACTGGATTGTAAAGTTACAAGTAGTTGATTCTTATATATAATGATAAACACTACATGTAAGCTCTGTGGGCACGGAGTTTTGCCGGCGAGTCTTACCATTTGCGTTATGAATGGTGCTGTTAATCCTGGGGGTGGTTTATATCAATAGAGAGCTTTTATAGATGATACGTGGACATACTAAAAGGCCGACCGTGAAAACAGGCGTTGCAATTAACGGGGCGATTTTTCACGACATTTTACTGAATGCCTAAATGCACGAGCAATGTAAACATGAGTTTTATTTAAATGTTAACACTATAGCACGTATAGAGCCCTTGGCCAGAACAGAGCTTCGTGCAGGTCATTGAGGATCATAGATCCACTTTAGTTTGTTTCCAACTCCAACTTCTTGTGTGACGGTGACCTGGTTCACTGGAGAATGTGCACTTATTGACCAAATATAGAGCGTATTTTCCAACCGTCAATTTCAACTATTGACACTTCAAACTCGACAGTTTCGGGAGGCAAAATTGACAGTTCCCTTCAGTGGCCAAAATCGATCTGGTTAACGGTATGACAGAATAACCCCAAAAACCAGACAATTCATCACGCTACCTGTGAAATACGCTGTTGGAACTGAAAATTCATACCCATGATACTAGCTTTGGTAGTAACAAAACTGGGTACTTGTGATCCTCCTGGTATATCTCACAGTGCGCCGCCCCGCCGAAATCCAAAATTAACAGCCCCGGTTGCCATTTTGGAGCCCCACAATTTGTAAATTCTTGAAATTGGCGGTTGGCAAATACGCTCCAATTAATCATATCCCTCCGTGTGTTTTCACGACCAGACGCTAATGGGGCGCAGCTTTTACTCGGCAATAAACCTAACCCTCATTCCGTGAACCCTTTGCTGTAAAGTCACCTTCTATACCTTTTTCAGGTGTCTCCACAGTCTGTAGGTAGCTAGACTTTCTGAATATCACCCCGCCATCGCGGGCCTAATAGAGACTTTGCGTTGAGAGCCAGCTCCATTTTAGTAGCACTTGGAATTGTGACCAAATTATTCAGCAGAGCCAGCTCTTGTTTTGAAGCCAGAGCAATAACCAAATCCCAAATTAGACCTCCGCTCCGTATTTTCCTCACAGCTCAACCAATACTTGTCTAATTTAAAAGATTTTTGATTCTCAAGATAGCCTGGAAGCATATCTATCACTGATATGTTTTAAAAGTATTTAAACAAATGTTATGATTTGCAAGACTTGTCTTGAGTAGGAGGGAATGTTTGGCGAGGAACACTTCCAGGCTGCGCAACCAGTGGCAACAGCTGCATTCACAGCGCGAAGTGAAATGGAGATCCGGCTCCAGCTCCAAAATTCTTGGCATTTCTGTGACGGGCTGCAGCCAGCGCAAAGTCTCTAATATGTCTCCGATTTTGCTCTGACGAACGAAGGGATAGAGCCGTGTTGGCACCTCTACCTTTGCTATCAATTCAGGCTCGCCATTGATCCAGAAATACTATACTTAGCCGTGAAAATCTAGCTGACTTGTCGTTATATAGAACAACAGTGTACTCCGCTTTCAACACTTATCGATATTCTACGTCTTTCGAAAATACGAACGCGATGTCCAATTGATTACTACAAAATCTAATAGATAAAATTGTCGCGGGATATCGAACTAGCTAGAATGTATGCACTTACACTTGCCAGTTATAGTTGGCTATCAGAACCTCCCTCACTATCACCAAAACAACTATACCAAAAAAGGAAAAATATTGACGTGATATCTAGCCATTGAGATAAGCTTCTCATCGTATATATGCCAACCAATCAATATTCGTTCCCATTATGTGGGAATGGGTGGGCGGGGCTACAGCTTGCGGTAAGATTATTGTAGAAATATGGGAGGAGTCCTATTGGCTTGCCCAGCCACAGAGACCCTGTTTTTAGACCCCTGTTTCTACAATAATTTTACCTCTCGCTGTATATAGCACATACATATAGATACAGTTACCAGGTAATCTCATCGCAAATGTCGTTTAACTAAGCCCTACCATGGTTTTGTCCGTGCCATTATAAATTTAGTATCGTGTGAATAACAAGGACAAATTGTGACGTACGTATACACGATGTTGTCACGTGAGCCCCGCGATTTGCTAGGAATCGTGGGTGGGGAAAAGCCACCAGATCCCCTGCTAAGCTTGCTGTCGAATAAGAAACCGCCGAAATAATTTGTGGCTTGCAGTAATGGATACTTTATTGCGAC